CTGTAAATAATAATTGTATAATTATTTTCATATAAGAAAATAAAAAAAACAACTTTCAGTGCAAAAAAGCTCTAGCAAAACACAACCTTAAAAAATATATAATAGCCCATACTTTCAATAAAGCAAAATGACAAGTACTAAAATTGTACATTGAATAAAGCATAATGGCCTGTACTTTGAATACTTTTGCATCAAGCAAAATGGCATATACATTTTTTGTTGTTTTAAAAAGAGAATTTTTTTTCATAATTTTTCATAATTATACTTTATTAAGGAAAAGCTTTTTAATCAAATATGTTATGTAATTTATTCAAGATTAAGTACAAAAATGCATAAAAATTTGAATAACAAATGTCTCAAAATTACTTATTAAAACAAAAAAAAATCAGTGTGTCTATAAGCTTATAGCTTCCTACACAATCGAACTAAAATAAATTCTGTATAAACCAAAAAAAAATCATTAATTATAATAAAGGAAAAAGCTTTTTAATTGAATATATCATGTAATTTATTCAAGATGAAGTACAAAAATGCATGAACATTTCACATTTGCATACCAAATGTCTCAAAATTAATTCACATGAAATAAATAAATACATACAAAAACATCAATGTTAATATGGTAACAACATAATGAGTATTCTAACAACAAACAGTGATCAGAAAAAAATAATTAATAAAACATTGGTAAATTATTGTGTGTAAATTAAAAGTTGGTTTAGTTTCTTCCCTTGAATTTTTTTTTTACTGGGCTACAACTTAATTACTGATCAGAATTAATGTAGGCATATGTTGACAACAAAATGTTATTATACATTACAACAAGGTAGTTGAAAGTAACAGACAGCTGATGGTAGATTAGGGCTGTTTAGTTAAAACAAGAGGGCCATGATGGCCCTGAGGTCGCTCACCTGTATATAGCCCCCCCCCCCCCCAGGCCAATTTTTACCCAAGGGCTTTTATTTGTCTATTTGAACAGACTTGGTAGACACCCATAAGAAGATGTTTCATGCTAAACATCTAAGTTCTAGCTCATTGGGTTTTTTAAAAGAAGATTTTTTAAGTTTTTACTATACACATATAGTTAAAAACAATGACACCCCTGGGGCAGGGCCAGTTTTGACCCCGGACTTTTATTTGAACAAACTTTGTAGATATATTTACTAAAAGATGTTTCATGCTTAATATCTAAACTCTAGCCATTTGGGTTTTTTCAAAGAAGATTTTTAAGTTTTTGCTATACACAAAAAAGGAAAATTAATGACCCCCAGGGCAGGGCCAATTTTGACCCCGGGGCTTTTATTTGAACAAACTTTGTAGACACTGATTTGAAGATGTTTCATGCTTAATATCTAAACTCTAGCTATATGGGTTTTTTCAAAGAAGATTTTTAAGTTTTTGCCATACACATATAACGAAAATCAATGACCCCCGGGGCGGGGCCAATTTTGGCCCCAGGGCTTTTATTTGAACAAATTTGGTAGAAACCTATTAGAACATGTTTCATGCCAAATATCTTAGCTCTAGCTCTTTGGGTTCTTTAAAAGAAGATTTTTTAAGTTTTTACTATATGCATATAGGGAAAATCAATGACCCCCGGGGCGGGGCCAATTTTGACGCCAGGGCTTTTATTTGAACAAACTTGGTAGACACTCACTAGAAGATGTTTCATGCCAAATATCTAAGCTCTAGCTCTTAGGGTTGTTTAAAAGAAGATATTTAAAGATTTTTCTTTCGGATGCCATGGCAACCAGAGTTCTGCATGGAATTAAATTCTTTGAACAATTTTTAAAGGTGACTACCAAAGGAACATTCCTGTGAAGTTTGGATGAAATTGGCTCAGTGGTTTATGAGGTGATGTCATTTAAAGCAAAAGTTTACGGACGGACGGCCGGACGCCGGACGAAAAGCGATCACAAAAGCTCACCCTGTCACTTTGTGACAGGTGAGCTTAAAAGGGAAATAATTCTGTCAAAATCCATGTTAGAGTTAATGGGGCTTTGCTGAAATTAGTGTGTGACCTTCTCAATTATGAAGTAAGTACTTTGATTTTCACAAGAAAACAGAACTGGTTAGTCTATGTAAGGGAGTTGCGATTATATAAATACGCTCGGACCTTAAATTAAAGTGAACTTACATTTGAAAACTCATCATCAAAACTCAGAAAGGTCATTTACAGTGATCTTACATTTGAAAAAAAATTAAACTCATCATCAAAACTTGTTTTTGGAAAGATCTTGGCAGGTTGTACAAAAATAAGAACTTTTACCCAAAGTTTTTAGGGAATTTTTAATGTACAAAGGAAGAGAATATTTCCTGCCCCAACAAGAGATGCTAAAATGTCAAAGCTACCAAAGTCGATGACTTTTTTAAAAGGTTACTGACATGACTTCATATTCCTTTGTTTCAAATAACCATGCATTATATATAAAATGAATGCTCTGAAATACATGTAACCTATCCTTAAATTCATTTCCGTCACCCAATTACGCAAAAATTTTACACGCCAACAACCTATTGTTTAAATCCTGTTAACAAACAACGGAAAAACACTGTGTCTTTTACACACAGTGGTATTTCCATTTACTGTTTATTGATATTATCGTAACATTTCTATAATTCCTGATTAACTATCAACATATCATGTAAACAACAACCGGAATTGGTGAAAAACATAACACATTGTACCTTTACAAGTTGTTGTTTGCCACAGAAATGTTCTTTAAAAATTTTCATTACTAAACAGTTACGTTAATCAAAATAATCAAACATGCCTGTTGTAATGTTACAAAGATCTGCTTGATTTTTAAATTGAGAATTCATCTTGGAAATCAAACATCACCATTTATTTAATTTCTAAAATCATCTGAAGATATAAGTTAAAACTAATGAAGATTGTTTTAATTTTTTCTAAATATATACATTTATAACAATGTTAATAGAACACTGTCAATACAATTTCACATTTATTTTTCAAATCTCAAGCTAATTAACTTTTTATTTTCAAAATAATATAATTATAGTTGAATACTTTCCCACTAACAGAAAAAGAAAAAAAAACAATCAAAAGTAATACAGAGTTATGAAGATTCCTGAAGAAAAATCCAATACTTTTCACACCTTAACCCATTACTTCATAAAGACGTCTTTCCACCCCCCCCCCCCCCAGCCTTTTTGATGCCTCAAAATTTTTAATAGTGAAAAAAAATGCCCTAATTAGACCCCAAACACTTGTTTTTGTTTGAGAAACCGTGTTAAAAAAAGCCCCATCCCCCTTCTGCTTTGGGCTTTAAAGGGGGTCGGTAGACCAACTCATCTTCAAGAAAATTTTGGACTTGTGAGAGGCTAAAAATGGCCTCAGGTTGACCTTAAGGTAATGTGTAACCAACACTGAAAAGCCTTTGACTCAATCTCAATCCATTCAGATAATGCAGCACTTTGAAATCAGTTTTGATGGAAAAATCAAGGCAAAATAGTGATTCTTGGCAACTTTGAGATGTCCGCTCCTTGCCATGGTAATATTGAGTATGCCTTTACAAAGGCTATGGTCAGGTCAACATTTGTGCCAAGTTTGAACCGTATTAAAGCCTAGCAATTTGAACTTGTAACAGGAGGCTTTTCAATGAAACCAGCCATTTTTCACAAAATGCTCCTGAAGTAATTGGTTAGTAAGGCCACAAGGTCAGAAGTTTACTGTTCTCTGGGATAATCACTTTAGTTTTTCCCCCTCATTAATTTACCAATGTTCGTCATACATTAGCTGAATTAACATGTATCATTTAACAAAAACAATTGAAAGTATACTGAACTTATTCATTTTCACATAAAAAGTAGGTAAACAGGAAAATAATGGGAAAAACAGGACAAAGGTAAGAAATCTCAATTATGACAAACAAAAACAGGATAATAACACATGACGGAAGTTAGCTTCCCTCATCAGTATTATAAAGCTTACATGATTCAAATAATTGTTTCAGACTGGTACACTGTGCAATACAGATTGTCTCACTGTTATCAGGCTGGCACAATATGCATTACAGATTGTCACACACTGATCAGGCTGGCACAATATGCATTACAAATTGTCACACTCTGATCAGACTGCTACACTTTGCTTAACAGATCATCACACTCTTATACGACTGGTACACTTTGCATTAAAAATTGTCACACACTAACTGGTACAATATGCATTACAGATAGACCCACTCTTATCAGACTGGTACAATAAGTATTACAGATTGCCACATACTAATCAGACTGGTACAATGTGCATTACAGATTGTCACACACTTTTCAGACTGGTACACTGTGCATTACAGATTGTCACACTAATGAGACTGGTACACTGTGCATTACAGATTGTCACACTAATGAGACTGGTACACTGTGCATTACAGATTGTCACACACTTTTCAGACTGGTACAATGTGCATTACAGATTGTCACACTAATGAGACTGGTACACTGTGCATTACAGATTGTCACACTAATCAGACTGGTACACCGTGCATTACAGATTGGCACACTAGTTGGACTGGTACACTGTGCATTACAGATTGTCACACTAATCAGACTGGTACACTGTATTACAGATTGTCACACTAGTCAGACTGGTACAGTATGAATAACATATTATTACGTATTATTACATTCTTACCAGACTGGTACACTGTGTATTACATAGTGACACACCTGTATCATACTGGTGCAATGTACATTACAGATTATCACACTCTAAATCAGACTTATTCATTAAACAGATCACTTTTTAATAAATAACAGACTTTCACAATTTAATTTATCAGATTTGGACACAGTAAATTATTGTCTTATAAGATTCTAATCAGACATGCACGCCATAATTTACAACTGGTACATTGTACCATTGACTGGGACTATCAATTATATACTACAAAGCTTTAATTAATAAGATTTTTACATTATAGCACTACTCTTAATTAATCAGACTGGTACACCTAAAATCAAATATTGTCACATGTCACATTCAGACTGGTCCACTGTCCACAATCACACTAGACTGGTACACCTAAAATCAAATATTGTCACATGTCACCTTCAGACTGGTCCACTGTCCACAATCACACTAGACTGGTACACCTAAAATCAAATATTGTCACATTTCACATTCAGACTGGTCTACTGTCCACACAATTACACTGTAATTACAGACAGGCACACTATAAATGATCTTCTGTTCACATGTGACACAATATTATTGAGTGTCATCATACTATAACATTAAGAGAGGAATCATCACTTGAATGGTTATACACTGTATCTAGTGTTGACTGAAAATAGAAAAAAAACAACAATATTTATTCATAATACTAAATACTGGGGTGCGTTTCACTAACATACTTACATTATCGTAACTCCAGTTTGAAACGTAACTTTTTGTGTAATCAGAACATACGTATTTATTTGGGTTTCACTAAACTTTCTGAGCTACGTATTGGCATAGGTTTAAACATTAAGTTACGCTCACTTATTGCTGGCGTAAGTTGCATGTTCTGTTTAGTGAAATGCAACTAACGTAAATTTACATTTTGAGTATGTCCAAATTTACGTAAAAAGATACGCTAAACTTACGGAATATTAGTGAAATGCTCGCCTGATCACATAATGATTTTTAAAAAAAAAACATAATCTTTATAATGGGGTATCTGTTGACATCATTTTCAATGTGACAACTTCTAAAATAATACAAAAATAGCCTCTTAGAATATTATTTCTAGTATCACATGAGCAAACAGTAAAAGGTTTTAACTGTTTTCGAGAAACTGTAGAGGCAGATGTTACAAGTCTAGAACATGTCTCTTTAAAATTTTAAGAATTCTTGAATTCTAGAAATTTGTTGTTTTGTTTTCTTGAAAACAGGTTTGTTTAAATAATTAGAATTAGCAAATTATAAAAGATGTAATGAATTTACAAACTATACCAAGGTAATAAATGTTTAGATGGAAATATTTATTTGCTTTTATAAAGTGCGATTATGTGCCATTTGTTATAATGGTGAAGTCAGGGATTTATATTAAGGTGGTTTATTGTCTGTTCTCTAGCTAAATGATGGAAACGAGACAAAGTAGCTTTGGTCATGTCACAAGACGTGTTGTTGCTAGTGTAGTAACAACAAGCAAAAGTTTTTTTGTTTTTCTTTGGTTTTTATCATGTCATGTTTTTACTAGTTGTCACTAGTGTAATGACCACCACAAGGTAAATACACTTATAATTTTGTCTTTTCATTTGGGTGCTTTGATGCTAGTAAAAGATGAGAAAAAACAACAACAAAAAAACGGTTATTGATTTCATCTTAAATGAGCATTATTTCAGGCAACTTAAAGGCATCGAATTAGAACCAGCCACCTTCATTAGCTTGTTCAATGATAGCTTTCTCACACGTCACCTATCCTGACCGGATTTAATTGAACTAACAGTGGTGAGTGAGACTCCTGTATATCAGAGGTGGAATGCTGCAAAATTGATACGTACGACATCACATACAATTAAAAAAAAACCTTCATTTTTATGAGGTTACAAAGAAATTACCAAACAAGCATTTATGTTTTCAGCTCAGAAAAGCAAAGCATTTTACAGAGAAAACGACTGACTCACTTACACACATGTATTTATAGCTTGTAATGCAGTATAGGTGCGTGAGTGGAGGAAGGGGTGCGTATATAAAATGAAGCCTTCAAAAGTGCAATTTTAAAATGCATTTTTTTTTATAATTATATATTTTTCATTTTTTTTTATTAAATTTAGCATGCTGTTAAAGTCAAGGCAGAATATATGTACACTTTAGATAATTGAAGTTGTTACACTGCCGTACATTTAACATCTAGGAAATAATGTTTTTTTTTTGTTCAGTATAGTTACACAATTACAGTGAAATTTTCTCTATACATGTAAATAACAACAAAAAAAACAACCTGGCGACTACATGCTCGCCCCAATTTTTTCGGGGAGCATAAAAATGTTTAAATCCTCAATTTAAAGTTAAAAAGGGGCATAACTTCACAAATGTAGCTTTCAGACTTATGGCCCTTGTCTTACAAGCAATTCAAAGTTTCATGTTGATATCTCTTAAAATGAATGAATAATGGGCTACAATGAAGTTTTTGCATGACAACAATAATGACAACAATGACACTGTCATTTTAATAGCTCAAACTCTCTTAAAAAAGACCAGCTAAAAATGATAAATGGTTTTGCCCATATTAAAAGACAGACAAGCCCATTTCAGATATTTAGGAAAGGTAGGGGTCAATGTAATACTATACTTTTTACCTTTTCAGTGATATTTCATGCCTCATGCCTTAAGTTTCTTTTTATCTAATTTATCACACTGACTAAAACAAACATTTCCATCAAGTTAAACAATTAATTTATACCCTTAGGCTTCTAGTGTGACTTAATATACCTATGTGACCAGTGCAGATCAAGATCAGAGTTGGCATGGATACATCCGTGCCGACTTGTCATAGTCTGCACTGTTACCTAGTCAGTCAGTGCTTATTTTGAAAATTTACCTATAAATTATTAATGATTTAGTCCAGATTGAAAGATAGAGTCCATTTAGTCACCTTAGTGTTTGAAATTATTTGTTGTCCAATAGGATCGCAGTATTTCTAATGAATCGTAACACATTTACTTTAATAAATCGCCAAACTGTTTATCAGTGAAGTAAATCGACTGCTTATAAAAATAATTTAAAACACTAAGGCCGTTAAACTTTATTAGTACGTATTTACAAAATTAAATTGGTCGCGCTGCTATGCCACACCTGACCAATTTAATTTTGTAAATACTCACTAATGAATTGTAACCTACAATTAGTGCAGTACCGGGTTACGTCTCCTAAATTTAACTACGGAGGTTATTGTACTTTGGTGACGATTTCAGGTATTTCGTGTAAGAAAAGGTTAACAAACAGAGAATAAGGAAAAGGAGGAGCGAAGCAGCCAATTAACTGTTAAATGTATAAATATAAACATATTGTATTACATTATCTGCCTGAATAAATATAACATAATTTGAGCCACACCATGGCATAACCAACATAGTGCGTTTGCAACCAGCATGGATCCAGACCAGCCTGCACATCTGCTCAGTCTGATCAGGATCCATACTGTTCGCTATCAGTTTCTCTACTTGTAATAGGTTTGGTAAGCAAACAGCATGGATGCGCAGGCTGGTCTGGATCCATGCTGGTCGCAAACTCATTACATGTAGTTGGTTTTGTCATGACGCGGCTCATATCAAATTGCACAAAGAACTCTTACAGGACAGTTTTAAAGATTTCTTGCTCTCCGATTGTTTTGCATAAAAATTAAACTTTGATATTCTGTTCCTGCTTGTAAGGTGAAAGTACCTCCTACAATATAAACCAAAACAGAAAAAAACTTTAAAAAAGGTTCATTTTCAACATTATATCAGGGTCCTTCAACTAGAAAAACCCTGATTATGTACATTATTAAACTGGTATATATATAAAATAGCATATGAACAATTTCAAAGCGTGAAATTTAGAGCAAAATGCCATAAGAATTAATTTAAAATATAATCCTTTATTTTAACAGAAAAAAAATAATTTTTTTTTCAAAATTTCTTTTAGCTGACATAAAAATCAAGCATTTTTCTTAGGCGAACATGCAAATTGGAAAAATCTGTACATGTTTACAAAGCAAATAAAATGAATTCTAGATGCTAGCATTAATATTTAACACATTTAAATTAGTCATATTATGTTGACACAGCATTCAAAACTAACATTTTAGTCACTTTACAATACCTATACAACTCACATATAATTACATAATTAATAATAATTATCAGTTTAAAAAATAGCAACAGACTAACTCCGGAATTAAAAAAAAAAAATTTGGGTTTCCCTAGGTATACTGTGGAAACATTCAAACTTATACAGTTTAAGCTTGGAAAATAAGCATAAAATGTGAACTTATCTATTGTGAACTGTATTTTATCGTGAAGTCAAAAACAGTAAAAGTTTGCTTGTACTGGAGATTAACTTGAAAAAAAAAAAACCAACTTGTCCCACATTTATGCTGAGTTTTGGATAACAGCTAATTAAACCTGCTATTATAATTTTTCTATCCACTTTGTAACCTTTAAGTTTCTTATGGCAAAATTTAAAATACATAATAATGTATTTACTAGTCTGGAAGTATGTAAAACACAAAATCTTTAGTTCTTCTCATTCCATAAGTTTAAGCTCACACAGATATAAATGGGTGTTTAGTTAGTTTCTGTGACAGTTATCAAGTGTAATATTATAGCACACTACATAAATTACTGGTCATATATCTACAATACACAATCCCAAAAAAAAACATGTAAATGATTGATATGAACCATAAGTACAATTATCACAAACGAGTATAATTATACACACTCCACACCTGCTTTGTCTTCACATCTGTACAGCCCATCTAGAACTATCTAAATTCATTGATAGATAGAAGTGAATTTATGGCCATTGACTTTTCTTGTTTTGAATGTGGAATAATGTTTACGCATAGTTCCAAACTGGCTGTACAGATGTGATGTGGAAATTTTAGAAATAAAGGTGAAGATGAATAGATGTCGAGACTGTTTAGATGTAGAGTCTTACAGATGTGGTGACTGTTTTGATGTGAACCTATATAAATGTGGTTACTCTACAGATGTGGAGTTTGAATATAGACATGATGTCAGTACATATGTGGATACTGTACCAGACAAAGAGACGATAAAGATGTGGAGACTACACTAGATGAGGTGACTGTATGGAGACCTGCAAGACTCTTGACTGTTTGTTTAGTATGTTATTATAAAGCCACTCAGACTTGTAGTTTGGTAAGTAAGGTCACTCCCCCACCCCCCTCCAGTTTCCAATGGTATTTCAGCTATCTTCCCAGACAGATATTACCTGATAAATGTCCATTTATTATGTACCAATACTAATTAATCCTTTCTGCAATTACAGTAAAACTTCTGCAATGAAATATCCTCTGGAAGGCAGACATTTTGATGTTGCTGAGAGGCGTTGCTCCAGAGAGGTACAATTTTATTCGGAAGTTGTAGAGAGGTAATTGCTCTACAGAGGGGCCTCTCAGTAGAGGTTTTATTTAGGGGTGTCACGGTCAGAAAAAAATGCTATCCATTTAAACGGCAACCTTAAAACCGTGTTTAACGTTAAAACAACCATACTAATACAATCCTTAGATTTTTAAACATTTATTTAACTTTGTTACTTTATGACAAAATAAGACATTTTAATCGTATTTAGTTGTACTCAAGTGATTATAATATTTAGTGCTCGCCAATTTTTTTAAGCCAATCCCCTACGAGGATTTTTCAAATTTTCAGGTTACAAATCTTAATAGAACAGATTTTATATAAACTGGACGTTTTATATTATAAAACGCAAGTGGGCGGAGCACTTAGCCGGTTAGAGTGCATATTGGATGTTCTTCGTAAATAAGAAAGCTACAGTCGCTTCGCAAGCTCCGCTCTTTTTTAGCTTTCTTATTTACGAAGAACACCCAATATGCACTCTAACCTATACATATCCAATATATAGTAACTATTTTCTGTTAGGGTTGTACCTTACTCGATCAGATCGGAAAAAATACATTGTTGAGTAGAAAGAACTAAAACTATAAATAAATTGTCTTATCTCGTCATTAAACACTTAAGTAATACTTAGAATTGTTTTACAACTTTTTCCTCTCTTTGTAAAAACTAACCTTGGTTATTGAATTTCCTTTCCAGTTTTCAACTAAAAACTGTACCCATTTAAACAGATAAACGTGATGCCCCTAGTTTTTTTGTACCTCTCTATGTAGATCTGTTAAATCAGTATTAAATGGAGAAAGATGTTCAGTCAAAACTACTTAATCAAACATCATTGGCAACACCAAAACAAATCCTCACAGGGCACTAGTTAAATAAAATTGAAATGGAATATTGATAGAGAAAAAAAAAAAAATCAACACAACATGCAAGCAATAGAAAGTTCTCACCTTTGGTGGCAGGTAAAAGCAGCATGGTAACCAGCAGATTCCCAGCTTCTTCATCAAATGAACTTCACCGAACATAACAGGACAGAAATAATTTGTGGTGGAGAGAAAAAGTAACAGAGAGCCGAGTAAACACCACACGGCCGATAGCAACGATATCACTGAGTATTTGTGTACCTAAAATACAAACATAAAGTAAATTCTTATGAATTTTTCAAAGGGCACCTCTGTCTAAAATAACAACAGTGAATAAGTTTTCATATATTGAACATACAGAATACATGGTTGATGTTGGGATGGAGAAATTTTATCTGGTGAGAGTCAAATTGAATCTTGACAAGTTTTAGGAAGCAAAGATTCACTTTCGCAGCGAACTGGATAAACCTTCTCCTATCCATCCCAATATCAATGATGTATTTGATTTACCCTGCTTTTGTCTACTTTGATCATGTTTTTAGATTATTTAAATGGTTTCATTCTTACTTTTCCCCTGATAAAAAACAGAGTCTATATGTTTAGTTTTGCTGCTTACTAAGTGTCGTCATTATGACGTAATGACTGGAGATAGATAAGTTTATCTGGCAAGGCTTTATTCAGCTGATTATAGACAGTAGCAGGATAAAATGCAAAAACTGCACCTGGCAAAGTGGTGTTGATCTATAAATAATAAGGGATGTTTTTAAATTTAAGGTCTATAATGCCATATATAATTATGTTGATAGAATTTAATATTGTATGTGCGATACCAAAACCACCAAACCATGAAATAATTATACATGGGTGTTGTTTGTAAGTGTGAGATGCATGATCCGATATGACATATAAATAGATATAGTAGATAATAAATTTTTCTAGAACAAAATATTATTATTCATCAAACAAATGACTTTGAACTCAAGTTATTGGTGAAAACCTGTATCAAATAAAACATTTATCTAGAAAAATTATTTCTAGCCGTGTTATGTCAAAAAAACTTGGTGGAGTCCCTTTAAAATTTAGCAACCAGTAAAACAGGTTGTGGTCAGACAGAACTATAGCACAGGCCTGTCTGGCTTCCATTAGTTTATTATTATCCTTGCTGCAGCACTATATCATAATACTAACCTAAAAGTAAAACGAGCCATGTTAACATGGCCGTCCCCTGGCGAATGTGTTTGCTTATTGGAAGAATGTATATGTAGTAGAGCAGAATAATTCATTATTCTTGTGCAATGCACACCTCCTGAGTTAGATCTATCCACCTATGAAGTTTCATGTTGATATCTTAAAGCCTTTTTGGTTATGCTCTGGACAAAAATTAAGTATGAACAAGAGCCACCGCCGGGCGGGGGCAACGCTCGACTTTTTACTTTTTCTAAACGCAAACATAGAAAGGTTTGAACATATATTAACATTTCCTTTTTATAAATTAAGTTGGTCTGTCTTGTCACATTAGTTTTCTTTATATATTTTGTATATATATGAATAGAAACATTAAGCATATTTCTAAAAATAGCAACAGTACGCAATTTCTTAAAATAGCAACATGACGCAATTTCAAAAAATAGAAAAAATGACGCAATTTCTAAAAATACAAAAAAATGACATAATTTCTAAAAATAAAAAAAGTGACACAATTTCTAAAAATAGCAACAATGATGCAATTTCTAAAAATAGAAAAATTGACGCAATTTCTAAAAATAGAAAAAATGACGCAATTTCTAAAAATAGCAACAATGACGCAATTTCTAAAAATAGAAAAAATGACGCAATTTCTAAAAATAGAAAAAATGACGCAATTTCTATAAATAGCAACAATAACGCAATTTCTAAAAAATAGAAAAAATGACGCAATTTCTAAAAATAGCAACAAATTCTAAAAATAGCAACAATGACGCAATTTCTTAAAATAGAAAAAAATGACGCAAACGCAATTTCTAAAAATAGCAACAATGACGCAATTTCTAAAAATAGAAAAAATGACGCAATTTCTAAAAATAGCAACAAATTCTAAAAGTAGCAACAATGACGCAATTTCTTAAAATAGAAAAAAATGACGCAAACGCAATTTCTAAAAATAACAACAATGACGCAATTTCTAAAAATAGAAAAAATGACGCAATTTCTTAAAATAGCAACAAATTCTAAAAATAAAAAAAATGACGCAATTTCTAAAAATAGCAACAATGACGCAATTTCTAAAAATGACGCAATTTCTAAAAATAGAAAAAAATGATGCAATTTCTAAAAATAGAAAAAAAAAATGACGCAATTTCTAAAAATAGCAACAATGACGCAATTTCTAAAAATAGAAAAAAATGACGCAATTTCTAAAAATAGAAAAAAATGAAGCTTTTTCTAAAAATAGCAACAATGACACAATTTCTAAAAATAGAAAAAAATGATGCAATTTCTAAAAATAGAAAAAATGACGCAATTTATATATATATATATAATGTATTTTTGTGTGTGTATATATATATATATATATGTATATATATTTGATATAATATATATATATATATATATATATATATATATATATATATATATATATATATATAATAATGTATGTATATATATCTATTTGATATATATACATATCTATTTATATATATATATACACACACACACACACACACACACACATTTATATATATACAGTTGACTCTCAATAAGTCAAAATCGCTTTACTCAAAATTCCGCGTTAGTCGAAGAATTTCTAAAGTCCCGTCAAATTTCCTTCTTTATCTTTGTATTTTAACTCCGCTTAGGTCAAATTTTGACTTACCGAGATTCCTGTTTAGTCGAAAAGAAAATTGGGTCCAGTCAATTAAAGTTCAACATATTTTCATAACAATTAGTCGAAGTGTGAAAACAGCCGACTGATGTCGGCAACAGCAAGGTGAGATGTTGTCACTCGTGATTCACAAGTTTCATGGTTATTTTAATTGCCGGTCATCATGTATTATTAAGACGTCGTAAAAGTGGCTTTAATCGGTTTTATGACTTAATTGGTTTTATCAGTTAGATAACTAAATTAAGATTTAATTGATTTGATTGTAAAGAAGTCCATATCTGATCGAAAGTATCATTCACCAAAATGACAAAGGAAAGTTGGCTTGTGCCATTCTTACATGTGTTAGTCAAATAAGGCTTAGGTATCAACGTAAATGACATTTGTATAATTAATGTTCCGTCATATTGCATACGTTATTATGTAGTTCCGGTTCACCATATATGCTACTTTTGTTTTCGTCCGATGATCAATCTACTTCAAATATTAGATAAATTGAAATAAATGTGTTATTGTGCTTTTATTGTAATGAATTGTCATGCTTATTAAAAACATGTGCACCGGTTAAATATTGCAGCATTGCCGCTATCAACAATAACAAACCTACTTCTTTGCACATTCAATCAGGCACATGTATATACTCGTACAATGTACGAATGTCAACGTAATGGCGGTAGATCCACGTTACTCGAATTCCGTTTCTCTCGAAGTAAAATGCCCAGTCCCTTGGATTTCGAGTTACCGAGAGTCAACTGTATATATAATACATATACATACACACACACCAATAAATGCACAATCTGAGAAAATTCAGTAATATAACCTTCAAGGTCAAGGTCATTAAAGAGCCCAAGCAAATTTGGGTTTGATAAACAACAAGGTCTGGTCCTTAAGAATGTTCTGTTATAATATGAAGTTTATCCCTTCAAAAATAGCAAAGTTACAGTCAGTTACCGCCAAAACAATGAAAATTTCAATAATTTGACCTTCAAAGACAATGTCATTAATGAGTGAAGGTCAAGGTCTTTCAGTATATTTTTAACAGTTATCTTTGAAGATTATTATGTTCAAGTTTGAAGACAATCCATTCAAAAATAACAAAGTTACAGCCAATAATAGCCAAAAAAATGAAAATTTCAATAATTTGACCTTCAAAGTCAAGGTCATTGATGAGTGAATGTCAAGGTCTGACTGGTTATTTTTAAGGGATATCCTTGAAGATTATTATGTTCAAGTTTGAAGACAATCCATTCAAAAATAACAAAGTTACAGCCAATAACAGCATGAACAAGCAAAAATTGGACTTTTAACCTTGAAGGTCAAGGTGATTTATGGATGAAGGTCAAGGTTAGTGTGGTCTACTGAAAGGTCTTGTCCCAAAGGTTGTTGTGGCCAAGTATGAAGACAATACACCAAGAAATAAAAAAGTTATGATCCAGGTACAAGTTTTCGGACGGCAACGGCAACGGCAAAGGCAACGCCGACCTGACTATAACAATACCTCTACTTTTTTTTTCAAAAAAAAAGAAGTCGAGCTAAAAATAACAAAGGGCAATAACTGAAAAATAATGCAAGGTAGAGTTATCATTCTTATGCACTGCACTCCTCCTCAATATGATCTATCCACCTATGAAGTTTCAAGTTGATACCTCAAATACTTTTTGAGATATGCTCAAGACAAGAATGTGGGACGGAAGGACAGATGGACAGACAGAGACTATTTCTATACCCCCCATCACCTTTTTGGCAGGGAATAACAACTGATTTTAGCAAAATTAAGATGCAATTTATGATTCAAAGTTACAAAAATTGTAAACAATAATAAACACACAGTTTTGAAATCGAAGTTACAAAAATTGTAAACAATAATAAAACACAGTGAGGTGAAGTACTATAAAGCTGATTACAAATGATACAAGTTATCAACAATTGTTTAATCTCAAGTATGATAATTATTTTGAAAATTGACAAAACTGAATATAAAGATATCATATCTTATCAAATTTCTAATTAAATCTACCTTAGGCTTCTTTTATCATTTTTGTTTGTTTTTATTTTCATTCTATTTCAATACAATTTCTGGTTACGTTGTACTTCGCACCAACAGTGACTGTGTGAAGGACATTATTATGGTGACTTCCCAGCTTAACTGGTAGAGTAAGACCTCGAGTACCCCTCTGTGCATTCTTTCTGACACAAACAGGCTCCTGAGTAGAACCACAGATGTTCCAAAAACTACCTTGATACCTTCTTTACATGAAAGAATTCAAAGTCCTTGACGTGATTTGAACCCACAGCAGTGAGGGCATGTGGTTTGACGTCAACAATCTCAAACCTCAAGGTCCACATATATTCAGTTAAAATTCATTAAAATATTCTTTAAAAGTAAACAGATAATTTCAATTTGATTTGGTCACAAAAAATTTTTTCTTTCAAAAAAATAGGAACATAATGCTAGCATGTTATAACTTATCTTAACAAAATTAATTACTATTTATCTAATACCATTAAAATGATGGATATGATACTTTTTTAAAATTGTTTTTAATTTGTACCTTTTCCAGGACATCCTTACATTCTTGTGAATGGAATGGAAAGAATTCATTGCACTGAAAAAATAAAATGAATATAAACTTATCAAATGTGCTAAAAATAAATTCCATTTTTGGGATTATTTTGCACCATCAAAATGACTCTACTGTAAAAACAGAGTTAAGTTATTGTTCTAGACTTTCATAACATTAATGGTACATAAATCCCAAAAATATTTCTAGTCTTTAAATGTCAAACAAGAGCACCGCTAGGCAGGGCATTATATGCCCTAAAGTACTTTAGCTGTAGGTTGATTAATGCTTGAATTATTGAGCGAAAACTGTTTCCAGTTTAAAGGTGATAGTAACCTTGATCTTTGACCTTGTGACCCCAAAATCAAAAGGGGTTTTCTACCCAATATGGACAATCATCCTATGAAGTTTGAATACTCTGGACGAAATGGAACTTAAGTTATGCTCCGGAAACCATTTTCAGTTTTAGGGTAATAGTGACCTTGACCTTTAACTTTGTGACCCCAAAATCAATAGGGGTCTTCTACCCAATATGGACAATCATCCTATAAAGTTTGAAAACTGTGGGCAAAATGGAACTTAAGTTATGCTCAGGAAACCATTTTCAGTATTAAGCTAATAGTGACCTTGACCTTTGACTTTGTGACCCCAAAATCATTAGGGGTCTTCTACCCAATATGGACAATCATCCTATTAAGTTTGAATACAGTGGGCCAAATGGAACTTAAGTTATGCTCCAGAAACCATTTTCAGTATTTAGCTAATAATGACCTTGACCTTTCACCTTGTGATCCAAAAACCAATAAGGTCTTCTACCCAATATGGGCAATCATCCTATGAAGTTTGAAAACTGTGGTCCAAATGGAACTTAAGTTATGCTCAGGAAACCATTTTTAGTTTTATGGTAATAGTGACCTTGACCTTTAACCTTGTGAACCCCAAAATCAATAGGGGTCTTCTACCCAATATGGACAATCATCCTATGAAGTTTGAATACAGTGGGCCAAATGGAACTTAAGTTATGCTCCAGAAACCATTTTCAGTTTTACTGTTATAGTGACCTTGACCTTTGACCTTGTGACCCCAAAATCAATAGGGGTCTTCTTCCCAATATGGGCAATCATCCTATGAAGTTTGAATACTGTGGGCCAAATGGAACTTAAGTTATGCTCCGGAAACCAAATTGCTAACGGATGGACGTATGGACGGACGGCCGGCCGAAATGGAATAAGGGGCCATTTCTTTTGTTATATTCTATTGTTTAATAGAGGGCCAATGGCATCTTACTTTATTGTTACGGAATGAACTCTATTGTTCTCTTTTGTTCTGTTTACAGTTAGATGGCCCTCTATCCCTATTCGGTAGTGCGGACAGACAGACAGACGGACGGACAGACTGACGCCAGGGGGTATAACATTATATGTCCGAAATTCTTTCGGGCATATAAAAACCTCAGTGGAGCCCCTTTAATGACCTCTGAACTGAAAAATAATGCAAGTCTGAATCCTAATAAAGACAACACAAACTATTTTCACTTTCAGAATTCTGGACACTTTACATATTTAAGTTTATCATTTTCTAGTAGGTTTTTTACTGGCCCATTTTGATGAGATTTAACTCAATACAGGATTGAAGCAGTGCCTCTTGTGGCTTGCAGAAATCATGATCACAAAATAGACAATTTTTTTTTTCATCAATTCTTACATTTTTAATTCATTATCATATATAAATCGGAGTGAAGAGATGAATAAATTGTTTTAAAGTTCATTCCATTGAGTGTAAAAGGTGAGATTATAACATTTAATAATTCAATCACCTTATCTGGCATATACTGGAATACAATATTAAGTGTGGTGTTCCAGTCCTGTCTTTAGTCTCACTCATTTTGATGACCAATATTGGGTCATGACCCCAATGCAAAAAGAATGTTTTCTTCCCAACTTCAAGGAGAAAATTCCTAATTCAAGGGGTTAAGTATGATTATTGTCATAGCACTGTGCCATAGAAAATAATAATCTTGCATTCAAACTTGTACTTATGATTGAAATATAAAAGAGGTTTAATCAACCAGATATTTTAATCTTTTTGTCTTATTTGAAGAAGTTACGATTTGTTGTCAGTATTCTCAATTTGTCTAAAACATCGTAAAATTTCCCAATTCTGGGGATCAGGTCACGTTCCCAAAGTGCTGAGAAAAAACTCTGTCTTGTCTTAGAATAGAAAATTACATGAACCAACCATCCCCTCCGAGACGAATTGGTGTACTCTCTTGACTAAAATAGAAAATTACTTGAACCAACCATCCCCTCCGAGACGAATTGGTGTACTCTCTTGACTAAAATAGAAAATTACTTGAACCAACCATTCCCTTTGAGACGAAAAGGTCTACTCTAAGCATTTGACCAGAATAGAAAATTACTTGAACCAACCATCCCCTCCGAGACGAATTGGTGTACTCTCTTGACTAGAATAGAAAATTACTTGAACCAACCATTCCCTGTGAGACGAAAAGGTCTACTAGCTTTTGACTAGAATGGAAAATTACTGTAACCAACCATCCCCTGTCAGTACTACATGTAGAGGTCAAATCTTGGTATCATCCTTACATCAGGGATTGGTTTTACATAATGTATATTGTCACGTATCATCAGTTTATACTACAAAATCATTATTATTCGTGAGGCACTAATTTTCATGGTTTTTGAGGATAGGTTAATCCAACAATTTAGGATCCAATCCAACAAAATTTCATTTCGACTGCTGTTAGATTATTTTGCATCACAATATTTACATTTTACCTTAATTAAATACAGACAGTCCATGAATTTAAGAACCCACGAAAATGGTCTTAGTGACAAAACCACGAAATTCCATGACCACGATATTAAGTGAATCCACAGTAAAGTACCATGGTTTCACATAATTCCATGGGCATAAAATTGTATGGTTTTGTCAAAAAGAACATTTTCATGTTGTTGTTTTTTTGTAGATCTAGATTGTCTTTTTTTTGTGAAAAAAAAATAAAATAAAAATGCAAATAATGTAACGCAGAAATCAAACAGACGAAATAGATAATCATCAAAGGATCTTATTTTGTGGACTGACCTATCCACGAAAATAAGTGTCGCACGAATAATGATAACTTTGCAGTAAAACCTTGCCTCCAAATGTCCCGAAACCAGGACAGTGAGTAAGGTCATTTAAATAACATTAGGAGATATTTATTCCTACTTGTTATCTATAGATATAAATGTGATAAAATTTATTATCATTCATTATCACATAAAGACGGACAGAAAACAACTGCGATATTAAGTTATTAATACCACAGCATGGGGTCATTATTCACCGGATATAATGTTGTAAGGAGTGAAAACAAAAACGGAGAAAATAACCGGAGTTAAGAAAAACTTATTTCTCAGTACATTTGGGTTAAATTTTTATATATACATATGTCAAAATACATGCCAGGTATGAAATATGAACAAGTATCAAGTAAAAAAAAAAATGTGATTTTTTGACTTTTTTGCCATTGCTAACGAGAGAAGTTGCTTTCCCAAGTAGAGAAAATCTAGTTTCAACCAAAAATAAAAAATTGTGAATTGACAAGTTTTCCCCAAACTCTCGTCATGTACTCACATACGAATTTTTTTATTAAGATAGACAAACAATTGACGTCTACAGTGGCAAATAATTCAAGAGAGTCGTGGCATGGCCCAGTGGTTAACGCGTCATACTAGAAATCTAAGGATTGCTGACACGTTGGGTTCAAACTCTGTAAGAGGCTGCTGGCATTGTTTCCGTGAGCAAGAATCTTTACATGCATTGCTTAGTACTGGTTGGTTACATGAATTCGATAGTGTTTCAGTAAGCTTATATTTGCCAACACAGTCAAACTAAAGTAAATTTGTATAAACTAAATGATTCAAAATACTACTTTAGTTTAGTGTTTGCTATCTTTAAGAAACATAACTTCATGTTTATAGCCACTTTTTTCAGTTGTTAAACATCTATCATGCACTTTATCCATTATTTAAACATTATCAAACACATGTTGGACATGTCTAAAGAATTAAAAAAATACTGATTTTTGAGGCATAATGTGCCTTTAATGATGAAAAAAAAAGATGATGATGATTATAAAAGAGCATGCCTCTAGATTCATGCAAATTTTTATTATAAAAATTTGAAAATGTATTTAAAAGCAAAATATTGTTAAGTTAACAAAGAAAGTAATTTAAACATTGTAAACGGCACTAACAGTCCCATAAATTAACAAGATATGCATAAACAGTCCTTACTGCATTAGTCATGTAAGTTATATAAAAGAAATCACAGGTGGTCCGCACATTGGTTAGTCACTAAAAACAAGAGCTGTCTGTAGGACAGCAACGCTCGACTATTCTTAGTGCTTGATAGTAAAAAAAAATCCTTGATACAATTACCTCCTCCTGTTTACAGGTTGGGGTAATGATGGTGAACAAGTGTACAAAGTTTCAAAGCCATATGTCAATGGACTTTGAAAATATTTGAACTATTACAAAAACTTTAACGTAAATTCTAAGTCAAAAAAGGGGCATACTTCTGTCAAAATGCTTGATACAGTTACCTCCTCCTGTTTATAGGTTGGGATAATGATGGTGAACAAGTGTGCAAAGTTTCAAAGCCATATGTCAATGGACTTTGAAAATATTTGAACTATTACAAAAACTTTAACGTAAATTTTAAGTTGAAAAAGGTGCTTTATTCTGTCAAAATGCTTAATACAGTTACCTCCTCCTGTTTACAGGTTGGGGTCATGATGGTGAACAAGTGTGCAAGGTTTCAAAGCCATATGTCAAAGGACTTTGAAAATATTTGAACTATTACAAAAACTTTAACATAAGTGGTTACGCCGACGCGGACACCAACGCCGACGCCGACGCTCGGGTGACTACAATAGCTCTACTTATTCTTATCGAATAGTCGAGCTAAAAATACATATATACTAAATATATATGAGCCGCGTCACGACAAAACCAACATAGTGCCTTTGCGACCAGCATGGATCCAGACCATTCGCGCAGTCTGATCAGGATCCATGCTGTTCGCTTACAAACCCTATATACAAGTAGAAAAACTGATAGCGAACAGCATGGATACTGATCAGACTGCGCATCCCAGACTGCGCGGATGCGCAGACTGGTCTGGATCCATGCTGGTCGCAAACCCATTATCTTGGTTTTGTCGTGACGCGGCTCATATGTTTATTTTGTAGGGTTTTTTTGCGTTGTAATCAATCAATGTGCCAAACACCTGTGGCAGAAATATGATGATAAATACCGTAATTATTCTGAAAAATCAATCATAAATCGCACATAAACATAACATATAAATTATTAATAAAAACTTGAATCTCTTGACTTTTTCTTTAAAATCTTAGTACATTTTTTCTAAAGTTTGCTTTTCTTGAAATACATACAGTTATTATATTTCGGTTCATCTGGAGGCATGCAGCTTTAAGTAAAGTATAATATGAATCAACTGTTGGCGTACTCACCTTTGTTGAATCTATAATTTGCGTATCTACACTACACCATAGTATAAGTATAAACATAGCCAAACATGCTAGAAAACCAATCACCGATACCACATAGAACTGTGTTACCTGAAAATTCACACAGACAAAGTGTTACGCATTGATTCATTTAACTCTTGTATTTAAACCTAATATAAATTTTGTTTATTACAGTGAATTTGTTCGAAATAAACTATGTTTAAACTAAATTTGTTCCTTATTCACTCATACAAGTGTCAGTGGGTATTTAAAGTGACATAATGACTATTCTAGGGTATATAGCGAGTTAACACATGAAAATCAAAACAAGTTTCAGAATAATCAATATGAACTATTGTTGTTTAACCTTTTACCGCATGAGCATATCGCAAAAATGGCTGTTTTCTTTGAAAAGCCTCCAGTTACAAGTGCAAACTGCAATGACACTGAAAAAAAAATGCTTCAATACCAATCAAACTTGGCACAAATATTGACTGGACCATAGCCTTTGTAAGAGCATCATCAATCCGAAATTTCCTGTTTCCATGGCCATGGGGGACATCTCAAAATTGCCAAATGCACTATCTTGCATTGTTTTTTCCATCAAAACTGATTTCAAAGTGCTGCAACTTCTCACTGGATTGAGATAGAGTCAAAGGTTGAACCCAGGACCATTTTTAGCCCCTCACAAGTCCAAAATATTCTTGGCGTCGAAAATGTGATCACTTTTTTGAACAACATTTCTCAAACAAAATACAGTGTTTGGGGTCTAAATAGTCATTTTTTTCACTATTTGAGGCCTCAAAAAGGGGGGGTGGGGTGGAAACCCGCAAAACACGCTTATATAAGGTAATAGGTTAAACAATATAATTTTTATCAGAAATAGTATACAGTTCTCTGGGCCTCATAGCAATATAGTGACCTCACAGTCAAAAAATTGAAAACAACAAGAAACAACAAAAACAAAAATATCTCAATAACAAACACTAACATAACTATAATAAACTGAAAAGTTAAATAACAAGTTTGGAAAGGAAACGTTACCATTGGTTAATTTAATAATCTTTGCTCTGAATTAACCAATCAAGCAATACTCTATGACTGGTTTTCAACCTCAACTTTTATCGCCCTTAAATAGACATAATAACCTACTACACAGTCTAATATAACATTAATATAATATTACAGATTGACCTGTCAGTATTGACCAGTCTTCACAGATTGATGGTAAAATGTCGACATACTTTTAAACACATAATTTTCCATATTTTCATTATATGAACTATTAAATTTTTGTTCTTTGTTTTTCATGTAAGATCGAAATATATTTCACAGAGTGAACACCAGGAACAATATTTTTATTAGTGACTTAGCTAAAAGTGAATATACAACAACATGTAGCTGCAGTGGTTCAAACCCCGTCAAGGTTAAGCTATCAGGGCTCATCCGGAAGGGCGATTCAGGCGAAAACTTCGCCGTGTATATTTCCATTTCGCTCTCCCAATTGATCAAAGAGAAGTCAACATCGCCGATAAAATCTTAATTCCCAAAGACTAATTACTTGGCGATGTAAAGAGCAGAGATTGTATCCGCCCATATGACGACTGCTAATTATCATTATCCAATCAGAGCGTCGCTTTATACTACCCTTCTACATGTATGCAAAGCAATAGACCGCCTACTCTAAACAGTAAATAATGAGAGCATCGGCCCGAAACGGGTATAATTGTGTGACAGTTTTGCGAGTTTAATACGGGATTAGGCGATAATTATAGATTGTTTTTTTCCCGATCATCTAAACACGTGCATATCTTCCCTAATTGATATACACGCGGTGTTTAAACCGAGTAATGGCGATGTGCAATGGGTTTTTCACGGCTATCACAAAACTGTTAGTCAATTAAAAATAATCAATTTCATTAATGATCAGCGACCGGATTAAAAACTTAATTATAGTTTTGAATAATTTCAGTCCGGTTACATGAATTAAAAATTATGTCGCTCACGTCATGGCAACAGGGCGAAAGTTGCTGATTCTGATACACCTACGCGAAAATTTAAGAAAGCCAATTCGCAAAAATCTAACGATTGATATGTTGTAAACAGTGAGTGTTTATTTGACACAGCTTACGCTCGTGGGCACGACATCCCGGAAAAACTACGAATCATGATCGGCATGCTACATATCGGTCGTATATCATGTGTACATGTATATAACAACAAAATTTGTCAGGAAGAAATGTTCTTATAGTTTTAATATATATATTTGTTCTAATGTCATAAATATGACGCTCAGATTAAGATTTATCAATATTGTAAATTTCAAAAAGCATAATTTATAAAGACATTACGAGTTAAACATTTTATGAAAATAAAGGGAGGTAATTAGAAATTTATTTTCTATAATTTTAGCGATCAAATATAATGTGCACAAATGTTTGCAGTACATATTTTACATATTCTTCGATGTTTGAAAATTGTTTTATAAGCATAATTATATGCACATAAATCTGACATTACAACACACAAGATCATAAAAAAAATTTCTGTAATCATTCTAACAGAATAGATATTGTTAAGCAATATCCAATGTAACTTTATCTTCTATTAAAAGTGAGGAAAGTAATAGTATAAAAGTAACTTATTCATCATACTTTTTCTTACACATTATTATCAATAAATCTACATGAAAATATATAAACAAATATTTAGAGAAAGCTTATAAATAGCTGATAAATAGATTAATTGTGTTCATATTATAGTTAAAGGATGTATAGCCATGCATGTTAATGCATACACATTGGGTTGTTTCCCTTCTCCCTATTTTTCGCGAGGAAGTCACTTCTCCCTAAAATTTCCCCCCAGGATGAGCCCTGGCTATTGTTGTCTTTAACAAGAAACTAATTAACTCATTACTTAGTACTTGTTGGTTCCAGGAACGGATTTGAGAGTGTTTCAATAAGCTTAAAGCTTCCTACACAATCAAACTAAATTAAATTCTGAAAAAGCTATACTTACTGAGGTGATATCTCTAACACTGGAAGCTCTGACGGCACAACTTCCTGCTAAAACCAGCTGAAAATAAAGTCATATGATATCATAAAGAACAGAATTAAAGAACTAGAATTTACTGAAGCTTCCAGCTTCCTTCATGATTTTGTTAAAAGAATTGTCTGGCTAAAATTTCAGGTGCTAGATCAGACAGATGGACTGAAAAAGTAGCGGCTATATGCCTCTCTGTTAGAGTGCAACAAATTGTTTTAATGACCACAGCTCTTCTGAAAATAGACTTCTCCAGGATAAAGAATATTTCTCTTTTTTTCCAACTAGGGTAGGGGGGGGGGGGGGGGTTACAAACAAATTTTAACAGTCACAGCTTTGAAAATAAGAGCAACAGGTTGACTAATCTATTGTCACCTCCTGAAGTGATCTGTGGCTTTAATTCATCTTCAAGAAGTTCGAGCCATACTTTTATGATTAGTATTCATACCATACTTGTATGATTGTGATTAGTATTCATACCATACCATACCATACTTGTATGATTATTATTAGTATTTAAACCATACTTGTATGATTGTGATTAGTATTCAAACCTTACTTGTAGGATTAGTATTCATACCATACTAATATGATAAGTATTCATACCACAAGTGTATGATTGTGATTAGTATTTTTACCATACTTGTAGGATATATATTCATACAAGAAATGATTAAGGCAGCATGCTAATTAAGTCATATAGAGCCTTATCATCTTATAAATACTTATATTTTTGTGCAACATTTTCTTGTTCATGGTGGAACACAAGATAAAAGTTAAAATATTTACCATCAGTCCTGACCAGATTGCAGCACCAAAAAAGTTCAATGAGTACAACCCAAGCTCAGCATCCAGACTGATCAGGAATGGTACAACAAACACCTGCAGTGCACCTGTGTTGTACAGAAAACAAAATGTAAATATTGAGCGATCAACATTGTCTGACAATATAAAGTCAGGCCTTTTTCCCTCTATTTTGGGAAAATGCCAAATGACAAATTTGGGAAATCGTAATTTGGGAATCAAATTTTTCCAAATTGGGAAAAAAGTTATCGTGAAATTTGCCAATTTGGGAAAAATGTTAGGCACTTGTTAAAATAAATCTTAATTAATCTTAGTTAAACTGTTCAGCTTTTTCTGTCACATCAAAAATATAAGGACAGGCTAAAATGTCTACAAATGTAAAACTGATATCAATTAAAAATCCTGTTTTTATTCACAAAACATGAATATATTCCGTAACGCTATTTCGCTCCACTAAAATTGAAAATATGGTACTTTTTCTTTCAAACTGCCGACTTCAAGATTGGGATTTTTTTTTTGAAATCCTTATTTTTTCTAAGGATAGGGTTTTTGCTGATATATTTCAAACTTAAATTAAGGATAGAGCTTTTTTGCAGAGATCAACTTTCACACAATCATTGGGACCGTAAATTTTGTGAATATTTACTTCATGACTCCCTATGGAAAAGAACATATATTATTATTATCACAATTAGGTTTCTGTATTTATCCTCTATTTACTCATAAGACAAGACAAAGGTATTCAATATGGACAAAGCCTTTCAGTTCACATAAAAATATGTTTTCAACATTACAACAATATCATTATTATTTAAATTTCATCTATAAAATCTAATATTCTACTTCTAATTTTTTATAAGATTTATTGACCTTTGACCCCATTATCTTGTGAAAAAGTTGAAAACTTGTAAATAATTTCCTAACTTTACTAAGTGAAACTTAATCATAGTTTGTCACTTATTTTGAAGTATTATAAATCAACATTCCTATCACAAAACAAATTTGTAGTCAACAGCAAGACAGTTTTTTGAAACGGAAATTTTTATCTTAAAATATATATCATTTAAGAATAGGTGTAATTATTATTTAGTTCAACCAGATTTTATTGCCTATATACATGCAAATACACATACAAAATATAACAATAAAACAAAAGCAAACAGGATGGGCAATAAGTTCTAACATTACATCAAGCCCTTCCCAGAAAAGTGTTGTACATCATAATAAACTTGTTGAATGTCACAGAGATCTGCCAAGAATTTGAAAGTACTGGGCCCTGGGCTCACTTGGTCTGAAAATGATGGGCCATTTTTACCAAAGTATGGGCCTTGGGAAAATAAGTAAACATTGACCTAAATAACTGTTTAAAAAGTTTGTAGATCTGGTAATAAAACTTAAATCATATTTTAAGAAAAGTGGTTCACTTATGATTCAGTACTTAACCAATAATTAAAAATTATGCCTACATGGTATAATTTTCTAACTTTTAAATATTAACTGCAGGCAAAATATTTTTTAAATGGCTGCTCAAAAATTTGTAAGATGCGCCCATGGCCCTTTGCTGCCGATTTTCCTGCACCATTTTCATTTTTTTAGCGCCAATGGCGCAAAATCACGTCCTCGGCAGATCTCTGTCAGAATGTAATTATAAATGTACACAGATTTCTCTAATGTTAATATTTTCATGGTAATGATGAATCACAGAAATATGCCTATCGCAAAAACTTAAAATGTGTGAAATAATTTCTAAAAATACAATAAATTATCTTACAACTGTTTATATAGGTTTAAAAAGCTTTGCCATTTTTTCTCAAATGGTCACCTTAGTGCAATAACTGATTAACTACGATTTAATTTAGGACTTAACCTATTACTGCACTAAGGTGACAAAATTCCAGTTATTGCTTCAAATAAGATAAACACATATTCAACACACTCGGAATTTAGTTTTCTAGCTAAACTATTAATGTGAGTGGCAAGAAAACAAATCAATGGAAAAAAACCAGCACCATCACTGGCGTCAATAACTTTTAAAATAATACAAATTATTTTAATATTAAAATAATTTCATTTATTTTATTTAGAAAACATCGTCTGCTGTAAATATTAGTCGTCTGCTATACTGCCCCGTCAGCTTTATAAATCGTCTGCTATATTTTGTTGATACACAATCTACCTGGTTACGCTCGATAGTTTTTTTCTTACTCGAGCATAACGTGTACCCGGTATGGTATATATAAGGCAAAACCCGTGCAGAAACTCACTCTTTACACGTCTGCAGTACAGATTGACTGGTTTAAAACATTTATCTGCTATCTACATTGCCAAATTATGCCACGTGGCCGCGGATGCGTACGTCCACAAAGACTGTCGCGGAGCAACACCGCCAGGCAGCCCGAGCCAGCAAGTAGCGCAACAAGGAGCCAACAACCTTCAAACAGAGGGAGGAAACGAACGGCAGAGGTCCCGTTGGAAGATTTTGTTGACGAGAGGGTGTCGCAAACGAACGCTGGTGAGTCAAACGTAGTAGATTTTGAGCAGATAATAAGGGCTTCGAATATTATTCCACAAAATTTGACCGATAACGTTGGTTCTGCTGCAAATAATGTTTCTACGGGGTGTGGCAATATGTTACAATCTGTGGGTTTAGATAGTTCTACTGCGAATCATTCCAACGATATTTTAAATGTTTTGCCTGGAATACGTTTAGCCGATGATGATTTGGCGGCGCACGTGCCAACATCTCTTAAACAAAAAATTTGTAGAGGTGAATATGTAAATTTGATGTTATTATTGAAAGGGGCAGTCGAGCTGTCAGAATTTTGTAAAGGGACTGTGTTTAAGTTAGATAGTGAAGGTCACATAGAATCCGCTCAAAAAGAATGTAAAGAGCAGATCAATTGCATTGAGAAATGGACAAACGCATTTATTATATATGCGTCCATTTATTTATCATCACACGCTGACAAAATCTATGAAATTTTGCATTATATGTTTAATATCAGAGATTGTGCCTCGCGCCAGGGTGGTCTTTCATGGAGGACTTACGACGAGCAATTTCGTCTAAGACAGGCTATTGCTCCTCAATCATGGTCGAAAATAAACAATGAGTTATGGTGGCGCTGTGTACAAGTCAGACCAGTTTTACGTGACCAATCTAATCCTTATAGGTTTACGTGTAATGACTTTAATGCGGGAAAATGTTCTTGGCCGAATTGCCGTTTTTCCCATGTTTGTGCCACGTGTTTTGCTCCCCACCCAGCAATCAATTGTCAAACTTCAAATTCTTCAAACAAACAAAGCTTGACGAGCGGTCAATCTCAGTCGTCATTTCAAAACTCTCGGAGCAGACATTTTCAGCCACAACGGGCTAAAAGTGGACGGGGCTATTACAAAAAGTAAAATAAATAAAAGTCCGGTCATTTCATTTTCTGACACTAATGTTAACTCATTCGCTTTGGCAAAATCTCCTGTAAACGTTGAGGCTTTAAAGTTCTATTTAAAAGGATATAATGAGAAAGAAGCAAAATTCTTATTAGACGGTTTTATCAATGGCTTTCCAATTCAATACACAGGGCCACGTGTTGCACGTGAGTCAAAAAATTTACGGTCATCTCTATTAAGGCCTGATTTAATTAAAGAGCAAATAGAAAAAGAGAGAAATGCAGGAAGAGTTGCTGGCCCTTTCGACGAACGCCCTCTTCCAAATTTAATTGTGTCGCCGATCGGTTTAGTACCAAAGAAAACACCGGGGGAATTCAGGATGATCCATCATTTATCATATCCCTCCGGTAAATCTGTTAATGACTTCATTGATCCAAGTTTATGTTCAGTACAATACACAAGTTTTGATGAAGCAGTTAAAATGATTCAAGAATTAGGTCAACATTGCAAATTGTTTAAATCAGATATCAAGAGCGCATACCGTTTAATACCAATTTCCCCGAATGATTTTGAGCTACTTGGTTTTTGTTTTGATAATAAATATTATTTTGACAAGGCGCTCCCTTTCGGTGCTTCAGTGAGCTGTATTACTTTTGAACGATTTTCAAGATTTTTAGAATATAGTGTTAAATCGAAATTTACGTCAGCTAAATTGATACATTATTTAGATGATTTTCTTGGGGGTGACAGGACGTCAGAATCATGCAATCAGGCATTAAATATCTTTCAAAACACAATGACAGAGCTTGGTGTGCCTTTAGCATCGGAAAAAACTGAAGGCCCGACTGAGGTTTTAGTTTTTTTAGGTTTAGAGCTTGACACAAACCAAATGACAATCAGAATTCCGTCAGAAAAAATAGAGGAGATCAAAGAAAAAATTTTTGAGGTGTTATCACACTCGAAATCAACTCTTAAAAAATTACAATCTTTAATTGGTTCACTCCATTTTTGTTGTAGAGCTATTGTTATTGGTCGCCCTTTCATTAGACGTTTAATTAATTCAATTTGTGGGCTAACAAAGTCGTATCACCGCGTACGATTAAAGAAAGAGGTTCGACGGGACTTGAACATATGGCTTATATTTTTAAAGAAATATAATGGCGTGTCTGTGTTTCATGACAAATTTTGGGTTTCAAACGAAGATGTAGAATTATTTTCGGACAGCGCGGGTGGTGTCAATTGTGGTTTCGGAATTTACTTTCAAGGTCATTGGTGCCAAGGGAAATGGCCAGACGATTGGCACTCACGCGGTCTTACGGCCGATATCACTGTTTTGGAGTTATTCCCAATTGTTGTGGCAATATTTATTTTTGGTTCTAAATTGATAAATAAAAAAATAAGATTTAACTGCGATAACATGGCAGTGGTAGACATTTTGAATAAGGCTTCGTCTAGGTCTGAAACAGTAATGTGTCTTGTAAGACTTCTTGTATTGCATTGTATGAAACTTAATATTTTATTGAAAGCAGTTCATGTCCCAGGTCGTTATAATGTAATTTGTGATGCATTGTCACGTTTTCAGTTGAAAAAATTCAGAGAATTAGCTCCGGAAGCAGATCAGCAACCTCACCCAGTCCCAGAATTCCTCTGGAGCGTCTTCGATTTAGAGCTCGAACATTGTTACAAGGTGGATTAGCGCCAAATACTAGATCAACATACGATACAGCGTTGAACGCTTTTCGGATATTTCTATCCGAATATAATCTGTCATTACAATGGCCAATTTCAATTCAGAATATTGTCTTTTTTATTTCGTATTGTTTTGAGAGGGGCATGGCTTCAAAAACTATAACCACATATGTTGCCGGCTTGAATTATTTTCATAAACTTTCTGGATTTTACGATATATCAAAAATATTCATGGTTAGCAAACTGCTTGAAGGTTGCAAAAAATCTCGTAAATCACATGATAATCGGGCTCCGATAACAAAACAGGTTTTGAAAATTTTATGTGACATGTTACCATTATGTTGCTACAATGCTTACGAGACTAGATTATTTACCACATTATTTATATTCGCATATTTTGGTTTATTTCGCATAAGTGAGCTGGTCGTTCCAAAAGTACTGGAAAGTCGGGACGTACTATGGAATTCGGACATATCAATTATAGATAATAGCAAGGTGCTTATTTGTCTCCGTCATTCAAAAACTAATAAAACCGGTGTTCCGGTATATCTAAAATTGCCTAAAGAAAAGGACAATTTATGTCCAGTAAATGCCTTATCTAATTTCCTTTCTATGCGACCTAAAACACAGGGCCCCCTATTCATTCATAACGATAGTTCACCAGTAACGGGAACTCAATTTTCAGCAGTTTTGTCGAAATGCGTTTTAAGAGCCCGCTTGTCATTTGGATGTTGTTACAAAACTCATAGTTTTAGAATTGGCAGAGCTACTGATCTCGCCATTATGGGCGTTCCTGCAAAAGCTATAATGAAAGCCGGTAGATGGAATAGCGATTGTTACAAATTGTACATTAGATAAAAAAAATATATATATATATCATTTGATAAAAAAATAACTTTTCATAAGCAATTTCGGGCAGTTTGTATTTTGATTTCACGATATGTTTATTCTATATTTAGACATCTGGGTCATCGGGGACTCGATCCCGTACTGGGCAGGCAATCATGCAATACAAACTGGGAAGAAAAATTTGAGACTACCAGGACAAACAATTGCATGGCTAGGGGTTCGAGGTCTGCGATGGTCCACACTTCGACGGGAAATTGAAGCTAAGGTTCTCCTATCACCTGCTCCATCGTTAATACTTATTCATTTAGGTGGTAATGATTTAGTTCACTCTCATGCCTATGATATTAAAGGGACAATACAGGATGAAGTATCTTACCTTCACGACGCATTTCCGTCCGCTTGCATTATTTGGATTGATATTTTACCCAGAAGAGTGTGGGGGAAATTTGATAACAAGTCTATGAATCTTAAACGTAAAAGAGTAAATCGTTTAGGTCGACACATAGTTAGTTCCTTAAGTAAGTTTGATATTGTCAAACCAGATATTGACATTGAAACGGCGTTTTATCGTGAGGACGGTGTCCATTTAAATTTAGTTGGTCTAGAGTTCTATCTTGACTATTTAAGAGATGCTATGCTAAAAAATCTATAATGGAATTTTTGGGTGATAAATTCGTTGAATTTATTGTGGCGGAAAAATTCTGTCGATTGAGGGGTAGGCAGGCCTCGCAATTTAATGTATTCGCAATTCATGTTTTTCGAATATTTTAGCTGGTTAGGGTCACCTTGTTTTTGGGCTGGTCTAATCGCCTAAAGATAGGAACCTTGACCTTGTAGGTTAAATTTTAAATGCTCACACGGTACTTTCTAATTATTATACGGTCTAACAGTAATTGTGTTGACTCGTTAATAGGTTTTGCCCTTAGTACTCGGCAATTCCTAACTAGCCTTGCTTTATTGCCTTGCATTGCCTTGCCTTGCATTGTACAGCCTTTGCTGTTGCTGTTTAACATTAACTCGGATTGTGGAACCATTCATCTCTTGGTCTAATCATTGGTGAGTGGTTTTATTGTTCGTCGTTAATGGTACCGATGCTTGCGGTAGTATGTTACCAGTGGTATATACATGTAGGTTGCCGTTAATATTAGAAGTACAAAAACAATAGAAATGTTAAAAATGAAGTCAATTACGCAATTTTTATTTGTGTACAGTTGCGTACAGTTTTGTCGAGTTGTGTACAGTTGTGTACAGTTTGTAGAAAATACTGCCTCCCTTCGGTCGTCGGAATTTTTTCTCACAAGACTCGACATGGTCAAATCTGTCTTGTCTCGAGCGGCCAAATTATCCAACCAATAGTTTTTCGTATAATTCAAAAGTTTTTCATCTGTGTATATGTGATTAAGTTTCTTTTCACGTAAACTTATTAAAAGAAATATTAGTAATTTGATATTGTGTTTGTGTTTCATTTTCGAATATTTAAATAATACAAATTATTTTAATATTAAAATAATTTCATTTATTTTATTTAGAAAACATCGTCTGCTGTAAATATTAGTCGTCTGCTATACTGCCCCGTCAGCTTTATAAATCGTCTGCTATATTTTGTTGATACACAATTTACCTGGTTACGCTCGATAGTTTTTTCTTACTCGAGCATAACGTGTACCCGGTATGGTATATATAAGGCAAAACCCGTGCAGAAACTCACTCTTTACACGTCTGCAGTACAGATTGACTGGTTTAAAACATTTACCCGCCCGCCACACCCCATTTGCTTAATTATAAATAACTGTCATTTTATGAGTTATCATATCGATCATAAAGGTGACGTCACAGTTTAACATATTTTGGTAAACTGTATATAAGCGTGTGTTTGTCATTGTTTATTTTGATGTAGATACTGCTGTGACTTTTTATACTTTGCAGGCTGTTGTTATAGACATGTTTTTGTGGACTTCCAAGGAAAATAATTATGGGAGAATATGCCACTACATCTCAGACTATGGAGCCGCAAATACACACAAGGATATTATTGACGTGTGAAGTTAGTTAAAATAATAATGTGTTAAATATGGTTAAAATAAAACGTGCCAGATATGTGTTAATGATAACTGTAAATTCAGAAGTGCAGGACTTGTAGCGCGGTGTTAGTGGTATAAACTGTTATGCTATAATTGTTGCTAAGTCTTCATGTCAGAGATTTTGATGAACATTGTTGACATTTTAAACTGAAATAACATTCTCCATATTATATTTTCCTTGGACGCATATAGTAATGCGATTGTAATTGTTGATGAGTTTAATCACTGTTTGGCCACATTTGGCCATTGACTCAATTTATTCTTTGTCGCTCTAAAGCGGAAAAATTCTGTCGATTGAGGGGTAGGCAGGCCTCGCAATTTAATGTATTCGCAATTCATGTTTTTTCGAATATTTTAGCTGGTTAGGGTCACCTTGTTTTTGGGCTGGTCTAATCGCCTAAAGATAGGAATCTTGACCTTGTAGGTTTAATTTTAAATGCTCACACGGTACTTTCTAATTATTATACGGTCTAACAGTAATTGTGTTGACTCGTTAATAGGTTTTGCCCTTAGTACTCGGCAATTCCTAACTAGCCTTGCTTTATTGCTTTGCATTGCCTTGCCTTGCATTGTACAGCCTTTGCTGTTGCTGTTTAACATTAACTCGAATTGTGGAACCATTCATCTCTTGGTCTAATCATTGGTGAGTGGTTTTATTGTTCGTCGTTAATGGTACCGATGCTTGCGGTAGTATGTTACCAGTGGTATATACATGTAGGTTGCCGTTAATATTAGAAGTACAAAAACAATAGAAATGTTAAAAATGAAGTCAATTACGCAATTTTTATTTGTGTACAGTTGCGTACAGTTTTGTCGAGTTGTGTACAGTTGTGTACAGTTTGTAGAAAATACTGCCTCCCTTCGGTCGTCGGAATTTTTTCTCACAAGACTCGACATGGTCAAATCTGTCTTGTCTCGAGCGGCCAAATTATCCAACCAATAGTTTTTCGTATAATTCAAAAGTTTTTCATCTGTGTATATGTGATTAAGTTTCTTTTCACGTAAACTTATTAAAAGAAATATTAGTAATTTGATATTGTGTTTGTGTTTCATTTTCGAATATTTAAATAAACATAATTACCAAAAAAAAGTTTTACCAAAATTAAAGTAAATGTGTTAAAGATCCTGTATGTTTTGTAATTGAGGTTGTACACCACGTGTTAATGTGTTTATTTAAGGTCGCAGCCGGAAAGCCCATATGGGCGACCGTACACTCAAGTCGGGCCATCCTAGAGCGTCCCGCCGAGATTTTTTTGACGATTTTTTTCCAGCTTTATTGGTGGAGGAAGACCCCAGGTGCCCCTCCGGGTATTATTTCAGGCACGAGCGGATAGCTGGGGCCATCCTTAAAAATATGTTTGTTTGCAGTAACGCGACCGACTCACAAAATTTGCCCTACTCAAAATTTTTTTTCATGGTCTGGATAAAAAAAATTTTTTTGAATCAGAAAATTATGCCTTTTGCTTTGTTTTCATTCTGTTAAAGGTTAATAGAAGAAATAAAATGTAGGTCTTACTAAATTAGAATTCAGTTATCAATTTATTAATTGTTACCAGATTATCAAAGCATATATTGTCCAGCATTTTGAAATTCCATGTTTATTTGGGAGTACAGTTCAATAAAAAAAAAATCGACCTACCTACCCACCTTGAAAATTCTGGGTCGGGTTACTGCAAACAAACAATTTTTTAAGGATGGCCTGGGTAGAACCACCGACCTTCCGTAAGCCAGCTGGATGGCTTCCTCACATGAAAGATTTCGACCCGAGTGAGGCTCGAACCTACAGCAGTGAGGGACCTGTGATCTCAAGTCAGCGACCTTAACCACTCGGCCACGGAGGTCCCACTCTTACTTGAAATTATATATGTACTGTATATAATTATGCTAATACAACAATGTTCAAACATTGAAGAATATGTAAATTATGTACTGCAAATATTTGTCCATATTAAATGAAATCATTAAATTATATACATTCATTTCTTATTGGAAAATTTGACTTAGATATTTATAGAAAACAAATTTCTAATTACCTCCCTTTATTTACATAATATATTAAATTCTGTAATATCTTTATAAATAATGCTTTTTGGAACTTACAATATTGATAAATCTTAATTTGAGCATCATATTTTTTTATATAAAACCATAAAAAAATGTGTTACAGGATTTTTAAGTATAAATAAAATATAGCTAATAATAATTCAAGCAAGTATTTTAACATACCAAATATACCACACAGAAACCCTATTCCTATTTGACAGTATCCACACCAAAATGGCCAGTATGGCAACAGGGCTCGGGACGGTGAAAATATCGTATCATCTTCAGTTGTGTTCGTGTTTGAAGAAGATGACTGAATGTTCCCAGCTGTTTCTATGGTATCATCATCGATCTGGTGATACGGAAATCTCATCTTGCAATCAATTACAGCTTAACCTGTAAGTATTACAACAATTAAAACAAGCAAATTCTATCCAAAATTGATATTTCCAGTCAAATGTTTCAAATCAAATCCTGGCATTTATCACGTTAATGGGGAAATAAATATTTGGGAGTGCAGATATCAATATCTGACACACTAAACAGATGACCAATCCACAGATCCCCCTAAGGGTCAGACCCTGACACCACCTTGCTACATCCTGTGTCGAAAAACAGGGTTTTTTTTTTTAAGTGATAATTTATTACATTTTTTTATTTTTCCCTTCTTTCTCTATGTAAAATTTTTCCCCTGCCTCTGAAAAAAATGGGGGGGGGGGATTCTCAAAAATAGTTGTGAATTCCCCACCCCCCTCCTAGAACAGTTACTGCACATCTAAGTCAATTATCAAAATCAATTAAACATTTAACAAAAGTGGGACATCTGTCTCACTCATAAATCAATTTCCATGTAAAATTGAAAAAAATCCCATTTACCTAAAAAAACTGCAAATAAAACAGAAACTCTTAACTATTGACCCTGATTTATTATCAACACTGTCTGGTACAATGTATGTGAAAAATGGTGCAGAATCTCTGTGTTACAATGATTCCACCCATCTTGAACAACAGGAAGGTAGATCTACATATATATTTTCTTTGTATTTAGACAAATGTGTTTTATAGTTAATGAAATGGTGCTGCCATAAATTAGGCAGTGTCAATTGTCATAATTTTGCATAACCTTTCAGATGAAGTAAGAATCACTTTTTATTAAATGTTTTTTGATAGCGAGCTCGACGAGCTGGCCCAAAGAGCTTTACGGTAACGCGAGTACCTGCTAAGTGATGGTTTTGAAACCTTTCGTCCGAAGTACCGAATTGGACACATCGCAACTTTTCGAATTAAAAGATAACGATAAAAGCCGATGTACTCTGATTGAAAACAGAAGCGTGGACTGGTGTCCTGCGCACTTATATAGGAACCATAATAGAAAGGTCGAACCAGAATAAACAGAAACAGTGTATAAACTACCGAATGACAATTTTAAAACGGAAAATGTAAAATAAAAATAAACTATTTTACAGTAAAAGAAAATCGAGCTCGCTTTGAGGCTTTGCCTTTTTCATATTAGTTTAATTAACATTTTATTGACATTGCAAGTAAATTTTATGTCTTGGAATACGAGACAAGTTCCTGTCATTCTACAGTGTATTTAAGGAACCAGGACACAGATGGTCAAACTATTAACTTGTCAAAGAGGCATCGAGATAATTTCTGAAATGCAGTCTATAAAATGGGTCAAATGTTCATGCCCAATTCATTAGGCTACATGGTGTATAGTTTGCGTATGGGCTCAGAATGCCAAAGTATGACATAAACATAAAGGCTGAGGAACTTTTTCGTATTGGTTGGCCAAGAGAATGTTTTACGGAGTCTAAAAATTTGAGTTTAATCTTTAATTTTAAATCATTGACACTTGATGGACATTGGGATTAAATATTCCTCTGGAAATGGTTATAAAACAAGTTTTATGGTAAGATGCTTGCCCCTTGGCATCAGACAGCATCTGTGTTAAAATGACGGCAATCTCCTGGATTGGACCCTTATGTATTTTTCAGGTCTTAAACTTGTTATAATACACTAAAGAAAACGGAATAAACCTTACAGTACTGGACAAGCGAAACCCGCAAAAGTCGCGTTATGCCGCGAGTGTAGTCTATGACGCAACGGGACACTATGCGGTAAAACATCAACGTGTGCAAGTTCGCCGAATTTCATGGCCGTTCACGAAAAATCGCCGCGAGGTATCGCCGTAATTTACGGCGAATCTTCAGCAATAATTGTATTAGAAAGTACTACTTGGTCATTCCCGTGGTCTTTAATTTTGAAAACTTTAAAATCCAGGATATAGCCAAAATGACATGTTAAAATTTTGTTGTTGTTTTTTGACAGTTGTTGTGATCTGTGAGTTCATAATTCTAAAATTTATGTGACAAGTCATAAATGTTACCTTAACTATGTATTGATGTCATTTCAAAATATTTATCAATAAAAGTGTAATTTTGGAAAATAAAAAATGCGGAAATTCTTACTTATATCTGATCACCTCACCTATGTTTTGACAGTTATCGCACCTCACGTGATTATCGGTGCAGCATAAAATTTGTAAACTGTTATATTCGCTTTACAAAGAGTGATTTTCACAGTAAGCAAAAAAACAATTAAAAAGCACGCGCCTGTCAATCAAAATTGAATGGGTTAGAATAGATTTTTTCATAATATTGCAATTGAAAAAAACAAATTTGAAAGTCTCTGTCCAACTTAAGACCAAAAGTTATGTACTATACTTAAATTATTACAAATAAATAACGGCACCGTTTTTCAAGTTGCTAAGACGACCAGGTTATTTACCAATAGGTGTAAAAGTAATTTATTACCTGTCCAAAAGCTCCCCACTTATGGTTAAATGTAATGGGAATTAAACTTTACCTCTGTAGTGCATGCACATGAATATCAACAATGTGAATAAGGAATGTGAATGGAATTTAAATGTCAGCCTTCAAGAAGGAATTTTCATATGAGAAATGTATTTGCAGTCTTTTTAGGCAATTGGTAAGGACTTCTTTGAAAAACTGTTGTGTGTAATGCATGGCCAATTTAATAACACTACCTCTAGTTGTTTTGTGAATATTTATTTTATGGACATATAAGAATGTCATTAGAGAAAATCGCTTTGACAACTTTGTGCTGAGCTTACTTTACCTGTGTCTTTACTAAATGTAGGTGCCTTAATTAGTGCTGTTTAACAGTTAAATGTTTAAATTAATAATCTTTCTGGAATACAATCTTGGAACAGTCCCAAATGGGTCTAAACCAGTAGTATACTTATAACCAAAAGTATATATTAGGTTTATTCGTCTATGGAATGGCCTACTCGTGTTTATTGTTGATGTATCCGACTTATAAATAAAATTTGTAAACTTGACTTAAGTTGACTTGACTGTGGAATGGCCTACCCGTGTCCTTACAACCTAGTCCCAGTTTAGACCTCTTTACTGGGCAGCTGCATCCTTTTTACCAGTTCTAATTCAGCTTTGCTTTTAACTTTTTATCTCAGTCTTGTAGTTCTTTTAAACCTGCTTTTATCTTATACATATAAATTTGCACTTAACAAATTTGTTTTTAACAGCTATTCCCAGACAACGCGCCTGCTTAGTGTAATCGATAACGATTTTTAAAAGCAGTATATTGTAGATGTTTATTCCGTTTTCTTCAGTTTATTATTTATATACAAGCTGAAATATGCAGCGGGTCTACCTACTGGTCGGGGACCATCAACCGGACACTTTTTGAACATTTTTCCATAAAGATTTTATAATTTCAAACCTAGAGACCTGAAAATTTGACACAGTACAGCTAGGTTCTTCTCCTAACTAACAAACTAGTTTGGCTATTTCTGATTATATTGTCACTTATATTTGAGGTTCGTCAAAGAGGGTATCAAAATTACCTAAATTGTTAACACTACAGTACCATGTGTCCGGACAGATATGTACATGATCTTATTTAATTCATTTAAATGCCTTGGTGTTTTAATTTTTTATTTTTAACATGATAAACAATATTTCAGCAGCAAATGCTTACGTTTTGGATATTATATTGTTTACTCTGCATATGATTATTGCTGGTATATGAGGTCAGGTATTGCACTCTTATTTAAATGCCCAAATTTTCAACATCAGCATTCTTGAAGTAGACATAAAAATATTACCGTAGAAATAAATTTAATTACTTAATTAAAGAAGAAACATGCATTTATTGTTGTTGAAAAAAAAAGTGACTGATAGAGCGACAACCAAAGAACAAAGGAAAAAAATAAATTAAGCGTTTTTGGGGCCGTCCAGGTTTAGTGGTTGTCTGATTTTGGTGGTCCCCAACCAGTAGAGGAGTAATTAATTAAATTACACATTACAATTTACATTGCAAAATCTTAATTACATGTAGGTTACAGTTCCCATAACTTTACATGAATTTCAGAAAGTAATTTAAATCCAAATTCCATTTTATTTCAAATACAGTCATGTCAAAAAACCGCAGTGGAGGCCCTTTAAGGTATATCATTTTTAAAAGTTTATTTATTTATACAGCTCATTGATAATGTTTAAGTCAATCAGGTGCTTCAAATAAAAGAATCAGTGTTAAGTATTTTTATGTGTTTTGTGATTGCTAGTTCATGTTATGTGAGTAGGTGAACAATTAAAATTTACAGTTTCAAACAATATGCGCACCACTGCTGACCTGCAGCTCTAATAAAAATCATAGTCACACTAGAAAATTTGTATACATGAACACAATGTATAACAATTTATGTGTATAATTACCATTGGCTATCAGTCATATGATATTATTACACAGTTCTTAAAGGCCCATTATGCCCCATAATGCTTTTCTTTTTTTTCACAAAAGCTTTTGATTTTAGGTGTCTTGTTATAGTTTCCAACAAATTACTAATTACAATAATGTAGCTATTTTCCGGAACCATTATTTGCTTGTTGGCAATAATAGGACAGATATTAGTGATTAAGTATTTTTTTTTTGGAAGTAAAAATACTGCTTTGTTTTAATTTTGCTACTTTTAAGACAATTAATTTCACATTTAGCACTACTTTAGTTCAGGTGAACAAATATCTAACTCTAAAACCATTATTTAAACATTATAAAACTTATTTGTGCCCTTTCTGAAACAGAAAGACCCTGCTGAAAAGCAGAAAAATCATATTCATTTCTGAGGCAATTAATATGCCTTTAACCTATTGAGTGAAAGACCTTTTGAATTATATCATTTCATTAGTCAGGAAGCAGAAAAGCTTGTTTTACATGTATATTTGTTTTATATTATTGAATAAGAAGGTGTTTAATGCAAATTAAATAAACACTGTAAAAATAAGTGTAAAAACTTTCACACTTAAAGCACAACAAGACTTTGTAAACAAACATTTAGTACTAACACCTAAACAAAAGATATGACTGTGTTGTCTTTTTAAAGTTTGACTTTTAACTTTGAACCTTTAATCTTCCTACAGTGTTTGCTATATTTGCGACAGTTTAATCAGATTACTATAGGGTTTTATACAAGAAATAAGTTAACAAGATTATACCTGTATATGTATACTAATAGCAAGTAGCTCTTATGGCAATGAAACAGACTTGCAACATATAGTAAGAGATTATTGTTACCCAGAATATTGTAATGAAAAATTCTTTTTTGCCATTTTTTCTTTCGTAACTTTAAAATCATTTTAAGTACTAAACCTTTCAATATGTAACATTAAAATCAGAAAAGTTTTCGTTTACTGTATAAGTGGTTAAGTGAGTGACATGGAAATATTGGTGAATTTCGTGAATTGATGAAAATTGCTAAAATTTCCTTTGGTGTTATTTTTCATCAACCAACATGTCTTTCTAAGATTCTACCCTGGCATGATTGGCTAATATTTTCTCATGCAAAATGTCTGGAATTTTAAATTCGCTAACTTTTTGACATGCAGGAATATCCACTTATAGGGTAAAATGTATTTTACATGTACTTGTGAAAAAAAAATTTATGACTGTAAAAATAATATTGGTCTATAGGTCTATACTGTACAAATATATGTATACATGGCAAATTGAGTGCATTTGTATGTTAAGGTATTGAAATCAGGAGTTAACACATTTAAAGGTGATTTATTTGTTCTTTTTCAGTCAGTATTTGTTCAACGACAAAAGTTCATAAATACCTTTTATAGGCAATGAATTGAATTTTAATCAGTTACAAATACATGTCTATGATTAATGACATTAGAAATTGAAGATCTTGCTGTCTCGTTCAAATTCTGAATGCACAGATCATATTTGTGAATTTCATTACTTTTGTATTGAATGAGATTTTCGTAAAGTATTATCCTAACTCTTGCCTGCTATAAGTTTGATGACTTTCATGATTTATACTGCTTCACAATCAATATTATGTCTCCAATATAATTACGGGGAGATATTTACTTATGTCAACAACAAACGTGTCCAATAAACACCGTATTGTTACACTTTCAATTCCCGAAGTAATAAATTCTAATTTTAATGGAATGACAGTTGAATGTTTATGAAAGATATGACATTGTGGCACTGTTTACTTTATTGGAACTGCAGCGTTAAGATTTGTATGAAAAAACCGTTACAGGGCGTTTTGGCAGCGTTCACTTTTCAAATTGAAGGTAAACAAAGTAAAGAAAAGTTTAGTTTATTACTGGTTTATTATAAACTTTATATTTACCGAGGTAGAAAGAAATGGGTAGGGCTGATTTTCAAACTTGAAACTGGTGAGATATTTTTTTTAATATTTGCATGCATTTAAACTAAATATTTATTCTGATCTCATAATGTTAAGAAAAAACCTTCTATAAGATAGTTATGATTATTTAATACCTGAATAACTTCAATATAATTATGCAATATTTTAATGATTGTGTATTTCACAAAATTGAAAATATCCACAGAGTATTATTTTAAACTTTTGAAAATTATCATTTAATTTAACGTTTAGTTGTTTACAATCAAGGTATTGATATATGAAAAATAAAAATGATAAATGTTTTAATACCATCAACACTTTCATAATGAAGCTTCATGTGAATCATTTTGAATAATTGATTAACTTCTTTTGAAACGTCAGTTGTTCTATTCTGCTGCAGATTCATGTCTGAAATAATGCACACTTAAGGGGCACAAGTCCTGAGGTCTTCCACCAACAGTTAAAAACTGGAAATTCGATGCATGACCTTTACTGTATTGGTGCACATTTTTAATATGCGTGATTCAAGGTGCAATGTAAAAAAACAGCATAAAGCAATGATGGCCTTGGTAGCTTAATTACCAAAACATTTAACTGTAAAATGGCAATACGCACTAGCATAGAGAAAGCATAGCAAAATGGTTTCTTTCTATAAAATAAAGAAACGCAGAATTAACATTTTATAAATTTAAGCAAAAATAGTACTAATGCACCTTTTTTCATGCATTAACATCTACAGAAGTCCTTGGACTTTAAGAAACCCCTAATCTTGTGGGCTCAGACTTTAAATACATCTTTGTGCTTCGGCAGATGTTAATGTACATTAAAAGGTGCAATAGCCTTCTTTTGACATTTTATTACAATGCAGTTGTACACTCATGTATTAAATAAAATTTGTTCAGGATGCTTTGATTCTTTAGGAAATCTAAATTCTGACATCTCTGCTAAACTAGTTGATTTAAACAGAACAGAACAGTTTTAGATTTGAACCAAGTCTATGCTACTCTTCTATATAAATGCAATACATATAATACAAAAGTCAAATCAATTATCGTATGAATACTGAGAGAGAGATAAATAAAATTGTGAAATACATTATATGCAAACAGATATGAGTCATAAAATCAAATTTATTCCAATGCTATCTGAATGAACAGCCAAGAATATGAAAATGTTTGCCACAATATTAATGAATTATTTACCCTGTACCTGGTCAGATTTGTTTGATATAAATATATAAGACAAATTTGATTATTGCAAAAGTATACATAAGTTATGCAACTTTGTTGAGTGACATCGCTTTATTCTGGTTCAATTTACTTGTATTATGTTAAATCTCTCCTGTCCTACAGTAATTCAATCTTGAAAAAAGATCTCAGGGATTTTTTCCAGGATTTTGGGAACACGACTATTACAGTGAAGAAGCCCTTATATTTGCAAAGATTTTAGAATTTTTATTCAATATTTTTTTTTTGTAACTTTCAATGGGGAATTTTTTCCTCTGGATTGGGAAAATAATATACTTATTTTCAATTGGGAATATGACCCAATAACGGCTATAAAATAAGCCAAAAAAGAATCCCTGAATTATCTAGTCTAAGTCATCAATAAGAATATTTCAGCGTTGTTCTGACCACTCTTAAGTGAACAATGGTTATGCTGTTTATTCATTGAAGCTGTTGTAAGGCTTAGATCAAAGTATGGTATGTGATCTGACCATTAGGACTGATTCATGAGATAATCAACACACAGTGTTCATCAATATCATTTGAGCCGTGTCATGACAAAACCGACATAATGGGTTTGCGACCAGCATGGATCTAGACCAGCCTGCACATCGGCTTAGTCTGATCAGGATCCATGCTGTTTGCTATCAGTTTCTCTACCTGTAATAGGGTTTGTAAGCGAACAGCATGGATCCTGATCAGACTGCGCGGATGCGCAGGCTGGTCTGGATCCATGCTGGTTGCAAACCCATTTTGTTGGTTTTGTCATGACACGGCTCATTTGAAAAACCTTTGTTTTGGATTAATCAACACGCAGCTTACTGATCATTTGAAGACATCCCAGCTTTTACTAGCTGAAAAAGATCTATGCAAAAAAAAAAATCAACACATTAGTAAGAAGTACACTGGTATGTACCTCACTAAATGGCAGAACAACTGTCCTTTAAGCTGTGAAGCATCAGACAAATAAAATAATATTTCAGAAAAAATTTTCCCTTCCAAAATTGCATTATGACCATTAAGTGGGGGAGGGGGGTGAGGCATTTATTAAAGTAAATATGTTTGGTGTTAAACAAGTTTTCGTAATAATGGTTTTATAGTTTATGTGATACATTTTTATGATACATTTTTGTGTTTACTATTATCATGAAATGAATTCTGAAAGATTTGAATAAAATTATGGATATACTCTCGGGTGAGTAGATTTTTTTCCTTATCATCTAAGTGGGGGGATTATTAGGGGAGGGTTGTTAAAAAGGAATTTTATGGTATGTTACATTTGAATTTTTTTTAACAGTATGTTTTATTTGAGTTTTCTTTATTTTTCAGTAAAGACTAGTCAGTATGCCAGCAAGCAAAGATCCTAAATCTTATGTCCGGCCAGTCCCCTTGCCCGTCCCATCATGCAAGGGGGTTAAATTACTGGCTAGAGATAAGTTAAATTTCAATCTAGAGAGCCCATCACGAGAGGAAGTGTTCATAAGTAATTACTTCCGTCGTCAGAATCAGTTATCTAACATGGGCTTCCGATCAGCGAGTCACAAACCTTACATGGGAATAGGCGATCCTTTCTACCTCGATGAGAAAAAGATGATATTGCATGCACTTGGCCAGTGGACTGAGGTATATATATGAGCCGCGTCATGACTAAACCAACATAATAGGTTTGCGACCAGCATGGATCCAGACCAGCCTGCGCATCCGCGCAGTCTGATCAGGATCCATGCTGTTCGCTATCAGTTTCTTTACTTGTTAGAAGGTTTGTAAGCGAACAGCATGGATCCTGATCCATGCAGTCTGTTTGCAATAGCACTGTGTTGGTTTTGCCATGGCGCGGCTCATTTCTTTTTGGCTAAACAGTAAATTATATTTATATATTGAACAGTATGGACCCTGATCAGACTGCGCGGATTCGCAGGCTGGTCTGGATCCATGCTGGTCGCAAACCCATTATGTTGGTTTTGTCATGACATGTCTCATATCATGAAACCATTATACCATGCTTCAGTTATTGAATTGTGGGTCTATCAGCCTCTTTTGCTGTCAATTAGGACCCCAGACATGTCACCAGTCATGTCCTTAAAGGGTCAATTTTGAAGCACATATTTCAGACACTGCTGAAGACCTGTTCTAGTAGAAAACTAATAAGGAGAGAAACTTTTTTGCTTAAAATGTATGAAGTAATTATTAGATGCTTAAAAGAAAAAAATAAACTTATTAAATTAAAATTGAATAACTAAAAGAAGGAGTACTGGTGCGACAATCTGTTTTGTTCATTTTTCTATGAGTGTCTTTTTATTTAAGTTTTAAAAAGTGTCCATTTGCCATGGTACAGATCTGTTAATGATAAAATGATATCTTAATCATAAGAATTTTGTTAGTGGGCAAATTCTTACCTACGCAAGTTATGTGTAAGTTTGAACAAGTCATTATAAAATCAAGTCCTTGTACAGAATGTATACCCTAAAAAAATTCATCAGCTAGCTATTTAAACATACTTACTTTATACTGAAGAATTTAGATAAGACCTTTTGTTAGTGATACAGTGTTTAGTTTATCTTTAATATATATGCTTATCTGACATTTATCAAAGATTGTTTCAAGTAGGTATTGTTTATGTTATACTTATTTGTTTACCTGTAAGAAAATACAATGTCAATTTCCTTTAAAGTTTTGACATTTGTAGATATAAATTGTTGATTTACAGATTGCAAATTGCGATTTAATCATGAGTTTTTGGCAGCTTTACAACCCTGTGTACAAGCTTACACACTCACACAAACATGTACATGTATATATATATACTTATAATACTGCATGTTTTTAACATGGTTTTTAATTGGATAAGCTTTATTCATATATAGTTTTTTTTATATACACGTCTGTTGACAATTTATGACGAAATCTCATTTTTTTTCTGTAAAGAAAAAGATGCTTGCTATATTATAAATTCATTATAAATATTTCTGATGGGTTATATGGCCGTAATTAAACTGCTGTTTGCTTTAAAAACGTTTACTTAACGGCTCTTTTATAACTAATAATATAATACTGCAATATTAGAGACTTAATATTATAACAGAGGGATTCAAGCTCTAAAAATAGAACATTTTACAATCTTGACCCACATTTCCTTGCACGAGATTCATTGGCCCTTGCTGTTGATCAATTTCTGCCATCTTATGTAACCAAATTCATTTACATTTTTACTGATAATAATTTACATCTTCTTAATCTTTATTTTTATTTTTTACATTCATTTTTGAAAGTCCTTTTTTTTTGCATTTTCTTTTGATTACCATAAATATTTGATAACATGGCCGCGTACAATATAAGTAAATTTCCTTGTGTCCAATATCATGTCTCGGAAAATCTCGCAAAAATGTGAACGTGTGATAGGCCGATTTCCTGATACAGATTTTAATTGTATGATGTCATGAGCTTGACCTCTCCATTTAAATATAGCTCTGTGATACTGCACATTAAGTTTTTGTAACATCTCTTTTCATTGGCTAATCATGATGTTTATAAATACTATTTATCACATACCCGTGCAGCTTTTGCGACTCCGTAAAAATGGTACTGCATATATTTTTGACATGACATCATTTGCGTTACACATAGTGTAGAGACGCGCTAAATGTGAGCATCACTATAGGGGCATCAATTGAAAAAGAATCTTTTTTACTTTGAACAGTCTTTATTTTGAGTATGTGATAAAAAGAATATTGTATTTGTGTAGGTTCATAACTGAATTTATTGAACTTGTTGAATAAAATAATATTATGGTCGCCAGAGGCTTGCGTGATATTACTTACAATTGTAATTCAACTCGTTCAATAAATTCAGTATTGAGCTTTAGACACTCGTTCAATAGTCTCTATTATACATGACAGTTGCCAATATATGAATAAAAAAAAATTCTTAAGCTTTATTATTAATTTGTTATAAAGATTCTAGACAGGTTATATGACCATATTTATATAAACATGTGTTTCCAATAAAACCTGATTTATACAGCAAAATTATAACTGTGAAAAAATCTTTATAACTGATAATATATATCGAAGTTCTATTGATGTTTAACTTCAAGATGTACGTACATTACTGCAAATATAAGTTTTAATTATCATACCACACAATCCTTTTAGCTGAGGAATGTCAATGAAAGCACAAAAATTTAACTCAACAGTCATATAAATTTGTAATGAAACTTTTATGTACAGTACATTTTAATCTAAAAAGCATTGATTTTTCAAATCAATGCTCTCTGTCAAGATTGGAAGATAAATTTGAATTTGAGAAAATATAAGGAAATGAACTATCCCTTTACATGGTTAAGCTTTTCTTATATGTAATTCACAGCCACTTCAGACTATTATAACTTCTCTTTCTTCCCAAGGACGGCATACCAATGGAACCACCAGTTGCCCTTGACATAGCTTGCATTGAACATTATTATGTCTCACCTTCAGAGTTTTCCAGCTCCCAGTTTTTAACAATTTTTATTTTTAATTTTCTTCTTTACCCCTTTTCTTTTTTTTAAACATTTTTCATCTTTCTTGCAATTTTGATGCGCATACATGTCTATGTCCCTGCTTTAGGGAATAGGGATTGACATTAATGGCAGATTATGAGATAGATTTTTTCTAATGTATATTTCAGGAACATGCAAGTTCATCCAGCAGTTCTGATGAGTCCGATGAAGAGGAAGAAAAGAAAGATACAGCACCTAAACCTGCTGTATGTCAGTTTATTACATTTGAGCCGCACCATGACAAAACTAACAAAGTACATCTGCGACCAGCATGGATCCAGACCATCCTGCACATCTGTGCAGTCTGATCAGGATCAATGCTGTTCGCTATCAGTTTCTCTACTTGATATAGGGTTTGTAAGCGAACAGCATGGATCAGGATCCATGTTGGTTGCAATAGCACTATGTTAGTTTTGTCATTGCGCGGCTCATTTCTTTTTGGCTGAACAGTAAAATATATTTATATGGTATATTACTGGGTAGAAACTTTGTAACTTAGCATTTTCTTTTTTTTTTTTTTAGCTCGACTATTCACAGAATAATCGAGCTAATGCAGTCACCCATTTGTCGGCGTCGGCGTCCCTGTGGTTAAGTTTTTGTATGGAAGCTGGTATCTCCATAACTACTGAAGGGAATGGATTGAAACTTCACACACTTGTTCTCTGTGATTATCTAAGATGATTGGCACAAGTCCCATAACTCTGATTAATATTTGCTTTTTTACATAATTATGCCCCTTTTTCGACTTAGAAATTCTTGGTTATGTTTTTGGGTGTAAGCTGGTATCTCCATAACTACTGAAGGGAATGGATTGAAACTTAACACTCTCTTGTTGTCTGTGATTATCTAAGATGATTGGCACAAGTCCCATAACTCTGATTTGCTTTTTTACATAATTATGCCCCTTTTTCGACTTAGAAATTCTTGGTTAAGTTTTTGCGTGTAAGCTGGTATCTCCATAACTACTGAAGGGAATGGATTGAAACTTCACACACTTGGTCTCTGTGATTATCTTAGATGATTGGCACAAGTCCCATGACTCTGATTTGCATTTTTGCATAATTATGCCCCTTTTTTGACTTAGAAATTCTTGGTTAAGTTTTTGTATGTAAGCTGGTATCTCAATAACTACTGAAGGGAATGGATTGAAACTTCACACTCTTGTTGTCTGTGATTATCTAAGATGATTGGCACAAGTCCCATAGCTCTGATTTACTTTTTCGCATAATTATGCCCCTTTTTTGATTCATAAATTCTTGGTTAAATTTTTGTGTGTAAGCTTGTATCTCCATAACTACTAAAGGGAATGTATTGAAACTTGAAGGGTTTGTACCTTTTTGGACAATTTTATGTATTCATATAGGTAAGCATTATTATACTCAATGAAACACCCTTGTGACAAATTTTCGAATAGTGGAGCGTTACTGTCCTCCGACAGTTCTTGTTTTTGTAGGGGGCGTCTGTGGCCGAGTGGTTAAGGTTGTTGACTTCAAACTACTTACCCCTCACCACTTTGGGTTTGAATCATGACATCGACTTTGGATTCTTTCATATGAGGAAGCTATCCTGGAGTAAGTTACGGATAGTCTGGTTCTACTAGGGTGCACATTTGTGCCTGAAATAATGCACGGAAGGGCACCTGAGGTCTTCTTCCACCAGTAAAGCTGGAATGTCGCCATATGACCTATACTGTGTTGATATGACATATTAAAAACCCAATCAAACATTAACAAACAAACAAACTGTTTTTGTAATGTTAATTTCCCATTGGCCAAATTGGAGTTATTTTTAGTTTCAATTTAAGTGTACATATACCATGTGACTAAAAGTTTTGTGCAGTTACATATTAAGGTAACCATTTTAACACCTCACTTTTTTAATGCACCTTTAATGAAAGTATTGTTTTCAAACTTAGATTATTGTATTTTGTGTTTTAGTTCACTGCAGCAAAGTTTGTATTACGGAGATCAAGGAAAGATTTAAATACTCTCAACAAGGCTGTTGTACATGGAAGGTAAAATGTTTTTGTTATTTTTATGTTAAATAATTAGATACAGTCAGAATATTCTTTTACTACATCATTTTGATAATGAAGAATTCAAAAACAATATAACCTTAAATTTTAGAACCTTATGAACCTTATGAGGCAAAATCACTTTTGCTTATATCAAATATTATTATCATTCTGTTTTTAAGTTAAAGGAAAAAAAATCATCTCAAACAACCATATTGATATTGATTTCTCTTTCTATAGTTATCTCTCTGTGAATCATGTAAGTTTATCACTTTATATTATACATATATGTCATTTCATAATAGCTCCGTAACTAAATTTGAGCCGTGCCAATTGACAAAACCAACATAATGCATTTGCAACCAGCATAGATCCAGACAAGCCTGCACATACACGTAGTCTGATCAGGATCCATGCTGTTCGCTTACAGACCCTATAACAAGTAAAGAAACTGATAACGAACAGCATGGATCCTGATCAGGCTGGTCTGGATTTATGCTGGTCGCAAACTCATTATGTTGGTTTTGTCATGGCGTGTGTCAGTTATTGAACTTTTTGTATATAATGATATATTACAAGGGAACACATTTATTTAAGGAGCTCCACTGAGGTCAGGCCTTCTTCAAATTGTTCCCAAATATATCCAGTTTCTTTATGTCATTATATTAGAACCTCGGTGGAGTCCCTTTAACGATTCTATAATCTCACTTTATATTCTCTACATACTTGTGTATTGAACCCTATCATAATTTGATATTCCAGGAACATGATCAGAAATGTGAGCCTCGGACATGGTCTGTTTGATTTGATAGACAAAGAGAAACAGCATAAAGTAAGTCTCCAATTTATTATATTCTCCAAAAAGTTCTGATAAAGCATATAAAGTTGCTAGTTTGTACTTCCTTCTTTATCAGTCATTTTAATACTGTTTCTAAAAATAGTAACAATTTGTTTTTTGACTCATATCCTACATATTTGCTGTTTTAACATTTGCCCTTTTCTATATATACATATTCTCTGTTTACATACAATACAAATACAATACAAGAAAAAAATACATGGTAATTACAATATGTACAATTAACCATGCACATGAGTCAGGGAGCAACACAAAGTTGGATGGGAATTCAGGTCAATTAATGTTCAAGGTCACTTGGGCTTAAAAAAGATTTTACAATATTACATAACCTGGTTTATCATTTACATGGACTTGCACATTTGTTATAGTTGTATGAATATCTTTATGATGTGATTTAATGATGATGATGTAATTGTATGAATATCAATAAGATGTAGTTGTAGGAATATTTTTATGATGTAGTTGTAGGAATATCTTCATGATGTAGTTGTATGAATATTTTTTATGATGCAGTTGAATGATGTTACTTTATGATCTACTTGTATTATGTTACTTCATGATGTAGTTGTATGAATATCTTTATGCTGTAGTTGTATGAATATCATTATGCTGTAATTGTATGAATATATTGATGATGTAGTTGTATACTGTTATTTCATCATGTAGTTAGTTGTATGAATATATTTTTGATGTAGTTGTATGAATATCTTTATGATGACTTGTATGATGTTACTACAGAAAGAAGCATCTGAGGAGGCTATAAGAAAACGTCGAGAACAGTTACGCAATGAATTTCAGCCACCAAAAACGGAGAGCGACGATGATACGGATGATGATATGAACAGTGATGTGGATCTAGCAAAGTAGGTTACCCTCGTCACCTTGTATGCTCGTGTGCATGCTAGGAATATCATTTATAATGGTTTTATGAGGCCGACAACAATTCTAAGAGAATGTTTGTTAGCTATCTCCAGACTGAATAATAAAGAGTCTTATGATGTATTTAGTTCATAATTATAGAGTATGTCAATACTGGTTTACAAGTGGCCATCTATTTTTTTATGAAAAATGTAATTGTATTATCCATTGTAATTGTGTTACATTTGAATTAAGTATGGAGACAGCAAACTTACATTAGATTTTATATGGCCTTAATGGTTTAGGTGGGCATAAGTGTAATAAATCTATATGAACTTATAAGGTTTGGTTTCTACTTTACCGGAAAAAAACCAGGTCCTTTACTTTAACTCCATATCCAAGATGATTATATAATTACATGGTTACCTGTACAAGCATATCATTAACAGAAAATGATTGGTGGTGTTTTTTTTTGCAGTGGCATTAGTGTATGACTATTAGATGAGCTATATTTTCATATGTCAGATGTTTATTGTAACATTTCTCTTCATGCACACTCATTTAAGATAATGTCGTCAAGTTGTAAACATTGCCGGCCCTTCATCAATATAGGTTCAAATATTGTTAGTGTAGTCAGATGCTTCCCTTCGGGGAACTGGTGTCCACCTAGCTAAACTGAACGTCCATGGTTCTACTCTGCTTCCCACTTGAGCCTAGTATTACCCAAAAAGGGATCTAGTGGTTTTCCTCAACTAGTAAATCTTGATAAAATGTCACATGACTTAAATTTGCAGTGTTGCTGTGACTTAATAAAACCCAACGAAATATGAAAACAAGGTTGTTTTCACATTTTCAGCAAAATTTCCTATACCAGTGACATGTTAGGCTTTGCATAATAAGCTATTGTGAAGGTCATATTGTAGATTAAATAAATGTCAAGGTCACTTAGTGTTTAATTTAGGTCATTGTATTAAAATTGCTACAGGTCAAGGTCATTTTTGCAACAGACAGGTCTTCGGTCATTTATCCAAAAGTGAGATGAAAAGTAGAAAGTATTGAATAAAATTAAGTTTCAAGGTCAATCCTTTTTATTTTTATGAATAAATAGGTTTGCCTTAAAATTGTCATATGGTCATTACATATCAATTACTTTTGAAGGAGGTTAATTGTCATTAAAGGTCAAGGTCATTAATCCTTAAGTTAGTGAAATGAGAAAGGATGAATCTCTTGGCCCTTTGAAAATTCACATGGGAAATAGTATGGTATATGAATTAAATAATTTTCATACTGGCACTAATTAAAATAGATTTTTAGACAAAAGTTTTCTTTGGCATGTAAAAGGATTCAAATAACAAAGTAAGGTGCCTTGTCTTGAGTCATTTTATAAATCGTTAGGTTATATATTTTTGTGAACGGAGAGATTTTAAAGCTAATATTGCCAATTCCCAATCTGCATGATCTCATGTAATACTATGAATTGTATAAATAAAATATCAATTACTGGTGCTAAGTTTAACTGTTAGAAAATACCAGTATAAGCTTTTCACCACCATATATGTAACTAAAACACAACAGATATTATTATTTTCCTGGTTTACTAACTCTACTTGTATTATTACTTCCAGTACTCTTTGAGTATTTGGTCCATTTTTCTCATGATGTGGCAAATCTTATTGCATGCATTAATTGTCTCCTGTTAAAAATGATTCACAAATTAAATCTCAACTTTCACGATGATTATTTTTTAATGAGACTGGTGGTTGAATTTTTTTCGAATACTTAAAGGCCCATTATGCCTCAGTTATGCAATCATTTGTATTTCTCAAAAACTTTGGTAATTTGTTACAGTTTCCAAAACATTTATTACTCATTTGCCATTATAACATAACAAACATTTGATTCTGTTGCTATATTAGCAATTGGTATAATTGTAAGTATTTTGTATTAAAGTCACAATACTACTTTATTTACATTTTACTATCTTTATGACACATAACTGCAGGTAAAAAGCTACTTTTTTCAGTTGTTTAACATCTAACATGCTGGGAATTCATAATCAAAGCAATTTAAACCCATTGTTTGACATTTCTTAAGAATAAAGAGAAAAAAAATGGATTTCTGAGGCATAATGTGCCTTTATATTATGAAGTTTTGATAAACTTTCTTTTTCAAATTACCTTATTATATTTCAGTCTAAAATATATCTACACACACACAAAAACTGTATGCCAACTTAAAATATAAGGAATATCATTTGAAAGGGAGACAACCACCTTAAATGAAACTAGAAAGGGAGACAACCCCCTTGTAATAACATTTTAAAGGGAGACAACCACCTTAAAATAAATATCATTATTTTTCTATAACTTATGATATGAGAAATATCATTTGAAAGGGAGACAACCACCTTATGATAATATTTTAAAGGGAGGCAACTACCTTAAGAAAAATATCATTTTTTTAGGGAGACAATTAATCTTCTGTATCATAATCATAATCACACACATGTATATATCCCATGGTGCTTTGCTAGCTATATGGTACCGGTGGCGCCCCCTACATTCTTAACACAGCAGCAGATGGACACAGATGAAGAGCTGGGTATTGTAAATGATAATGGGTCTGAGTCTGACCAAAGTCCAGAACGTGAGCCAGAAATCATTACATTTTCTGGGTTTGTATTATATTTTTTTGATAATTATCTTTTTGTTACATAAAGTCTGCTGAAAAGTTTTTTTTTTAATTTGTGTTATTGTAACATATGAATACACACCGACCTTGCTTACTGTACTATAACCCTTAAGATAATTATGTCAGCAAATCGATTCTTGAGCTTAGTGGTCTAGATTATTGTAATTTATTTTACTTGGAAACCAATGATAACATGTTCAGAACCCACAAATGGATAGGACTATTCTAGATACATTCTGGATAGCATGTTTTTTTTTGTAAACAATTTGAAATGTTTGTTACACGTTATAAATTACTGCCTTTGATAGGAAGGTTTATGTATATTTAAACATCATCCTGACATTATATAAGTGGTCAAAAATCTACATACATCTGTTTGGCTGTATTTCATGATTTCTGTTTGATATATTTTCGTCTCAGTGTATAAATCTCAGGCTGTAAAAATCAAGCCACCTTTTATATATATTGTAACACATGTCTATAAAATCATGCAAATATTGATATTTATGATCAGTTTTCAATAATCATAAGCAACTTATAATTCAACGAGGGTTATATAAAAAAAATATAAGTCTTTTCAACGTGACTTACTAGTAGAAATTGTTACGAAAACAGTCTTATTTCTTGTAAATTGAAGATTAGCTAATTCAGGACACCTGATAATAAAGGGATCGACATTTCTTTTTTTTTTGTGAGAGAGCATATTGCTTCATATATAATCAATCTTGCCCATGCAACCATATCAAGTGCATAAAACAATCCTTTGTACTTAATGACGATTTTCTTTGAAAAGTTCCTGTATTTATGAGATACTGGGGAATTTATTTTGGTTTACTTAACCTTAACCAAATCAGGAACTTTTCAAAATTGAAATGTAAAAGGGGTAAAACCTTGACTTAAAACCTAGACTTAATCTATTTAAAACATTTTTTTCGCTGTCTTAGGAATAAGAAAAAAAAAGATTTTTTTTTTGCTCACTTGCTCATCTAAGTAATGAATTTAATAAAAAAAAAATTCTTTTCACTCACTCACGAGTATAAGGTAGACCAAGAATTAAATTTAGTGTGGCCTAAAGATATTTCTTACAGAACTGCCATTTTCACAAAAGCAAAGACAGAAAATTTGTACTTTTCAACTTTAAAATGACCTAAGAACGGCAAAAAAACATTTTTAAGGGAAAATAATTAAAAAGTAACCATGGTAACCCCACATTTTTTTTATTCGTAATTTTTTTCTTTCAGAAATACATGTACATCTCATCAATCAACCATTTATATTATTCATGAATATTTTTTTATTTTTTCAATAACAATTCTCTTTACTCTACCAATTTTTATATTCATATTTTTTTTCAACTCTGATCAAACTTTAAAAAAAATTCTCTATACTGTGGTTTCGCTGTTTCTTGGTCTTGTAAAAAAGCTACTCAGTATGGAAACACATTGCTAAAAAAAAGTTCATATTGTTTAACTGTTACCATGCTAATTGTGTTAATGGACTTTTCAGTAAGTATTCATCATTTGAGTCGTGTCACAACAAAACCAACATAATGCGTTTGCGACCAGCATGGATCCAGACCAGCCTGCGCATCCGCGCAGTCTGATCAGGAATCATGCTGTTCGCTTACCAACCCTATTACAAATAGAGAAACTGACAGCAAACTTAAGTAATTATTAAGGAATGGCGGCTGGAATCACTTTGAATGGCGGCATGGCCAGGTTCTTAACATGTCAGACTAGTAATCTTAGGATTGCTGACCACGTGGGTTCAAACCCTGTCAGGGGCAAGCTGTTGTTTCCTTGAGCAAGAAACTTTACATTCATTGCTTAGTACTGGTTGGTTCCAGGAACAGATTGGAGAGTGTTTCAATACGCTGCTTTATAATAGCTTCCAACACAATCGAACTAAAATAAATTTGTATAAACTAATCATTTAGGAATATCCTCAAGATTTTTGTAATTCTGTATAATAAAAAAATCCACTGTATGTTGACATACATGCACTATGTAGACTTAATTTTACGTATTTGTGGAATACACCTGCATAAAGATTAAATTCTGAATATAAGTGGTCTGAGGATTTAACTCTGCATACTTGCGGAATGAACCTGTAACTGGATTTCAGTTGCACTTACCTTTAATACCAATCAGTAGCTTTTAGCCAGTATTTATTAATGACTTTTTATATTCTCTTAAATATATTTACATGAAATTAAGATTTTTCGTTGTTTATATTACATCTTGTATTTGATGCTTAATCATGAAAATATGGTTGATTTAAAAATGATAGAAGATGGTGATTTGAGAAATTTAAGCTGTCTATATAATCTTTCATTTAGTCATTCATGCACTAACTGTACATGACCGTACATAACTGTACATGAAATAGATTAGGAATTTGGTGGCTGTTATTTAATAATAATATATTGACAAAAATGTTGTCTCAGGATTCAACAGACAAAGGTGGAATAATGTGATACTGAATCCAGTCATTCTTTTTTTTTCTTTTTTTTTTATTTCACCTTGTAAAAGGTAAAGGAGTGCATAACTGAAACTACAAATGTATAGTACATTGTATGTTTTGAATAAAATTTGTTCCGATGTTGTTGTGTGAACCTCTTATATAAGTTTCTGTAGACATTTTAAATATTTTTGTATAGAATGGCACTTGCTGAACATGAGGAGGAATATCAGCGTGCTCGCTCTGCCATGGTGACATCAGAGATGACATCATACTCCCGCCCTGTCAGCAGACGTAAAAAGAAGCAAGAGACTCCACGCCCTTATACGCCGCAGCATACGAATCTGTCCGCAAATATATCAATGCGTGAATCTGTAGCCGACAGCGAGCCAGATTTGGATATCACTAGGTATGTGTGTTAAATGTAATGGAATTGTAGGGTTTTGCATCTTTTACCGTTAAACTCACTATGCAGGAGTTTTAATTAATGAAGATGATTTCACAAAGCCATAAGTTAAATATTTCTTTTATTTAAGAAAAAGATTCAATTATTAAAATGACATCTTCTTCCACCAGTAAAGCTGGAAAGTCACCAATTATATGACCTGTGTTGGTGCAATATAAAACCCAACCAAAACAAAAATTCCTAGAAATAATAATATAATTATATATTTAATATATTATTTAAATGATGATTTACCATGGAATTTAGAGGATTAGGTTATATTTTCAAACAACAATTTATATAGGGCCATATAATCTGTCGAAATTCTTTAGGCTATAACTAATAATGTATAACATTTATAATAGGACACTTGTACTATACATAATATCATTGTAACATTCAGGGATGCATTGTTTCGACAACTGTGTGTTTTACATTGGATTTTGGAAGCTATGAGCACAGACCCCCCATCACCGATGACACCTATAATGTCCTGCTGGAGTTTAACGTGAGTATACATTCACACTTGTGACATTCACACCATTCACACTTATGACATTCACACTTGTGACATTTACACTTGTGACATTCATACTTGTGACATTCACACTTGTGACATTTATAGCAAGTTCTGCATAATGTTATCTTTATGTAACAAGTTGGTATTTTTGCCTCCTCTTTTTTTGTAAAGAATAAGTTGCTAGAGATCTCTCCATTCTTTTATGTCAATGTATGTTATGTTATGTTATGTTGTTTTGTTTATGTTGTTATGTTATAATATGATATGATTTGTTATTTTATGTTATGTTATGCTGTTATGTAATGATATGTTTTTATGTTATGTTATGTTAATGCTGTTTTGTTATGTTATATATGTTGTGATATTTTATTATATGTTATTATGTGTTATTTTATGTTATGTTCATGTTGTTATGTTATTATATGTTCTATTATGTAATGTTATGATATGTTATTTTATGTTATGTTCATTTGTTAATGTTGTGTTGTGTTATGTTTATATAATATAATGTGATCTTTATGATATTATAAATAATTCATTGTTTTTTCTCCTTATGTAACAGAGGCCTATAAAAGGCCTAGCTCTTCCCGATTGAAAATTTCTTTAAATTCATGTCATCTTCCCAAAGTCTGAATTTACGCCCCCCCCCCCCCCTTTTTGCCAATTTAGCATTAGTGATACTTTTTTCCAAAAATTAGAGACTTTTTCCAAAATCAAGAGACTTTATCTCAAAAACAAGAGGCTAAGGCCTCTCCCTAATTAATTGGAAAAAAAACACCATTGTAAGAAAATCTTTCTCTATTAAGTGAGCATATCTAAATAAAATAACTTCTTTGGTCTATTTATATTTTGTATAAAGTGATCCCTTTTCCCTTTTTTTCAGCATAAGTTCTTTCGTTTTTGGTTCAATGTTAAAGGGCATAAAACTATGATATCTTATGAAATATTTTCATAAAATTCATCAACAGTACAATTATTTTGGTTAAATCATCTTGTGGTCGATTCTTGGAAGAGTTGTTAAAAAAAGAATGTCTCTGTTAATTTACACACATGAATAATGTTAATAAAATGTTACAGAACAAATTATCAGACTTAATCTTCCATTTTAAGTAGTGTTTTATCTGCTAAGCAATGATTTTGTGTATGAGCCATTCACTTATAGGCAATTTTAAACCAAAAAAAAAATCTTTTCCCTTTATAGTTCAAATTGTAAATAACATGTTTTATCTTTTTATTTCTGTTAGAAAATCTCATCTTTTTTTTTAATTTGATGTTAAAATTTCTTCTTCTTGTTTTAAGGTCAATGTACAAACAATTTTTTTGTTTTAGTTAAATGTAAAAATATAATTTTCTCTTTTTCAGTTCAATGTAAGAAAACAAATCTCTTGTAATTGCTAAATGTAAAACTTGTTAGGTGCGATAATCTTGTAGTTTTTTTTCATTTATATGTTTAATTCTGTTTGTTTACTTTAAATTTAAGTATAAGTCTGTTCTGTTGTAAGTAAGTACATCTTTGTTCTATTCTGGTTTAGAAATTTTAAACTTTTTTCTATTTCTTTCCTCAAAGCTATTTTTTGCTCCACAGAGGGAGCATAAAGTCGCTGATCATTATTATTCATCTTGATGGGAAAATAACAGTTTTTTTTTTTACATTTTTGCTATATTTATGAATTATCTCTCTCAAGTTTATAAAGCTTGTCTGGAGTGTAAAAGGGGAGCGGTGGCCTTGTGGTTTAGGTCTCTGCCTCTCAACCCCGGAATCATGGATTCGAGCCCTAATCGGGTCACTATTATGATTCCTCATATGACACCAGTACTGGTTAGTTCCAGGAAGCGGACTCGAAAGTGATTATTATAGGTTGCAAGAACTTGTTTCGCAATCCAGCTAAATAATATAATTAATGATTAAACTAAACTATCAAAGACTTCACACATTTGTAGAGACTAGAAAGGGAAAAAGCAGTGTCAAAGAACCATAACTCTGCATTAATTAGTTATTTAATTTTCTCCATGTATAATACATAATAATGTTTTTTCTGGAGAATAGCTTGAAAACTATTAAAAGAATTTTATTAACAGATTCAAAGTCATAGAGACTAGAGAGAGGAAGTGAGTTTCCATGATTATTAATGCTACCTCACTTGATTTTTTAATTTTTAATTATCTCCCTTTATTATACTTAACATTTGTTATATTTTGGCTTATAATTTATAGCCTTTATTCATTGACTGATGTCTTCCATATTTGGTAGAAACATACCTTTTGAGGTCTTCTTACTTTGGTTAATTGGGTCAAGGTCACTGGTGCTTAAAATAGGATTTTAAACTTTTGCTCATACACCTTTTATTTATTTACTAATTTATATCATATTTGAAGGGAAATGTAGATATTTATTGTTGTCCTCTAACTTTAAGTTTAAATGGGGCAGTCTGACATTAAGGTCATGGTCACAGGTCCCAATAGGTACTTTTCCATTTTTTACTGCCTAAAGTCTTTCATTTTTAGTAGGTAAATATCTTGGTTGGAACTATAACTTTGGGTGGAGAAAAGGGGTCACTTGGGTCAAGGTCAAGGTTACAAGACTGATAGAAATAGATTTTTTACAATTATGCTCATAATAAGTCCTTAATAAATGACTAATGTCTTTCATATTTTGTAGATATCTACCTCGGATTGCCCTCTAGCTTTTGGGTGGAGTTAGGGATCACTGGGGTCAAGTTCACTGGTGTTAAAAATAGATTTTTACATATTTACTCTTACATCCTTTATTGATTTACGTGCATTGAATACAATGATGACAATTGTGCAGGTTCAGGGGTCATCCATTACCTTCAGCCATAATCATGTTATTTAGCATAAGGATATCATCACTTCTTGTTTTGTTAAATGAACATTCTTATCTCTTTCCCTTTTAGTAAGAAATTTCTGTTTGACATGATCATAAACATTATCATTTGTTTAACATTTATTAGTTAAATTCTACAGTTTAAGCTTTTAATCTTCACAATTGGAAATGTATGTATATATATAATTATATTTAGTTTGTAATTCTCTTTGGCACTGGATATTATTTCTTGTATTGCAGAAATATTTCTAGTAAACACAGGTGCATAGTGAGTTGAATTTAGACAACACTTTTAATGTTGTAAAGGTTTTTTATTAGACTTTTGCTTTAAGTACATGTGTTTTTTTTAAACTTATTGTGAAATCGCTGTAGACGGTGATATTTGTATTACATAGTTTTATATATATATTTGCACTTTTTATATAGCTGTTGTGGAGGAAATTGATATTCATAATTTCTTTTTTGAGTTTTATATATGAAATGTATGGTAGTCTTTTGAAAAATGAATCATTGCATAAAAATGGGTCTTAGTAAAAACATTGAAAAAATTAGTGGCGTCCATGGGCGAGTGGTTATGGTTGTTGACTTCAAACCACTTGCCTTTCACCGCTGTAGGTTTGAGTCACACCAGCATTTTCAGATTTTTCATGCTTAAAAGTTATCCAGCTAGCTAACTGAATGTTGGTGGTTCTACTTAAGTGCCCGTTTGTACCTGAAATAATTGTTCAGGAGGTGCGGTTGAAATCTTCCTCTACTTGTGAAGCTGGAAAGACACCATAATGACCTATACTGTGTTGGTGCAACATTAAACCCAACCAAGAAAACGAATAAAAATTTACAAAATGGTGGCAAATAATAATTGGTCCCTGTATAAAAATTAATACCATGATTATTATTTGGTAGGCTTTTGGCGATAAGCAATGGTTGCCATTGTAAGAATATGTCACCATACCTCACAATCTGATTGTGCTGGAATCATTGATTTTCAAATTTATATGCTATTTGCATCTTTGTGAATTTAACAATGAATGGTTAAAAAAAAAGTTTTAAAGTGGTCCAGGTTCAAGGGTTAATATTATTATGATAGGAGAAACTTTGAAATTACAGGAAAGGATTTTCTTTATGGACATGTTTTAAGTTTTCTTTTCTTTTGTTTTGGTGCAGGAGTTAAAGTTGTGGCCCTTTGATTATATTTTATTTTACATAATCTCCTTGGATGATAACTCAGTTTTTATCATATTAAGCTTATTTTTTTCTAAGAATATTTAGCACTATGTCAAGGGTTGGGGTTAGTACTTCTAGAAGACTTGTACTTACATTTTTTAGGGTCATCTGTGGCCCTAGTGGCTAAGGTTGATGACTTCAAATCATTTGCTCCTTACCCCTGTGGGTTCAAATCCTTACAGGTACTTTAGATTCTTTCCTTTCGGAAGCTTATATCCAGCTAGCATACAGAACATTGGTCTTTCTACTCTGGTGCCCTTTCATGCCTGAAATAATGCATGGAGGGGAGCCTAAGGTCTTCCTCCACCAGTATAGCTAGAAAATCGCCACATGACTTATACTGTGTTGGTGCAACATAAAAATTTTTTTAATACAATCAAAAAAATAATTAATAAAAAAAATAATAAGAAGAAATCTTTTTTGTTATTTTAAAGTGTTTGGATTTCTTTTTCTAGAATGTGTTTATGATATAAAGTAATATTTACATGAATATATTTACATGACCTTTAACTTACTGAATTTGCATAAGTTACATAAACCTTCTAAATTGCCCAGCTTTAAGGGATTTCAATATCAAAAATACAAAAAAATATAATAAAGCTTAGCTACCAACAGTATAGAGTCTGATCCACACTGCATGGATGTTGGTGGAAACTGTTTATTACTGTCAGTTCAGGCAGGGTATGGGATAAAAAAGAAATGAGCCATGTCACAACAAAACCAACATAATGGGTTTGCGACCAGCATGAATCCAGACCAGCCTGCACATCCGCGCAGTCTGATCAGGATCCATGCTGTTCGCTTACAGACCCTATAACAAGTAAAGAAACTAATAGCGAACAGCATGGTTTCCAGGCTGGTCTGGATCCATGCTGGTCGCAAACCCATTATGATGGTTTTGTCGTGACACGGCTCATTAATGTGCATTGATCATACGTTTTATTACAATGTATACAAAATTTCAAGATAACGATAAATCTTCAGTAGCTGATATTTCTAAATAACTCGCTTTTCTTGACAGTGATAAAATTGATATCTAAGTTACGGCATGGCCGAGTAGTTGACACGTTGCACTTGTAATTTCAGGTTCTTTGGCTGCATGATTTAAACCCTATAAGAGGCAAGCTTCTGTTTATTTGAGCAAGAAACTTTACACCCATTGCTCATTTCTGGTTGGTTTCAGGAATAGATTTGAGAATGTGTCTATAAGCTTATATCTTTCTTCACAAACTAAAATAAATTCTGTATATTAACTAAGTTCAAAATTTTGCATCTTTAATGTTAACCTAATTCTTTAATTCTTAATTTTGCAGAGATATAGGAGGCTCCCGGGCTCAACCCAAAAAACTGATGCGTGACAAAGCAACTGAAAGTGGCTGGGTAAACTTTCTCAGTAAGGACAATACTAAGGTAAGAATGTTTTAACGTCTTTACATTGTATGCATGAAAATAAAGAAAATGTCTTGAAATTTAACAAAATAATGTAATCATCTACATATACCGTAAAATTCCTAATAAACGCCCCTCCCCTAATAAAGGCCCCCAGGCCTTTTGATAAGGAAAAAATCTACTCATCAGTGCTGAACTCAGAATTAAAGCCATAATTTTATTCAAATCATTCAGAATCCATTTTATTTTATTGTAAACACAAATATGTATTATATGAACTTTAACATCTTAACACTTTTTAAAGTTATTTCCAACACTTGCTAACACTTAATGTATTTACAGGGATTTTTGGATTTAGGAAAAACTGTGTTGTAATAATAGCCCTCTTTTGGAAAAAATTTTGCCCCGGGGGCAATTAATAGGAATTTTACGGTATTTAACATTTATATTATATCATTTTCTTTCTTACTTTTGTTATTTAATATTCAAGCAGATATTAAGTTTATGTAATGAGTACGTAACTGCAAATTCATAAATATATGTGAGTCACTAGTTTTCGTGGTTTTCATGGATAAGTCAATCCATGAATGTAAGAGCCAACACAATTTCATTTCACCGGTTGTCAGATTATTTTGCATTGCATAATTGCATTTAATTATTTTGCAAAACTAGAAAATCAACAAATTAAAATACCTTCAAAAATGTCCATTGTGAAAAAAAACACGCAATTTCGTAACCACAAAATTTAGACCACAAAAAATTAGTTCAGTAGCACAAGGTTATAAGTGTGATTCCTGAAATACAGCACGTGCAATTTTCCAGAATGTTTTAAAGTAAAACAGTGTGTCAAGGTCAAATAATTTTCATCAAAGTTATTGGTTAAACTTTTTCTCTGGCACTGAAACAGAATAGGAGGGATCTTGCCTTTTAGTGTAGAAAATACCTCTTCATTTTTATATAGAATGAAAATCAAGGTAAAAATTCTAAAAAAAGGGTCAAAGTCAAACATCCTTAAAATACACAAAAGAAGAAACCTTGAAGGTCATCAAGGTCAGCCAAATTATAACTTAGTCATGGGTGAATTTCAGTTACTTTTATTGTAGGATGAATTGATTTTACACATCCTACATATCCAAATTACAGAAGAATTCCAATGATTTGCATTGTTAGATCCATTGATTGTACAATATCAGACTTGGTGTGTCATTTTGGTACACAAAGTTGACCAAGAAAGTAGGTCAAGGTCACATAGGGAGCTAGAATTGCTGTTTTATCACAATAGTAAAAAGTGAAATGGGTCATTACATCCCTAAAATTATAATAATGATAACAGAAACACTTTGGGTTGCAATTATTTTGTCTGTGCAGCTGTAATATATATATACATTGTATTATTCTGAAAATGTGAGATGCTTGTGTAGAGATGAGTATAGGTATAAACTCTTGGTATTTAAGTTACATGTGATTTTATTATAAATAAAATGATAATTTCAGAAAGTTAATATATCTCCAAAAGTGACTGTAGCAAATGCAAATAGTAGTTCGAAAAAGGTAAATTATTGTTCAAGGTGAAAGTAGGGAATTTTTTCGTCATGTTAAATTCGGTGATCATTGGATATGGTGAATGTTTAGGGTTTGAAAATGTTTGTAATATTTGAAATGGTGAACAGTTTTTTTATCCATGTTTATGGTGTATGTTTAAGAATTTGTACCACTTTTATTTATATAGTAGTAAAAAGTTTTGCACCTATTTTATTGCTGGTATTTGGGGAGAGTGTTTTTTCCACAAAAAATTATAGGTAGTTAGTGTTTTGAACATTATTTAAAATATCTCAAAAGATAATGATGTTGCTTGACATAAACAAGGACTTTTTTTCTGTTAGTTAAATGCTAAAGGTCATTTTGTTAAGCAACCCTTTTTTTGCATTAATTACTAAATAGATCTATCTTAATCTTCCTAAGTATCATTACTAAGCACTACCCTTCGCTAGGTTACAGTGAAGAGTATCGGAGCAAAAACGATGATCTGATTTTAATGATTTATTCAGCTGAGATATAAAATACGTAAATCAAGGGTTTGGTGCAAAACAGCTGTAACTCATATTACATAATGAAGGAGTTACATCTGTTTCGCACCAATCCATCAATTAATCTAGTTAACAAAAAAAATACACTATACCACATTGATGTTATTATTGATTTTATTTATAATCGGTTAATTGAAAACTAATCCTAGAAAAAAACAAAAAACTATTTTTATCATTTGCTATTAAATTCTTTTTTTAAATGTTAAATAATTATGTATGTTGCTTTCTGTTGTTTAAAGGTCAAATTATTTTTAGTAACAAGTGGCTGTTGAAAATTAATGTCAAATGATATTGAGCATTAACAATTGATTAAATATTCAATAAAAGTATTATTGTTTCAATGTCAAAATAAAATGTATAATGTCAAATGGTATTGAGAATTAGCAATTGCTTAAATGTTAAATAATAGTCTTAATGTTTAAATGTCAAAAATTTGTTCAAATGTCAAAAATTTGTTTAAATGTCAAATGGTATTGAGTACTACCAATTGTGTAAATGTTAAATGATATGAAATACATACATGTATAAAAAAAACAATAAGTAATGACATGAGCTGAAATGAAAGCAGTTTAAAATGGTGAAGGCTGTGTCAAGTATTTATTTTTTTCACCTGTTTGATATATTATGACTTATTGTATACTATATGGATGCAGCCCTCCTTCAATTTGATGGCCAAGGTAACAAAATGGTGTTGTACTGTACTGGTCAGTTAGTGGGGATGGACAATCTATTAGTTTGGACTTTTCAAGTTTCTGATGATATTCACAAAGAATGGCCAAAATCCATTAAGACAGTTAAATTAATTTTGTACCTAGCATTTTTATTATTAATATTGGCAGAAAAAAACAAAATTAATCCATTACTTCATGAGCATTTGGTGAAAAATTGCTGTTTTCATTGAAAAGCCTCCTGTTACATGTTCAAATTCATATGAAACTACAAAGAAAAGCTTCAATACTGTTCAAACTTGGCACAAATGTTGACTGGACCATAGCCTTTGTAACCGCATACACAGTCTTAAATTTCCTGTTACCATGGCAACAAGGAGGACATCTCAAAATTGCCAAAAATCTCTATTTTGCATTGATTTTTCCATCAAAACTGATTTCAAAGTGCTGCAACTACTCAATGGATTGAGATAGAGTCAATGGCTTTTCAGAGTTGGTTACACGTTACCTTAAGATCAACCTGAGGCAATTTTTAGCCTATTACAAGTCCAAAAATTTCTTGGAGATGAGGGGGACTTGTAACTGGAGGCTTTTCAATGAAAACAGCCATTTTTTGCAATATGCTCATGTGGTAAAAGATTGAAGTGCCGCAGTTGATCTACTGTATGTTAGAAATTTGAATTTTATGTTTTAAGGCTTTTGGACCTCAGTCGAGTTCCTTTAACAAGTAACATTTGTTTTCAGTCTAAATAAGCATTTAAGTAAAGTTAAATAAACCAAATCTGTGGCCAACTTTATACTGTGCAACCTCTACACAGTGGCCACCTCTGTAGAGCAACCCCTCTCAAAACTACCAAAATCTTTGTCTTCCAAAGGGTGTTTCTCTAAAAAGGTTCGTCTGTACCATTTCTATAACAAGTTAAAAGTAAATCTATTTTATTAATGACTAAAATTATAATAAGAAATGTCATATCACAATATATAAAAATAAAAAATCAGAGCCCCCGGCCGGCCCCAAAAAAAGAAAAGATTCCTTGTGAAATATTTGTCCATCCCCAGCTGATCATTGTGTTGTAAATTTGCAAATATATATATATTACCTGTACAAAAACATATATTTACTCTGCCTGTGTGAAAATTCCCCACTATTTTATTTGCAGGATTTGGTTTTTATTTCATTTTATGTTCAAACAAATTAGCATATTTATGGTAGCTTTATAACATTTCAGTTTAACATTATATAGACTGATAAGTTTAAGTAGAATAGTACCTTACTTAAGTTCGTTAAGTTTAAGAGCAATAAGTCATTAATATTGGCTATATATTGATTGTTATGTAGAGATATACCATGGCAGAGGTAACAAAGTAACATTTTCTACCTTATTTTGGGTATTCTTATTAAAGCAGCATGCCTCCTGAGGTTATCAAACATATTTCAACAAAATCCAACTTGTGAAAAAATGTATGTAGATTTTAGGAAAAATGGAAAGATACAAGTAATAATTTACATGTTATGAGCGATTAAAAGTTAAATTTTCATCATGTGTAACTTTATTTCTACTGTGTTTACTAACGCAGTAAGGGCAATTTTTGAATACTTTGACCACTTTTTGTATTAATCGTAGGTTGTATTAGTGCCATTGATAATGACATTGTGTAAATTGCTTCTGTTTGGTTACTCTTTTTAACATTTTCAAATTTTTTATGAAAATAAGCATTAATCTGGAGGCATGCTGCTTTAACAGTAAAAACTAAAAACAAAAAAATTGTGCGGGGAAAAGAATTATTTTATGCTGTGTTTTATTTCTCTCTAATTTTGTATTAACTTTTTGTTCGGTTATTGTTTTGTATGAACTATTTCCATTACTGAACGTGATAAATGGTTGGAATCACCATACATGTTGTAGGGATGACTACTGAATATGAACGTCTGATTTCAATGACTGTATTTTCAACTCTAATTTTAAAGTAACAATATATCTATATTTAGTAACATACGTCATATTACGTAGCCGTTTTTTTACCACCTTAAGAGACAAAATTGTTATTAAAATTGTCCTGATGAAGGTTGTATAGACCGAAACTAGTAGACCCAAATAAAATATTGTAAACTTGCTCTGGTGTTGACGTGTATTACTCGTTAATTCATATTTCCTTGTCTAATTTTAAATGTACAAAATATAACAAAAGTGACGTCAATGTCAAGCCGTGTTAAAATGCTATGTACCATAATAGCGTAAAGGTCTATAAGATGTCTAATTGTCTAATAATGATACCTGTAATATCTAACACAATCATGTATTTAAACCTACTTGATTGAATCTAATTTCTGGACAATTAACGGTCATGACCCCTTCAGTGAGTACAAACTGTGACTTAAATATTTGTCTACAATAACAAAAACATGTACTTCCTGAAACGAGTTGCCACTTGATAACCTTTTTGAGTGCAAGAAACACAGACTTTAATATATTTTTGATTAGAGTCATCCTATTCTGCAGTCTTGGAACAGCCATTTTTTGTTCATTTCTGCAGTCTTGGAACAGCCATTTTTTGTTCATTTCTGCAGTCTTGGAACAGCCATTTTTTGTTCATTTCTGTAGTCTTGGAACAGCCATTTTTTGTTCATTTCTGCAGTCTTGGAACAGCCATTTTTTGTTCATTTCTGCAGTCACATAACGCTTATTTCTGAAGTCTCTTATTTCAACAATCTAGGAAAACTTATTTCTGCAGTCCCTGAAAATTTATTTCCGCAGTCTCGGAAAACTTATTTCTGCAGTCTCAGAAAATTTATTTCTGCAGTCTCGGAAAATTTATTTCTTCAGTCTCGGAAAATTTATTCCTGCAGTCTCAGAAAATTATATCTGCAGTCTCGGAAAACTTATTTCCGCAGTCTCGGAAAACTTATTTCTGCAGTCTCAGAAAATTTATTTCTACAGTCTCGGAAAATTTATTCCTGCAGTCTAAGAGCACTAATTTCTGTAGACTCAAATGTTTTCTGAGCAGGGCAAAACCATTGTAGAAATTCAACAGGGTAGGGGTTTATGATATGTTAAATGTTTATATACTAAACAAAGTATGATAGGGGTCATTGTTTGAACTGATTGTGTTCATATTATATGCATACATGTATTTTACCAGACTGCTCCCTGTACCTTATTTTACCATTGGCATATCATATTTGATCAACAATGTTCCATGTTTAAAGTGAATTGGTCTACAATGGGCACATTTTCTGTAAATATTTCAAAATGTTGATAAAAAAGAATAGAAATGTATCATTTGGAAACTCTTGTAAAACATTTCTGTTAAAAAAAAAAAAATGTTGATTGAGTTTTTTTAAGACTTAGTAATTTAGTATGAACAAGTATACATGTATGTTTGATAATAATATTTTGTTCCAGAACAATTTATTATCTGCTATATATAAATATGCCATCTTGGATCATGTATCTCTCCTTATAAATATCAACAACATTCACATATAATTAATTCATATGTACGATACTAAAAACTATCAACATGACTATTTATGGTACTAAAGACATTCCATGATGAACCAATTCTCTTTAAGCCATGGTGTACTCTATTGTATTATTGTTGCACCTTATTTTACCATTTGTTATAATTCTTTACAATTTAGTGTTAAAAATTGGAGGACATAGTAATTCACTTTGAGCCATTGTGTTCTCCATTGTGTTATTGGTGCACCAATTTACCAATAACAATTTTTCACCATTTAGTACATGTATTAAAAATTGGAGAAAATAGTAATTGTGTTATTGGTGTGCAATATTTTACCAATGGTTTACTATTTTTTACCATGTAGTTATAAAAATTGGACAAAATTGCAATAACCTCTATCAAATTTTGAGTGGTATATAATGTACATGTATATTATTGTATGACTGTTATCACATGTAAGCTTGAGTATTTTTGTAGACTCACCTGTTTATTCAAGTTCACCTGTATTTGTGAAGCGTAAAGTCCTTTGTTATCTGTTTTGCAGTGTATTGAAAACCTGACTTTTAGACTGAACTTTTGAAAAGGTCTTTTGAAAAGAAAAGAATGAGTAATTTATCAGGACATTTTCAGTATAATACGTACATTATCATTTTTAGCTCGACTATACGAAGTATATGGAGAGCTGTCCTACTCGCCCCGGCGTCGGCGTCCGCGTCCGCGTCCGCGTCCAGATTTTAGATTAAAGTTTTGGTGCAGTAAAATATTTTTCACTATAACTTTGTCATTTCTTAAGGTATCAACTTCAAACTTCAAATATATGTTCCTTATCATCAACCACATCTTATGTGACAAGGTTCATAACTCTAGCACCAATATTTTCAGATTTATCTCCCCTTGAACTTAGAATTTTCCTTAAAAAATATTATTTTTTACTGATACTTCTTTATTTCTTAAGGGATCAACCTCATACTTCAAATATATGTACCTTATCATCATTCCCATCTTATGTGACAAGGTTCATAACTCCAGCACCAATATTTTCAGATTTATCTCCCCTTGAACTTAGAATTTTCATCAAAAAATACTATTTCTTACTGTTTCTTCTTTATTTCTTAAGGGATCAACCTCATACTTCAAATATATTTACGTTATCATCATCCCCATCTTATATGACAAGGTTCATAACTCTAGCACCAATATTTTCAGATTTATCTCCCTTTGAACTTAGAATTTTCCATACAAAATATTATTTTTTACTGTAACTTATTTATTTCTAAAGGGATCAACTTCATACTTCAAATATATTTACGTTATTATCATCCACATCTTATGTGACAAGGTTCATAACTCTAGCACCAATATTGCAAGAATTATCTCCCAATAAACTTAGATTTATTTTCTAGAAAAATGTTATTTTTATTTTAACTTTTTTATTTTAAAAGGTATCTACCTCAAACTTCAAATACTTATTCCTTATCATCAATTACATTTTATGTGACAATGTTCATAACTCTTGAAGCAATATTTACAGATTTATCTCTCTTTGAACTTAGGATTTTCTTTAAGAAATATAATAACTTCTTTATTTTTTAAGGTATCTACTTCAAACTTCAAATATATATTTCTTATCATTACACAAATGTTGTGTTGCAAGGTCCATAACTCTAGCATGACTATTTCTAGAATTATTCCCCTTGATCTTGGAATTTATGTTAACAAATGTTATTTTTTTACTATAACTTAATACATAATTATACATAATTGATTTTTCTTTCATAGTTTTGTCCTCCTTACTGCGTCCAGTATTTTATTAGTCGAGCTTCGCTGTCTCCTGTGACAGCTCTTGTTTATATGTACAAATCATGATAATTGACTGCTTGCGTAAACAGGAAGTGTTATTTTTGGGCAAGTTCAATGATATTTGAAACATTATTTTATGTATGCCGTAATTGGTTGTATAACATCATATATACAAAATGTATATTCAACTTACAAGGTATACAAAAAGATTTTTGTATAGAAAATATGAGCCGCGTCGCGACAAAACCAACATAATGGGTTTGCGACCAGCATGGATCCAGACCAGCCTGAGCATCTGCGCAGTCTGATCAGGATCCATACTGTTCGCTTACAAACTCTATAACAAGTAGAGAAACTGATAGCCAACAGCATGGATCCTGATCCTACTGCGCGGATGCGCAGGCTGGTCTGGATCCACACTGGTCACAAACGCATTACGTTGGTTTTGTCTTGATGCGGCTCAATTATGTCTTAAGTGTTTAATTTGACAGCTTTAAAAGCTATGATTCTAATCATATATATTCCTTTGGTCGAACAAGTCAATTTTCTCAAGGAATTTAACAATTTTAACCATGTACCGTGCAGAAACTGATATTGCAGTCACTATAAGCATTACCAGCCTCACAGTACAGCATAAGACCAAAGAGTCCCGGTTAACACTTAAATATTTATGCTACTTTATCACTATATTGGTATATTAATTTGGTGGTGTCACTTTTAAAAGCAACTGAATGACCATTTAAACTTAATACAATCATTGAATTAAGCAGAAAATTGCGGGATTCACTTAATTAATAAGTAAGACCATGAACACCATGGTACAGTCAATCATTAATTAAATTATTGAAATATTGATATTTTAAACTCTAAGGTACAGTGTATCTTATGTTAATTTTTTGGAAATGGTAATATAATCATGGAATTCAGTGAAATTCAATTAATAAATATTAAGTAAGACAAATTACTCCATGTTATAGTGTTTATTTAGTCATTAATTAAACTACTGAAATATTGACATATATGTACTATTTAAAACTCTGCGGTACAGTGTTACATCTAATCTTAAAATTTTTGGAACAAGTCAGAAGTTTATATATTAAATAAAATATATTTTTTAGATGGCCAACAGGCATAATTATTTTTGCCAATTACTGAGTAAATAAATTTTAATTTGATTTTGATTTTAGAACGAAATTGTAAATTTTAGGTTAGTAAACGACTCAGTACAACTCAAAGATTGTTGATGAACCGTCGACGTCCTGTAATGCATACAGCTGGCCGCAACTCGGCGCAATCCTCGGCCACTGGGAGCGTGCAAGGAAGTAACACAGGTATGAATCTTTTCTTTTATTTTTGACTTGACACACATTAAATTTGTAGACAATGGTTTGAAATTTACAAAAAGAAAAATAAAGAACGATTACTACAAACTGATGTGTTAATAAGGAAAATCATGGTCACAGCCTAGCTACTTGGACATTTTTGTTTCCAAAAAAAAAGCAAAAACAGTCCTGTGTTAAGGACAATTTTTTCTTGCATTTTAGATAGGATTATCTATCGTTTACACTCAGGTGCTGGAATTTAAAACCTGTCTTTCTGTTTCCATAATATTTTTCTGAAGTATGATTTTTATTTTATATGCAAGAAGATGAATCATACACTGGCTGTTCAGTGTTGTTATAGACTTGAATATCTATCACTTAGTTTACTGCTCAAAAATGTTTATAAGAAACTTGGTAGCGCTTCGTTACTGCCTTAAACAGTAACTGTGTTACCCTTAAGCTAGATATTCCAAATTGTACCAGCAGCCATTGTATATAATATATTTATAATGAAATACTTTGGACTTAACAATGTGTTATGTGTTCCGAGTGATCTAAGTACAAGGTGTTACAATGTATGCAGTTTGAAAATTACGCGTGTATATATAATTCAGTTATTTTGTTGATTTTTATTATTTGTTGTGTTTGAATATTTTTCAGTATACTCTCTTTCTTTAAAAAAATTGACTTACATTCAAAACCCATTTAATACTTAATGATAGGTCATGCCAGTGGTAAATGATACTAGGTAAATCTAGATAGTTAATTATTATTATTACAGTTGGCATGGTAACACAGAGCATCCAACCTTAATACATTTTAGTCTTAAATTGATCATGAAAATAACATTATATTATATCAAAGCATGCAAAAGAATAACTGCGATATAATGGTAAATTTTAAAAGCATGTTGAACTTAATGATGAAATCAAGAGAAAGTATGCCGACATCCAGCCCATATCCTTCAGGAATTGTTCCGCTTCCATTTTGGAGTTGCCCATTATAATTTATAGGGGTGTCATGATGAAAATATTAAATTGGTCAGTGAACAGTATAAAACCTGGTCAGACTGCATGGATTTGCAGGCTTGCCTGGCTATATATGCTGGTGACAAAAATTAAACCACAGGAAAAGAGTTCAAAATGTAAATACTATAGTAATTAATGCAACTTTGTACAAAGTTAATAAAAAAAATTTAAATAGAGGATATTAAATGAGTGTAAGTTCAATACTGAATTTATTACACAAGTTGAATAAAATTATATCATGCGAGCCTCTGGCGAGCATAATATTATTTTATTGAAAGAGTTCAATAAATTCAGTAATGAACTTACATGAATTTAATATTCTATTTATCACATACCCAAAATAAAGACCGTTTAAAGTGAAAAAAGAATCATTTTTCATTGACGCACCTAAACCCAATTTGCATGAATGATTTTATTTGCTGAGGTTGCAATTTAACAATATGACAATAATATTGAATTGATTAAAATGCATGATATTTATTTTGTTTCACTTTGTTTTCTTGTTTACTTTGTATTATTTTTGTTGTAATCAATTTCCAGAAAGAGGTCCATCTCCTTTTGGCCATGGTTCCAATAAGATTCCAATGAAACTTGCCTCATTGTTAAAACCTAAGATAAATACAGAGCGAGCAATATCCCCGTCTCCAGAAATAGTTGAACCATCTATAGCAGAAGGACGCACTACCCCGTCTGCAGCGGCCCCAAATTTAGCGTCGCTTTTAAAACCCAAACTTTTGGAACAATCACCAAGTTCACCTACCTCACCTAATATGTTGATGAAACGGAAATCTGTTGATTGGTCAAGTCAAGCTGTTTCTAAATGTGCCGAGAAACAAGAATCGAGCCCAAATTCAAAATTTAACGGGGCGTTACTTAAAAATAAAAATACTGAAGGATCTCGTTCTAAGTCTCCCACACCCCCGAACATTCATCACCCTATGAAATCAAAAGGCGATTCTCATTCTACATCTAATAATACCGCCAAAATGGCCGCCCAACGGTCCCCATCCCCGTCCAGAATGAAACCAGCGTTAGGAGGAGCCGCATGCCTTGGTCAGTTCTTGGAACTGAAAATGAGGGGAGGTATACAATGCTGTTTGAGCCCCGCCTACCTTATGCTTGATCTGCCATGTTTTGTACTTCATCATCTGTTTTGTTTGAAACATCTAAGAATCCTTATTTTATTGGTCATTATAAGTATTAAAGGCCATTTTCATTTGTTAAAAGAATTTTCTATCCCGCTCTAAGCTTTTGGAATGCCAGTGGTTCTACTCAAAAACCTGTTCTTGCCTGAAAAAATGCATGGAAGATTACCTGAGGTCTTCCTTTATCAGTATCCAGATTTTAATATTCTTTAAAACATGGCAGATCAGAGTTTAGTTTTGAAACATGGCGATCATTGCTTTCCATACTTTTTAAGCCTATTAAATTTCCATTTTAGATTAAAAAAATTAAATCGGCACCTAACTGTACAAGTTGTTCCATATTTCAGCTTGCATGACTATATGTTTTAACAATTTGCTCCATTTTAACTGTTGTGGTCTTCTTGATTGTAATTAACAATGTAATAATGTTCAATGTTCTATGATTTTTACAAAAGAATTTAATGGTTGTACATGTATAACAGCCCCAAAAGTGATTGAAAATAACAATTCTAACATGACCCGCATTTTTCCCTATTGAACATAGAAGATCCGAAAGTGTGTTATTATGCAATAAAATCACTGTTTGACGTTCTATATTTAGTCATGTGACGTAAGTTATGTGACGTAATCATTATACACGTGACATAACCTATAAAAACATGAGACGCTGAAAATAAGTACAGAAATAAATCAAGCGCAATTTAGCGTAATATCAGGTACGGCAGCATTTATTTGATGATGTCGTGTTAGAATCAAAATAATATATCCAAATTGGTGATTTTATCGCTTGATAGAATGACTGTTTGTCGTTCGGATGCGCATCATTATATCACTCAAGCTACGTCCTGGTGATATCATTCCTCACATCTGAACTCTAAACAATGATTTTATTGAGCGATAAAATCACAGTTTGGGATATATTATTTCTTATTTTTATTTAAGGTAACATTTGTAACATTCACATTTACTGTTTTAAATACTGAATGCAAATATTTTGATCTTTCATCTTCAATATCATATATAGCATGTGATATTATAAATATTTGTTTATATTGTTAATGATCAAGTGTCGTAATTTTGACAACTGGCATTTTTTATCTTTCATCTTCAATGTCTTATATAGCATGAGATATTATAAATATTTGTTTAAGTGTCTTAATGTTGACAACTGGCATTAAAGTTTAAAAATTTGTCTTAAAATTCTCTTGGTTAATATATACCTTTAGAGTTATCTTCTCTTTAAAAAAGATTTGCTTAAATTTAAATCAGTTGCTTAGAACTTTGGTCTTTGCATAAACAAGACATTTCCTAGCATCAAATTCTTAGATTTTCTTTCTGAACTGTTTTGTATAAAATAAAAACATTGTATTTTCTGAGTGTGTTGGTCTTATTTTGTTTGTGAGTGAATGATTGTTAATTATCAGAAAAATTATTCCTTTTCTTTAGATAATGGTTTCTATGATTTTTATTGTAACACAAATTAGTTTTAAAAAAACAAAAAACAATTTTTATTTGTCTGAAAAGTTGTTCATTGTGAATAAAATATTCCTTTTCTGTCATAGAATGCTTGCCAATTACACAGACTTATGTTTGCAGGTTTAAACACACTGACCAATCAGATGTCAATGCTAGGTGCACGTAACCGTGAAGATGACTTATCACCAAGGCCAGAAGATGAAGAAGATCAAATGTATAACAAAAGTAGGTCATTGAGTAAAAGTAGGTCACAATACAATAGTAGGTCATATAAGTAAAAAGTTGGTCATATGATGAAGAGAGGTTCATATAGCAAATGGTAAGTTATATGATAAAAAGTAGGTCATTTAATAAAAAAGTAGGTTATAACATAAACAGTAGGTCATATAGTAAATGTAAGTCATGTCAGATAAAAAGTAGGTCATATAGTAAAATGTAGGTCATAAAATGAAAATAAGTCAAAGAAGAAGGTTTCAGATTTAAAACTTGGAGTTTCATGCAGATATTGACATCCAGCAATAACATCATTGACAAACAATGTAATATATTGATGACAGAGTATTTAGTTTTGTCAAATCTCATATGAGACAATAAAAATTAATATTAATATTAAATGTCATACATTGATAAAATAAGGTCAAGTGAAAATAGACCATGTGCTTGAATTATTTTATTTTTATAATTATTACTTTCTTTTTTAGGCATTTTCAAATTTCTAGATGAATATTATGAAAGTTTGAAGACAGAGGAGGAAGCCAAGAAGAAAAATGAATTAGATAACAAGTCCCCATCTAGTACCCCACCCACCACACCTGTACCAGAGAAAAAGTTTGTTCATATTTTTCTTAAATTTAGATCCTACATAAGTTAAATTTGTGTCTTATCCTGCTTAACCTTTACCTGCTGAATTTCTTGAATAGACTTGTCCAGCTTCCATTCTTGGAACTGTCCATTATCAATTATGGGGGAGATCAACATCGAAATTTATGTCTGTGCCTTTCCATTTTGTATGCTCTTCAGTCTATATAGTAGGGCATCTGTGGCGGAGTGGTTATGGTTGTTGACTGCAAACTGATTGCCCCTCACCTGTAACTGTGGGTTAGAATCCCAACAGAAACATTAAATTCTTTCATGACAGGTAGCTATACACCTAGCTTTGCGGAACATCAGTGGTTCTACTTCAGTGCCTGATTGTGCATGAAATAATGTACAGAAGGGCAGTGGGCACCTGATGTCTTCTTCCATCTATTACTTTCGTAAATAACAACAAAGATAATGTTTGAAGTGTGCTTTTTATATCACTTTCTTTTTATTTATTTGTAGGATTAAAATATATGAATATTTCAAATGAATTGAAATGAGCCGCGTCACGACAAAACCAACATAGTGCGTTTGCGACCAGCATGGATCCAGACCAGCCTGCGCATCCGCGCAGTCTGATCAGGATCCATGCTGTTCGCTATCAGTCACTCAACTTGTAATAGAGTTGGTAAGCGAACAGCATGGATCCTGATCAGACTGCGCGGATGCCCTGGCTGCTCTGGATCCATGCTGGTTGCAAACGCACTATGTTGGTTTTGTCGTGACGCGGCTCAAATAATAATTGTGTTTGAAAATGTCTCAGTTTGAAAAATTCCAAGATTTATTTTCAGAATTATTGAACATTCTTAATAAGCAATATATTTTACTTTAACAATGCGCATTTTATATGGAGTATTATGAATATTTGTAGAGTAAAAGATAAAAGTCCTAAGAGAAAAAAGAAGAAAGACGGCAATGAGGTAATGCTCTTTTTTCTACTTTGGGTTGATAAACAATTATTCTAAGAATAAGATTTAATTTCTATGAAAAGAATATGAAGGCAAAATAGAAAATAATGTTTTTCTTAACAAAAGTCTGAAAATCATTATTTGAACTTTGGGCCCTGGAAGTGGCACATATTAGAATCTTTGTCTGTATTTGGCCATGGGCCCTGGACGTGGCACAGATCAGAACCTTGGCCTATGTATGTGGCATAGATGTTAACCATGGGCCCTGGACGTGGCACATTTGACAGATGACAGTTTGAATACATGTTTATTTAAGTCCAGTTTTACAATGCCTAAAACTCGATCTCTGAAAAATTGTACGATCATCAAACAATTGACGCTTCTTAGAAAATATCACTATTTATGAAAGAAAAAAAGGTGTGCAAATATTGCAGCTAATTATGAATTTGCTGCCTGAAAGTTGCCTAGAATATGGTGAAAATTTGAAGCCCTCAAATATTTCTACACTTACAGTATCTGGCACAAATCTTCACCTTAAGTTTTGCACTATGTTTAAAAAGGTGTAAAGAAATATTTTTATAAAATATAAATAATGTTGTTTTAAAATAATGTTTCAGAAACGCCTTGATCACAAGGTTGCAGTGGCACTTGGAGAAGAGGAGAAAATGACATCAAGATACTTACGGGCAAATGCTCATATGATAAGACCTAAAAGGTAAAGATTTTTACCTCATACCAGCGCCACTGTTACGTCTCCAAGTCTTGCATCTCAGTAAAAACGGTATTGCACGGTCTTGCATATATCGTGACATGATTTGCGTTATACAATCATAGAGTAAAGGCATGCAAAATATTATTGTTACACTATAAGGGCGTCAGTCATGCATGCCATAAAATCCTGAACACCTGGGACTGTCCTGGAAATAAGGTGTCCGTTCCGGAGGCCTCCCATACAGGATGGTCAATATAAAAGTGATTCTTTTTTACAGGAACAGTTCTTAGTCTAGATATGTGAGAAATAGAATAATAATATTCATGTAACAACCCTTTACCCTGCTTTATTTATGTATTATTTCTTATTACATTTATTTGATAACCAAACTTGACATATTCATACAGGTGTTAAAAGGTTTTAGTTTCACGTTTGTTTTTAATTTAAAACATTTACAACATGGAAAAAAAGTTCATTACCCAAAAATCATTATATTGCGGGTAAAATTGATAACAAATTTTATTTTCAAAAATTATATCCCTACATTTTTCAGTTCTCCTGCTTTGCAAGATTTTCAAGCTGGGTTGCCTAGCAGCAAGAAGATCAGTCTATGTGCAGATTTACATAATCAGTTTGCTGAATGTAGGGAAGAAAAGGCATTAACTTTACATGATATACTTGATCATAAAGAAAGGTAGATTATATTACAATGGTTTGTTGATTTTATGCCCCCGGGCATATAGTAATTGAACCGTCCGTCCGTCTGTCTGTCCGTCCGTCTGTCCGTACGAAGGTTAACCTAGAACGGCAAGTTGGATTTTTCATAAGTTCTACCTGTACCAATGGCTTCTAAGTTTAAACACTTACTAATCAATCATATTTACCAAGTTATTGCCCTTTTCAGCACTTAGAAAATGAATAATGGTTAACCTAAAACGGCAAGTTGGAAATATCTTAAGTTCTATCTATACTAATGGCTTTATAATTTCCACACTTACTTATCAATACAAAGTGCATGATATTGCCAAGTTATATAACTGTGTCATCAATATTTCCCAGTTATTTCCCTTTTTTCACTTTGAAAATAGGGCCTTGTCTGGTTAACCTATTTCGGCAAGTTGGATTTATCTTAAATTTCTCCTAATTGCTTAATTTCTTTAATGATATCTTTCATATTTAGTAGGTGGATACCTTTGATGGTCCTCTAATTTTTTGTGGAGTAAGCGGTCTCTAGGGTCAAGGTCACTGGTTTAAAAAATAAATATAAACATTCTTGCTCATACAGCCTTTATTTTTTTGTTGATGTCTAAGTTTAATACAAACATGCCAAGGGAGGTCCTCCTTTTTTGGGTGTAGTTAGGGGTCATTTGGGTCAAGGTCAATGGTACCAATGTCAAGGTCACCAATGTTAAAAATAGATTTTTACAGGTGTATTGACCTTATTCTATAGACAGATGTTATTTATAATTGATAGAAACAGAAACTTTGATGGAGGTAGTGGTCAGTTGGGTCAAGGTCACCAGTGCTAAAAATAGATTTTTACACTTTTGCTCATACAGCCTTTATTAAGTGACAGATATATTTTATATTTGGTAGGAAGATAATTTGCATGGTATTCATCCTTTTGTTTGGGGTAGGGATCAGTGGGTCAAGGTCACTTGTGCTAAAAATAGATTTTTACACTTTTGCCCATACAGCTTTTATTTATTGACAGATGTATTTTATATTTGGTAGGAAGATAACTTGCATGGTATTCTTCCTTTGTATGGAGTAAGGGGTCAGTTGGGTCAAGGTCACCAGTGCTAAAAATAGATTTTTACACTTTTGCCCATACAGCCTTTATTTATTGACAGATGTGTTTATATTTGGTAGGAAGATAACTTACATGGTATTCTTCTTTTGGATAGAGTTAGGGGTCAGTTTGGTCAAGGTCACCAGTGCATAAAATACATGTTTACACTTTTGCCCATACAGCCTTTATTTATTGACAGATGTATTTCATATTTGGTAGGAAGATAACTTGCATGAAGTTGAATATTTTTCAACTTCACAAGTCAGAGCAATGACTTGGCAACTTATATTTTTCACAATTACAAAATGCTATGACTTTGTCAAGCTATATAACTTGTGTTAACAATATTTTGGCAATTTTTCTGTCCATAACTGAGTGAATGGGTAAACATTTTTTGAAATATTGCTACCGACAAGAATCTGAGCCGGGGGCATTTGTGTTTAACAAACACGTTCTTGTTTTTTTTTGGTTGCTACAGTAACAGAGTTAATTACTATGGTGTTATGTAAGGTTGCTTACTACTTCAGTTTTCTGTTAAGTTGCTGTAGTAACAGCATATGTTTCTATGACGTTTTGTCAGGTTGTCATAGCAACAGAGAATAATTATTACAATGGTGTTCTGTCAAGTTGCTATAGTGACACTGTATGTTTCTATGGTGTTCTGTCAGGTTGTCATAGAAACAGCGTATATTTCTGTTGTGTTTTTTTTCAGGTTGCTATAGCAATAGTGTATGTTTCTATGGTGTTCTGTAAGGTTGCTATAGTAACTGAATACATTAATTTGGTGTTCTTTCAGGTTGCTATTGTAACAGAGTATTGAAGTGTGGTGTTCTTTCAAATTATTACAGTGAGACTGTATGTTTCTATGGTGTTCTGTCAGATTGCTATAGTAACTGAATACATTAATATGGTGTTCTTTCAGGTTGCTATTGTAACAGAGTATTGAAGTGTGGTGTTCTTTCAAATTATTACAGTGAGACTGTATGTTTCTATGGTGTCCTGTCAGGTGTCTATAGTAACAGAGTATATTTCTGTTGTGTTCTTTCAGGTTGCTATGGTAACAGAGTGTATTAGTATCATGTTATTATCTGTTTTCAGTCAACGTTTGTTGGTGTGTAAGAGTAAATTTGTCAGTTTACAAGGTATGAAGAGACATGGCAGTAGTTTTCATCGTGCTGTAGAGCAAATGCGGACACAGAGCTGGCAACAGTTACGTAAACCAGTCAATGATCGGAAAAAATCAGTAGCAAAGGGAAATTGGTGTGTATGATTGAATAGTAAAAATGATTTATTAACGCATTATAACAATTTAATGTATACAGTTATTTCATGGGTGTTTGAGTCGAAACTATTGCCTCGAGGTATCAGGGATGACTGTTAAGTATTTATTGTAACTTTTGCGAGAGGCTTATTTATTCTTATGTATGTTAAATATTTGTACCAGACATGTTGTTTTAAATTTCCATGTATATGTATTCTATACAGAAATAAATCTATCTATCTATCTATCTATGATGGGCCTAATCAGTCACAGTTTTTTTTCTTATTATAAATAATATATAAAATTGAATTATATTCTAAAAAAAAAGTTACATTATTTGTCCAGGTACACAGACCTGCTTGAGAAGATACCATTAGAGCTGAAGCAGGAATGGTTTTATTCCAAAATACTTCAAAAACTCGGCAACTTTGGATTGGTACGTATAAACACCTGTTTTTAATTAGTATATGGTATGCACTGATGCAAGAAACAAATAAATAAAAAATGTGTATAGAAAAGTTGTGTTAAAGGCACAATATGTCCAAGAAATTAATATCTCCTTCCTTTATCAGAATGGGTGAACATGGGTTTTAAAATGTTTAAACAATGGTTTTAGAGCATGTTAGATGCATATCAATTTAAGACAGTTAAGCTCTAAATATTAAATTATTATACCCCCACAAACGAAGTTTAGGGGGGGTATATAGGAGTCAGCTTGTCGGTCGGTTGGTCCGTCGGTCGGTCCACATCATGGTTTCCGGACGATAACTAGAGTTTGGAATGAGATATTGTAATCAAACTTGGTATATAGCAACCTTATGTGGAAACTCCAGTTGGTATTGCATTTGGACCCCCTGGGGTCAAGGTCAAGGTCACCGTTACTAAAAATAGAAAAATGGTTTCCGGACAATAACTAGAGTTAGGAATGAGATATTGTTATCAAACTTGGCCTATAGCAAGCTTATATAAAGACCTGGGTTGGTATTGCAATTGGGCCCCTTGGGGTCAAGGTCAAGGTCACCGTTACTAAAAATAGAAAAATTGTTTCCGGACAATAGCTTGACTTAGGAAAGAGATACTGTTATCAAAGTTGGCCTATAGCAAGCTTATATGAAGACCTGGGTTGGTTTTGCATTTGGACCCCCTGGGGTCAAGGTCAAGGTCACCGTTACGAAAAATGGTTTCCGGACAATAACTTGACTTAGGAATGAGATACTGTAATCAAAATTGATGAATAGCAAGCTTATATGAAGACCTGGGTTGGTATTGCATCTAGGCCCCCTGGGGTCAAGGTCAAGGTCACTGTAAGGAAAAATAGAAAAATGGTTTTCTGACTATTACTAGAGTTAGGAATGAGATATTGTAATCTAATTTGGTATATAGGAAGCTTATATGAAGACCTGGGTTGGTATTGCATTTCAACCCCCTAGGGACAAGGTCACCGTTAAGTGTTACTAAAAATAGAAAAATTGTTTCCGGACAATAACTAGAGATAGGAATAAGATATTGTTATGAAACTTAGTGTATAACAAGCTTATATGAAGACATTGGTTGGTATTGCATTTAGGCGCCCTGGGGTCAAGGTCACCGTTAGGAAAAATAGAAAAATAGTTTTTGGACAATAACTAGAGTTAGGAATGAGATATTGTAATCTAATTTGGTGTATAGGAAGCTTATAATTATGAAGACCTGGGTTGGTATTGCATTTCGACTCATTAGGGTCAAGGTCACCGTTAAAGTGTTACTAAAAATAGAAAAATTGTTTCCGGACAATAACTAGAGTTAGGAATAAGATATTGTAATAAAACTTGGTGTATAGCAAGCTAATATCGAGACCGCAGTTGCGATTACAATTAATTGAAATATTTCTTTGTACACAGTTGATAGTTTGTGTTCAAATTTTTCTTCAGACTACTTTTTTTTCAAAAAGTCAAAGTTGCTGGTGGGGGTATTAATCATCTTCAGTGATAGGTCTAGTTTGACCTAAAAGTAGTAAAATGCAAACAAATTGGATTTTGACTAAATTTATACAAAATACGAAATCAGTATATAACTGTTACTCATTGCCAAAAAGCAACAGAAGCAAAACTTTTTATGCCACCGCAGCATCTGCGATGCGGTGGCATATAGCGATTCACCTGTGTGTTTGTATGTGTGTGTGTTTGTTTGTGTGTGTGTGTGTTATATAGATTATATAGTGAACTTAAAAAATCTTCTTGTGAAAAACCACTTGTCCAATTTCAACCAAACTTGGCAGGATTGATCCTTGGATGAAGGCTTCCAAAGTTGTTCAAAGAATTTCATTCCATGCAGAAATCTGGTTGCCATGGCAACCAAAAGGAATTATAAGAATAAATTTAAAAATTCTTCTTGTAAAGATCCAAAAGGCTTAGAGCTTAGATATTTTGCATAAGACATTGTCTGGTAGACCTCTACCAAGATTGTTCAAATTATAGCCCTGGGGTCAAAATCGGCCCAACCCCGGGGGTCATTGATTTTCACTATATGTACATATAGTAAAAACTTAAAATCCTTCTTGTAAAGACCAAAAAGGCCTAGAGCTTAGATATTTTGCATAAGGCAAATTGTCTGGTAGACCTCTACCCAAATTGTTCAAATTATAGCCCTGGGGTCAAAATCGGCCCCGCCCCGGGGTCATTGGTTTTCCTTATATGTATATAGTAAAAACTTTAGAAAAAAATTCTTCTAGCAATTGACAAATGCTAGAGGTTAGATATTTTGCATGAAACATTGTGAAGTGAACTTCTAGCAAGATTGTTCAAATTATAGCCCTGGGGTGAAAATTGCCCCCGCCCCGGGGGTCATTAATTTTCAATATATACATATAGTAAAAAATAAAAAAATCTTATTGTCTGAAGGTACAAGGCCTAGAGCTTTAATATTTGTTAAATGATATCATCTATAGGTACTCTACCAAAGTTGTTCAAATTTTGCCTCTAGTGTCAAAATTAGCCCCGCCCCGGGGGCCATAGGTTTTCCTTATATGTATATAGTAAAAACTTAAAAAAATCATCTTCTCTAAATTTACAAAGGCTAGAGTTAAGATATTTTTCATGAAACATTATGTAGTGAACCTCTAGCAAGATTATAGCCCTGGGGTCGAAATTTGAACCATGTGCACAGATTAAGATGTAAAGTGAACTTTGATTTCAGCTGACCTAGATTTTTACAAAGTGTCTTACTGTGTTGTCCTTTGATGTAGTCATGAAATTTAGGCTGTGTGAAATATGACCTTCACCACCAAATTCACTAGACTCAAGTGCATTGATATATTCCTACTCTGATCTTTTATTGAGTTAACAACAGATTTAACCACTAATCTGATACTAAGAATTAGATAGGTCAGGGATCTATGCATTATGACAATCTTCAAAATCGTATAGAAACAAAAACAATCTGTTCCTTCACTACTATTTAGTGTTGTATTAATGCGGTGGCATAGCATTTTTCTCAAATGCAATCTTGTTTATGAGTAAATTTTTAACACTTTAAAAGGACACAAAAAATAAAAAAGAAATTTAGAGATTTAGAAATTTAAAAATAATATGATTTCTTGGACATAATGGGCCTTTAAAGTAAAGAGTACCATAATATCTTCGGTTTTTACTATTTTAGTTTCATATAAGACAATTAAGGTGGAATTTCTATGGTTTGCCTTCTACATGTATATATAACAGCACATATGAACTTTATTTTAACTTTATTAATTGTCAATCTGTATGATAAACAAGGACGCATTGTTACTGCTATTATTTTTAGCAGATTTGAAAGTACATAGCTTTGGTTTGATATGAGGTGAATCCTGACTTGTGCCATTTGTGGGCGACAACTAAATGAACTTATGCAACTTGTGTACACCATGATTATCTGGCATGTTGGTACCATCTAATCATAGTCTGCACAGTGTGTTATTATAAGTCTATACATATTTTAAGATTTTCGCTAAAAATGATGAACGGTTTTGTCAAGACTGAAAGACGGACAAATCCATTTACAGTATATTAAAAGCTATTATCATATGAAATATTTTATAAAATAAACCTTAAAAACAGTAAAATTAAGATGTTGTCATAAACTTGTGGTCGTTTCTTAAACAATTTGTAACAAAGAATGTCTGTAATTTATTATTCATGAATATTGTACAGAAACAGAATAAAATTTTTTGGAACATTAATCTCGAAAAATTATTTCCAGTCCGGGCATGTCAAAAAAACCTCAGTGGAGTCCCTTTAAAGTTTAAAGACATTTTCATATGCTATCACAACATGAGGAATTTGCAGTTAGTTTGTTAACTTTGTGAAAATAGTTTTCAGAAAATATAAATTTTTATTATTTAACTTTAATGAATTTGCTGATAGTTTGTTAACTTTGTGAAGATATTTTCAGAAAAAATATAAAAAAATTTTTTATTTAACTTTAAATTATTTTCTGTACTGGGATCCTACATGTTTACCGGACAATCAGTTTACCGGACAAAATCTATTCCTGCCAAATAAGGCTTTAATTTTGCTTTGATTAAAAAATCATATGGTCTGAATTGTACACACACTTTCTATTTCGAAGAAAATAACAACAAAACCACTCTCAGGCAAATATTGTTGATTCAGTTCTTTATTAACTAACATACCCTTTTGTTTACTAGTTATTCCATGACCTGGTCATGCGGGGGAATAATCTGTTCTGTGTCATACGTTTAAGGATCATGAAGAATCAATATGTTAATTGAGTTAAAAGTGTTAATTTCAATTACACCCCTATATTGGCCTCTTCGTAACAAACATGGCTGCCGTGTCTATTTATGTGACATACTGTTTTTTTTCCAGTATCTTAACATTGCCATTCAATAGTCGTAGTTTCCTTGCTTAATTAATTTAAATTTAAGACTTTAAAAAAATTGAAACACAATGTCCGGTAAATTGAGTTGTCTACACAATTTTTTCCGTCTTTTAATGCCCTACTTTAAAGACACATCTCTAGGGTCAAATGTTTAGTTTTATGTTTGATAAAGGAATGTTTGCGTATATTAAGAACCCACAATTAGTTGGGTACAATTTTATTCTTTTTTATTATTTTGATTAGAAGTTAAAGCGAAATAACATCATATTCTGTCCGGTAATATGTAGGATCCCAGTAAGCTTTTTAACTTTGTGAAAATAGTTTTCAGAAAATATTAATATTTATTATCTCCCTTTAAATAATTTTCTGTAAGCTTTTTAACTTTGTGAAAATAGTCTTCAGAAAATAAAAATTTTTTTAATTCTTTTATAACCTCTGTTTAATGAATTTGGATATTAAAGGTTAATTTTGGACATCTAAAGTACAGGGTAACTTATTTTAGCATTGTTTTGGCACTTTTTGTTATTCTTCAACATATTCTACAACTGCTTTTCACGTTGTAGTGAAAACCTAAAGTATGTTTGTACATTATAATAAAGAAAATTATCTCACCATCTTTCTATTACATAAAAGGCTCTCTTATTTTAGCCATTCCGGCACCGAAAAGGAAGCTCATTTGAAAAGGCGCTGGTTGGTAGAATTACAATACGTGACTTATATAGTTATATACTATGCTTTCTGACTCTTGTTTTACATTCTTTTTGTTGTTGAGACACACCCTGTAGGTTTTATTGTATGAAATTCTTTTTGTCACTCTCTCTCCCCTTTTCTTATATCATGTGATGTCATGTTTTTTTTCTATTATTTATATACATAAAGCACTTAACTCTTGGTCCGTTTTGAAACTGGAAGGTATAAGGCTTAAGCCACCAGTTTAGAGCCGAACCAGTCTGCACATCTGTACAGACGGACCAGGTTCGATACTCTTGGCTGACTTATTTTTTCTCAGAATTGATAATGAACAGGTCCGATAATGGAAGCTGGATAGGTTCATTTAAGAAACCTGCCAGCAGCTTAAGAGTTTAGTATTAATGAAATGGGTAAAATCCATAGCTTAATGGAAAAGGATGGTGGCTGATTTGTGCCATTTCGTCTTTTTGCCCTGCAACCCGCCAAGGAAAAGTCAAGAATTAACAAGTGCAAATGGTGGGGGCGCAGAGCAAAAACATGCTAATTAGCAGGGGCATGGGGCAAAAAGTCAAGATTTAATTGTAAAATGAAGGGGCTGCGAAGCAAAATATTCATTGTTAAAAGGTGCTAATTATTGTGCTGTTGTTCACATCCCCTCCAAATTACCGGTATTCCAAATTATTCTTAAAAAGCTTGACTTTTCGCTCCGCGCATTAGAGTGTTTACACTCTATGCCCCCGTCATTTTAGTAGTTAAAATCTTGACTTTTCACCCAGCACTTGAATAGGGAAGTAAGCTGACCAACTGACATTTCTTTTTATCATAGAATTGTCCAGCTTCAATTTTTGGAACTATTTAGTATTTTTTTGGGGATAACAAGATGAAAATCATTGTCATTGATGGAAAATTTTGTATCGATATATTGAGAGACAAATATCGACGATACATTGATATATCGACTTTGACAGTAGATACAATGAACAACATTAATATATGTGTTATGAATTGGGATCATGGCATTATGCATGCTTGTATTACACATTACAAATACTACAAACTAACAGAACGTCACTGACATTTGAAAACGGAGTTAACCAAGAAAACTAGAAAAAAGTGACTTCTCTTATAAGCCAAAATAAAGAGGTATATTAACTAACAGAAATAAAAATTTTTTTTAGCTTGTTGTATCGATATGTGAAAGTGTGTATTGATATTGAATCGGATGATGAATATGGATGATATATCAATATCACGCTAAATCAATGACAGTCCTAACTGCATGGTGTGCAGGATATCCTGGGTGGTCACTTTGGTTCCAGCAGATCAAGGGATGAATTACAAGTTATCAAGTTTTTTCTAGATATTGTGTTTCTTCTTAAATTACAAGTTATCAAGTTTTATCTAAAATTTGTGTTACTTCTTCATAAACATCGTATTTCTAAAGCATGCAACTTTATTTAGAATTGTTTTTATTGACTATAAGTAGTATTCCCAAATTTTCTTATTAAACCCTTAGACAAAAATGTCCTTACTTCCTGTAGATATTGTTTTTATGATTGCCTAAATTTAGTGATTTTTTTGTGCCCACACTTTAGTGGTGGGCATTTAGATTTACCCTCGTCCGTCTGTCCATCCATCCGTCTGTCCTTCCGTCCGTCTGTTCTCTTTTGTGTCGCATGTAACTCAAAAAGTATTTGACCTAGAGTCATGAAACTTTACAGGAATGTATATCAGCATGTGTAGTTGTGCACCTAGGTATTTTCGTCTGGATTTATTTAGTATTTTTAGAGTTATTGCCCTTGACTTAATAAAATTTTGCAAATTTTAACTTGTGTCGCATGTAACTTAAAAAGGATTTGACCTAGAGTCATGAAACTTTACAGGAATGTTGATCAGCATGTGTAGTTGTGCATCTGGGTATTTTTGTCTGGATACTTTAAGTATTTTTAGAGTTATTGCCCTTGACTTAGTAAAATTTTGCAATTTTCAACTTGTGTCGCATGTAACTCAAAAAGTATTTGACCTAGAGTCATGGAACTTTACAGGAATGTTGATCAGCATGTGTAGTTGTGCACCTGGGTATTTTCGTCTGGATATTTTTAGTATTTTTAGAGTTATTGACCTTGACTTAGAAAATCTTTGCAATTTTCAACTTGTGTCGCATGAAACTCAAAAAGGATTTGACCTAGAGTCATTAAACCTTTCGGGAAGGTTGCTCAGTATATTTAGTTTTGCACCTGGGGTTTTGCTTGTGGATTTATCCAGTATTTGTAGAGTTATTTCCCTTGACTTAGTAAAAACCATTCTATTATGTTATTCCCTGCGGTCTGGAGACCGCAGGGTATTGGTACGCGTTTAACTTTTGAGGCATGGAGGAGCACGTGACCTGTTTTCGGTACATGGAGGAGCATGTGATCTGTAAACCGTACATGGTTAATTGACCTTTTCGGAAACCTGGATAAATACCGTTTGCCGGTACGTTACGGATAATCCTCAAGGGAATAAGACACCTAATTAAGAACAAAAAACTATTACGCGATATTTTTAATTTTCTATAATTATGTTACTGTTTAAGGTGGAAAAACTTGAATGATGTGTTTGAAAATTATCAATGTTTCTTTAATATGTATCTCAAAATGTTACAAACAATAAATTGTTTATACTGAAAATCTACAAAATTAAAATATTCGTAGTGGCATCTGCCATAATAAATACTTGTGTGTTTACTTTATTACTTTTTTTTTGCTCGGAATTATTCATTAAATGGTAGGCCTATTTAATTATTTTCTTAAAAAAGAAATAATTGTTTTATGTTCGACCTTCTCCGGTCATCAACGGTCACCAGTTTCCAAAGACCTTCTTCTATATTAATCGATTACTGTCAACTATATTCGTGATACAAACGTTTATTTATCCTTGCCCCACCCCCCCATTGAAAATAGTTAAATGAAATATATTTATATCATTAAAAACGTTCCCCGCAAGAAACCATTTTACTTGTTATTTATTCTTGAGTGCTTGAGTTAGAATCAACCAACTTTACAGGAATAATGATCAACATCACTAAATTACAGGAATGATGATTCACATCACTGTGAAGCTATGCACCTGGGACTTTGCATGTGGATTTTTTTCAGTTTTGTTAGAGTTATTGACTTATAGTAGTATAAATTTGCAATTTTCAACATGTTCATGCATAGCTCAAAAAAGTATTTCACTTGTAGGCCTGACAGTTTACAAGAATGTTGGTCAGCATGTGTACTTATGCACCTTGGGGTTTGCTTGTGGATTTATTCAGTATTTGTAAAATTCTTGTCCTTTACTTAGTAAAAGATTTTTAGTTTTCAAAAAATATTTGACCTAGAGTCATAAGATTGACAGAACAGTGGCGCGGTGGGGGCACCCGTGTCCTATGGACACATTTCTAGTTTCCTTTTGTTTTGGGTATTTTTGCATATACTTTTGCCACTTTTCTAACTGTTAAAATTATATGGCATGACTGTGCATAAATTTTGACATGGGGTCAAATGCATTTAACAAGTATTACAAGCATTAACACATGGTAAACATTAGCATTAAGTGGCAGCATGGCCGAGTGGTTAAAACGTCTGCCTAGTAATCTAATGATTGCTAGCCGCATAGGTCCAAACACTGTCAGGGGCAAGCCCTTGTTTCTTTGAGCAAGATACTTTACACTCGTTGCTTAGTACTGGTTGGTTTCAGGAACAGATTCGAAAGTGTGTCTGTAAACTTAAATCGGACTTTAAAATAAATTCTGTATAAACCAAACAATGGCATTACATTATTTTGGGTTTTCTCTTCTGTTCTCAACCAGTTTCTGAAGAAAAAGACCCTTAATGTCACCCCAGGCCATTATATTTCCAAATAACAGTCTGGTTGCTATAATCATGCTATAACTTTTACTTATAAGGGATTCAATACGAAAATATTCATTTTTACTGTAAACTGTTCTTATTTTTGGTAGATATATGTGATAAATAGAATACTATATTTGTTCAGTACTAAAATTACTGAAAGTAAAATAAAAAAAATTTGTGTTTGCCTGAGCCTCGCATATTATTAGTATAATCAACTAGTTCAATCAATTCAGTGTTGGACTTGCACTATATTCTGTATTTATTATTTTAAATGAACAATCTGTAGCATAGATATTGTTATTAGCTATTGTATGATTTTTACATACTCTGTTGTTGTTGTTTTTTTGTGTGTTTTTTTTTTAAATATTTAGCCTATATATATGTTCACATAAAAATATCCTTGAAATTGATTCTTTATTTTTGCGTTGGTTTAAAAGATTGTACATTTTGTTTTACTGAGTTGGCTTACTAAGCAGGTTGTTTTTGCTCTCTTAAGAGCATTTTCAATCAAAATCTGCCATTTTTACTGGTATGAAATAAACTCTTTATTTATATGAAAGTCTATGTTTATTACATACTTATAGATATATAATACTGAGAATTATTGCTGAAATTAAATGTGAATTTTAATTTTACGTATTTTCACATTAGAAATTTATTTTTCAGTACAGAGAAACAATTATTTTCCGTATTTTTTCTGGTGTCAATCTTGCGGGACTACTTTTTTCTTTATTTAGCCTATACACAATATTAAATACACAATATTAAAGGACAAGTCTTAAGAATTTTAATATCAAAAAAGAGACATTTAGTATACATGTATAATAAACATAAAAATTCAAGTCTTTTCTGGAAAATTTTCGTATTTCACTGGTAGCTACCGTCACTTATGAAATATCAGTTTTCATACTATTCAATGAAAATAAATCCTGTATTTTATAGATAAAAAATACTTAATTGACTATCCTCTATATATATTTGTTGATATTGAAGGACCTCACCTTTTCAGAATTTACCAATACATACTAATATTATGATAATTGTGGAAATTAAACAAAATAGGGAATGGGATCATGGAAATGAATCAAATTTCTTTCTTTCTTTTTTTTCAGGTGGAAGGTACAGGAAAACAAAGCATTTATAAATTTATCAAAGTACTGGAAGGACTACGAGAATGGGAGATTTGTTGCCCGGATATAACAGCGGCTGTTGAATTTTGCCGTGAACGTATCGTTGAAATGACAGTGGACGAGTATGAGTCATGGTTTACTCAAAGGTTTCCGAAAGTAACGCGGCCCCAGACGGCTCCACCCGCTACAAAATCCGAGAAAAAAGACACGAGGCTCGGATCTGGGCTATCGTCGGCTCGTAAAGTGGTTGTTAAGCGGCCTACCCAGTCAGCATTTACTAGAAGGGTTCAGCATTAAGATTTAATAATATAAGTTTTATACGTAAATGTTTATTTTTTTGTTACATAATGCAAGAAATCAAAATAAGTATATATTTTTCTAAATACTGTCAAATTTGTAAGCTTTGAACTTTTAAAGTTACAATAATCCAAAATGTTTATTTGCTTCTCCTTCTCCTTTCTTACAAAAAAACCTATTTTACTTAGGAACTAACTTTTTTTTTTCACTCGCAAATTTTGTTTTAAGAATTTGCATCAGTATATATCCATAGTGTATATATATTTATATACCAATAATATATAAAGTACGGTATGAGTGAAAAATACTTTTACTTGAGGGTATGAATTATTATCAAAAAATTATATACATGTAGTTGTTACATAATTATTATGGTAAAACAAAGAATTAAAGAATAAAAGAATAACATGTTTGTACAAGGTGCAGTGATGTTTATCATTATGAATGTGATAATTAATGTGAGGAAGAGTAAATGGAACCGTACCGGGAAAAAAAGTTATGAAAATAGAGAAGTAACATGAGCTCGATTTTTTTTTTTAAATGCATAAAAATGTTTTATTCAATTTACCTTGGTCTTTATGTTAACTTGATGCAAATAATCATGTGATTTTAGGTTTATTTGTCTGTTTTTTTTTGTTTGTTTTTTTTTAAAGGCACATTATAGGTATGAATGTAGAATGTATTTTACATTTTTTAAACGCCTTTTATAATTTTGGTTGCCCTGTTATAGTTTCTATAACAGATCTCATTGGCTCTAGATCTATGTCAGCTTTTGCTTTCTTTTCTGTTTGGCAACTAAGTAGAGTTGAAGTGAAATAGAATTTTGAATGAATTTCAAAAAACTACTTTGTTTATATTTGCAATATTGATGACAAATTATTTAACTTGCAGCACTGCTCTCTCTCTTCAGGTGATAAATTGCAAACATGCTTTAAATCCATTCTTACAATATTACAAAACAAAATTCCCCCTTTTTCAGTAAACAATAAATCTATTCATTTCTGAACAATAATGTGCCTTTAATTAATATTTATGCTTCAGAATGTAACTTTAAATGTGACTTTGATAAACATGTGATACACATGAACTGTATATTCTGAATACATAACGGTAGTGCATGATGAATCATTTTTTGTTCAATTTATTACAAACTAGAGAAATTCCTAAGGACTTACTTTGACCAAAATCAAATATCAAAATTGTTTCAATTAGATCTATGTTTGTATTTTCTTATGTCTGTTTTTTGTTTGTTGTTTGTTTGTTTTTCACTGATTGAACACGATTGTGTGTTGATTTTGATATGAGATATTATTGTTGCTGCTGTTGTTGTTGTTGCATTTCTATTACCATGGTAACTGTGATATTGATGAGATGTTAGTGCTACATGTACAAAGAAATGAAATTCTGAGGGTTTTTTGTTTTTGTTTTTTTAATTATCTTAATTACATTTGATAAGGTTAAAACCCTAGGGTTTGTTCCAGGAAACTTCTATTTTGCATTAAGTACATGATGATTGACTTAATTTGGGGGACACATGACACATTTTGGGCAATATTGGAACAAGCAACAAGGTCATATATCACACATTTACTTTGACCTTTGACCTTGATATGTTCATATGTGTTTTTGTTGTGTTTTTATTGATAAATTAATTATTGTGATGGTATGTCTAATTTGTTGCTGTTTTGTTTTTGTTGTTGTTCTTTTTATTTAAATGATTATTATTTCTTTAATTTATGTTAAAGGGAATGTGGCTTTGTTGTTTCTGTCTGGAAGACTGTAAATGGAAGAATAATATAGAGTTTCAGTGCCTTGTACAATATAGGTTTACAACCACATGCTGGTCCAGTAGAATTCAGTATTGTACTCAAAAAAATATAATGACCATCAGTTTTTTAACATTCTGACAAAACTTTGTTTATATTGGAAAAAAACAACAACAACAAAACATAATTTGAGCCACGTCATGACAAAACCAACATAATGGGTTTGCGATCAGCATGGATCCAGTCCAGCCTGCACATCCGCGCAGTCTGATCAGGATCCATGCTGTGCGCTTACAAACTTTATTGCAAGTAGAGAAACTGATAGCTAACAGCATGGATCCTGATCAGACTGTGCGGATGCTGGTCGCAAACCCATTATGTTGGTTTTGTCATGACGCGGCTCATTTTGTGTTCCAGACAACATCCATCTACAGTTATTAGGTGCTTGATTATAAACAATTCTATAAAAGGTTCCAAAATAATATGTAAGAGTAATAGTGATTTGAGAAAAAGTAATTTTGAGTACAATATGAATTTGATATGGATTTTTGGACTCATATAAACCAGGCTGAATGGATCAGATTAAATCCAATTATAATTCATTTTGGAAGATTACATATTGCAGAAACTGGAATTCATTTGTTACATTTTATAAGAAGTGAAAAAATATTGAGTACATGTATATATCATGCAAAGATTTATACAAAAAAAAATTAATATCTAAATTGAAAAGATGATGTTTGTAAATTGAAGGCTTAGTGCCAAATGGTTGTAACTCATACAACATAAAGGAGTTACAACTGTTCTGCACAAAGTTTTTTTTTAAATGTGTGAAATCACTATTAAATGCCGGTATAGTATTATAGATGTAGTATTTTGTAAGTAAATGTTTTGTTCTATAATCTATAAATGTTTGTTAAATTTAAGAGATATACATGTACTTTGTAAATGAAAATAACAAGATTAACAGTTTATGAAGTTTTTGTTGCATATTTAGCAATTTTTATTGCTTTATGCCTTTTATAGGTCTCAGGTATGGTTTGTTATGTTTAAGGTTAAAGGTATTTTCAGCCTTTTTGCAGAGAATCAAAACTTATAAATGTTATAATTATCCTCTTGTTTTACATAAATTATATTTCTTTTGTAATGTTTTGAAGATTTTTTCTTGAATATTGAAAAAACAAAAATAATTTGTTTCAAAATGGTAATTGGTAAGTGATTAAGAATTCACTTTTCTGTACCGAATTTTGGTTTTGATTTTTATAAAATGCCAAAGAAAAATTCTCATGGATTTGTATGTTATATTTATAGTAAAGAAAAAAGATTTAATGGTACAAACGTTTTTAATTTCAACAAGACTTGAACATTTTTAGAATATCAAACTATTTTATAATTTGCAGTTTCATGAATATTCAATCAAAATTTCCTATGTGAAAACTGAACAATATTATGACAGAAACATTAATATTTTAAAGAGGAAAAAATATGTGTCAGTGAGCTTGTTTTTGAGTTATCTGCCCTTGAATTTGAAAACGTTGCTGTGGAACTGCTCCATATTGATGACTGATTACTGTAAAGTATAGTTTTGTATCTATATAAAACGTATACTGAAATCAATAGCCACCAAAAAATTTAAAAAAAACAACAAGAAAACAGGGAAAAGTCACACATTTAGAAGTATATACTAATATATAAGCATTATTTGTTAAAAACTAGACTGTTATATCTTCTAAACTTTCTAGAATGTTATCTAGTGACATTACTGCAAATTTCATAATGCCAGTACATGCAGCAGTATTAACTTTTGTGGAAATTATATATGTGTTGTGAAAAGAAAATGGGAATTAAATCTGCATGCCTCCAGGTGAGCCAAAATGTTTCAAGAAAATCAAACTTGAGAAAAATTTACATTGCTTTAAAGAAAAGTAAAAAAAAGATTCAAAATTCTTGTAATGATTTATATGTTATATGTGATTATTAACTTATTTTGTAGTATTTTGTAGTCTACTGAGTTACTAATGCAGTAAGACCTCTTTTTGGTAATTTACGTGGATTGTAAATGCCTTTTGCGATGTGAAAATTACTTTCTTTGTGACCGCCTCCATGGTCAAGGGGTTAGAGTCGATGACTTCTAATCCAATTACCTCTCCAGTGGGTTCGATCTGCGGGAGATGCTTTGGTAGTTTAGCGCGGAAGGAAGGTTGTCTAGTACTGCTGTAACTCTCCAGGAACGATGGTTAGGAAACTACCCGCCTATATGACTGAAATACTGTTGGGAAAAGGCGTGAAATGAAACAAACAATCAAGTCACAATATTTTACTTTTAAAAACATTTGAAATTTTTATGAAAATAGGCATGAATCTGGAGGCATGCTGCTTTAATATATGATCTACCTACTACATGTACATATACATTGAGTGCTATTAGTTAAACTTATGTAAATTATTGTACATTTCTTAGTCTTAGATTATATGTTTTAAAGATACTTATTACATAGAATATTTAAAATAAATGTATCTATACATGGTACCAATTGTTTATACATGTACATGTATATTTAATGTATATTATAAATTATAAAAGATATATAATAAATATATAAATTTGATGAAGTATTTACATTAAAATTTATTTATGATACAAAATGTATTTTCTACCGTGCCTTATTAAAGGTGATCAAACAGTTAAGTTGTTTGTTATTATTTCTCATGGGGCAATCTGATTTAACTCGGCTCCTAAATAACACTACACTTAGGATCTGACATCCACCCAGAGGCAGTCAGTGAGTCACCTTCTCGTGGTCTTTCAAAGACCAATCATTGGCAAGCTTTCATTATTTTGAAAGCGATGCGGTTTCTAATTTTAACCCTTGGAAAACCAATACTGAGTAAGTAATTTTCACGATTTCGTTTCGAGAACAACATTGCGTTGCCCATATAGTCGACAGGCAAACTGGCAAAACACTTTTACCCATGAAAAAATGACTACCATTTCAAGTTAATTTGTTAAAAATTACTTCAAACATTTTTAAACAAAAATCAACAATTTTTAACTTCCGCTGAAAACAGTATTTTGATACTTCTAAGGCCTCTCTGTAAAAAAAACTGTTTGATTGCATGGTTAAAAATTGATTTATCGGGAAATCCGAATTATAAAGAAGGTGAAACATATACGGTGGTCATCAGATCTACATTGAAGAAATAAGTAGATCCTAACTTGGGTCAGATTGTCAAATGGGGCATCCGTGGATGAGTGGTTGAAGTCATTGACTTCCAACCACTTGCCCTCACCGCAGTGGATTCGAACCTTGCAAGGGCCTTTGTTTCTTTCGTGTGAGGAAGCTAGCTAGATTATGGAACATCAATGGTCCTACTCCGGTGCCAGTTTGTGCCTTAAATAATGCACAGAGGGGCACCTGAGGTTTTTCTCCACCAGTAAAGCTAGAAAGTTGCCATATAACCCTTACTGTGTTGGTGCAATGTAAACCCCAACTAAACTAAACTTTATTAAATAACTGGTTTATATAAATATTGAAATTTATAATGGTACGCAACTTTCCTATTATTTACTTGGCCAAGGATTAAATGAAACATATTACCAATGCTAGTTAAAAATAGCCTAGTTTCAAATAAGGTAAGCTTTGTTTAAAGTATTACATGTACTAAACATTACAATATACCCAATGTTTTAATTAAGGTACACCCTTACTGTATGCCTCAGTTACTATATATATATATATAAGCATACCTATGCTTTATCTTCCAATTCACTGCTACCCATGATTAATGTTCCATTTCAGTGCATACCCATAATTAATGTTCCTATTCACTGCTTGCCCATAATTAATGTCCAAATTCACTGCATACCCATTGTTCCAGTTTACTACAAACCAATCCTCAATATTTCAGTTGACCGATACACACGATAATGTTGCATATCACTTCATACCGATGAATGATGTTCCAATTGACTGCATACACATGCTTCATGTTTCAATTTACTGCTACCCGTCCGTAATGTTTCATTTCACTGCATACACATCTTTAATGTTCAAATTTACTGCTTACATATGCTTTATGTTCCAATTCACTTTATACCCATCTTCATTGTTTCAGTTCACTGTATACCCATCTTCATTGTTCCAATTCACTGTATACCCATCTTCATTGTTCCAGTTCACTGTATACCCATCTTCATTGTTCCAATTCACTGTGTATATATACCCAACTTCATTGTTCCAGTTCACTGTATACCCATCTTCATTGTTCCAGTTCACTGTATACCCATCTTCATTGTTCCAATTCACTGTATATATTCCCAACTTCAAAGTTCCAATTCACTGTATACCCATCTTTATTGTTCCAATTCACTGTATACCCATCTTTATTGTTCCAATTCACTGTATACCCATCGATCTTCATTGTTCCAATTCACTGTATACCCATCTTTATTGTTCCAGTTCACTGTATACCCATCTTCATTGTTCCAATTCACTGTATACCCAACTTCAAAGTTCCAATTCACTGTATACCCATCTTCATTGTTCCAATTCACTGTGTATATATACCCAACTTCATTGTTCCAGTTCACTGTATACCCATCTTCATTGTTCCAGTTCACTGTATACCGATCTTCATTGTTCCAATTCACTGTGTATATATACCCAACTTCATTGTTCCAGTTCACTGTATACCCATCTTCATTGTTCCAGTTCACTGTATACCCATCTTCATTGTTCCAATTCACTGTATATATACCCATCTTCAAAGTTCCAATTCACTGTATACCCATCTTCATTGTTCCAATTCACTGTATTCCCATCTTCAATGTTCCAGTTTACTGTATTCCCATCTTCAATGTTCCAGTTTACTGTTTACCCATCTGCATTGTTCCAATTCACTGTATACCCAACTTCAAAGTTCCCAATTCACTGTATACCCATCTTCATTGTTCCAATTCACTGTATATATACCCAACTTCATTGTTCCAATTCACTGTATACCAGATCTTCGTTGTTCCAATTCACTGTATGCCCATCTTCATTGTTCCAATTCACTGTATATATACCCAACTTCATTGGTCCAATTCACTGTATATATACCCATCTTCATTGTTCCAATTCACTGTATATTTACCCATCTTCAAAGTTCCAATTCACTGTTTACCCATCTGCAATGTTCCCATTCACTGTAATCCCATCTTTGCGTTCTTGAAATCGGCCTTCGTGAGTATATCCATGTGCAGTTAAACTCGAACAGTGCATTTTTCTACAACCATGCACTCAAAATTGATGTCTATTCCCGAAATAATTTATAAACGTAAGTTATTTCTAGTCTAAGCTATATAGTTAAAATATATCCAAAATTTATGGAACAAAACTTTATTCTGGCATTTTTCATTACAATACCTTTATTTCAATATGTTTCACGTGAATCTTTATAACGAATTTATAATACAGCAAACTTCCTGTTTTTTAGAACTGAGGTGATATTTCTTCCTGAATTGACAGCAGCCATGTGCATAAAACGTCACAATTGTCCAATGAAAAGCGACGTTACAAACGTGCAGTTTTACAAGGCTGTCTATTTACGTGAGACAAGGCACTCAATCGTATACAACTAACACAACAACAACAAATTAGCAAGAGAGCAACCCTTTACGTGCAGCAAAGAAATTGAAATGACAACTTAGAAACATACAATGATAACAGCATATATCTCACTCTGCATTTTAACATGTAAAACAGATACATTTACAATTAAAACAGACACACTTTTCTTAAAGAAATACGAGAAATGTACAAATCAGTACTAAAAACTTTTTACACAGTCGAAATAAAATCGATAAAATACGCCTTGTTCACATTTTATATACATATTTTAGCATTCGGACCCTCAAAACTAACTGATACTTTACGCTGTCTATCGTACGAATATCATTTAATTTGGTATAACCTTAAAAGGGACAGATTTTAAAGTTCCAGTTAGTTCATTTATCTAAAATTTGACAATCTGCCTGCCCATACGGGTATTTTTATTCCATTTTGATTAATCTATATAAGTTAAATATGGAACAAGAGCCATGTCAACATGGCCATCCCCCGCCGAATGTGTTTGCTCATTGGAAGAATGTATATGTAGTGGAGCAGAATAATTTCATTTTAAGAGGTATTTTGGTAATGAAAACTGATGGCTATAGTGATTACAGATTTGAACCTATGTGAATACTGATGGCTGAAAATAACAAAGGGCAATAACTGAAAAATAATGCAGGGTAGGTTATCATTCTTGTGTGCTGCATCCATCCTCAGTAAAATCTATCCACCTATGATCGAAGTTTCAAGTTGATACCTCAAATACTTTTTGAGAAAAAAAAAATTGAATTGAAAAATTAAGTATGAAAAATAACAAAGGGCAATAACTAAACAATTATGCAGGGTAGAGTTATCGTTCTTGTGCACTGCACTCCTCCTCAATGAGATCCATCCAGCTATGAAGTTTCAAGTTGATACCTCAAATACTTTTGAGAAAAGCTCCGGACAAAATAGTATGAAAAAAAAAACAAAGGGCAATAACTCAAAAATTGTATCGGGAAGAGTTATCATTTTTGTGCACAGCATTCCTCCTCAATAAGATCTATCCACCTATGACATTTCATGTTGACATCTCAAACACTTTGAGTTATGCTCCACTCGGGTGAAAAAATAGGTATGAAAAATAACAAAGGGCAATAACTCAAAAAATATGAAAGGTAGAGTTATCATTCTTCTGCACTGCACACCTCCTGAGTGAGATCTATGCTCCTATGAAGTTTCATGTTGATATCTCATAGGCTTTTTGAGTTATGCTCTGGACAAAAATTAATTTTGAAAAATAACAAAGGGCAAAACTCAAAAATTATGCAGGGTAGAGTTATCGTTCTTGTGCACTGCACTCCTCCTCAATGAGATCCATCCAGCTATGAAGTTTCAAGTTGATACCTCAAATACTTTTTGAGATAAGCTCCGGACAAAATAGCATAAAAAAGAACAAAGGGCAATAACTCAAATGTTGTATAGGGAAGAGTTATCATTCTTGTGCACAGCATTCCTCCTCAGTAAGGACACAAGGGCGAATCACGGACGGCGCTTTATTATAAATTATGTAATAAAAAACATGCTTCATGCTATGTTCAGATATCAAGAAAAAAGATGCAGTGTGTTTTGTTCATTTAAAGGGAAACGTGATTTATGTTTCGTTCAGACATGGTTTATGATTTTCTGATGTCAAATGAGCGTACATAAACAACATAAACCAGGTTTTGTTTGGGACAATATAAAATAGATATACCGGTATTGACTAAATACAACTCTCCGATGTTAGTTATTTCATGTCTCTAATATAATTATGATAAACTCATAATGGATGAAACAAAACTTTATTCTGGCATTTTTATTACAATACCTATATTACAATATGTTTCAAGTGAATCTTTATAACAAATTTATAATACAGCAAACATTTTTAAAAAAAAAGTTGAAATAAAATCGATAAAATACGCCTTGTTCACATTTTATATACATATTTTAGCATTCAGACCCTCAAAATTAACTGATACTTTACGCTGTCTATCGTACGAATATCATTTAATTTGGTATAACCTTAAAAGGGAGAGATTTTATAGTTCAAGTTAGTTCATTTGTCTACAATTTGACAATCTGCCTGCCCATACAGATATTTTCATTCCATATTGATTAATTTATACAAGTTAAATATGGAAATAAAGATCACTAAGGAATGGCGCCATTAAATGAACGCATACCCCTACAAACGCAAGCGACAAAGGACCATCGACAAGGAGCCCAGCAGTGCACCAAACAAAAACCAGGAGAGGACACGAAGGCGAATCACGGACCGGTTTGTATTATAACCATACAATAAAGAAAACCATAGAAATCGAGAAAGATATAGAAGAAGGCAAATTATTCAAGCAACGATTTTACAGTTGTTATGGTTACAAAAAGTTAAAAATAATCATGTATAACCCAATGACGATAACCAAAGTACTCAATGCATAAAAGGAGGAGCAAGAATTTCGCCTACAAAGGCTCGACAAAGAAAGGCAGAAGACAGAAATTAAGACAGTTCAGTTTCATTTTGTTTGAAGAGCTTGCTGTCCAAGCCTTAACAATTTGGCTAACACATATATACATGTATTTCCAACAATAATAGGTTTAATAATAATTATAGACACAATATACACGTAAATAATTGCTCTTTTTTGTAGAGAAAGTGAAGGAGTTTTAAAGGATAGTGCAGAAAGAAAGATACAGAGAAATGCCCTAATTCCAGAAGCTTCTCCTGGTTCTTCAAATTGATATTAATTAATATGTATATTGTGACGATATAACTATTTGATAAGATTAACTCAGTGTAAACATAACTGATAAATGGATATGCCCAAATAAAATAAATCAATAACATGCGGTTTGAAATACCAATAAAATGACAATTAATGTTTGTCATTTCTTTTCCTTTTCTTTTATTCTTTATTTCCAATTATTTTACAATAAAAATGATATATCAATGAAAATACACAGTAACATTTGTAAATGAATATCACATATATTTAATGATTTACATTTGATATATGAAGTACAAAGCCGGAGAAGATTCCCCGAATAAATTTTGTATATATTCTACAGAAAACTGCATTTATATATTTGACAAATCACAAATACTGTTAAAGGGACCATTAAAAGATGAAATAAAAAAGCTTGTTTATGTAACTGTATTAAGTGTGGAATTTCAAAAGTTTCTATAATAAATAAGATTTTTAGTATTAGTATAACGTAATGATATTTGGGCTGCTAATGAATTTTCCTTCAACACCTTTTCTTCTTAAACCATTTAAACTACAATATAGAAGTATGTAATGCTATTCATCACCGATATTACACAATATACATATTGTTTTCATTGTATTGGACTTTCCTCCAACTATCGGATGTCTCGGTGCTTTTTTGTTCTAAATTTTTCAATGCATATTGTATTTATAAGGTGCATGTATTTCGGATTTGCACATAAATATTAAATATTCTTCAAAACCGAAACTATGTTTTAAAAGTCAACACAATACATTCTACAGCCGAACTTGTTTTCTATAAAAGAATACAACTCATTTATAAACAAAGCGTCCCAAATTTCAAATTTTGTTGTTTTTTTAACAGATGCAACATTGTAAATACGACAGACGATAAATTATTATGTGATGTTATGCAACATTGTAAATACGACAGACGATAAATTATTATGTGATGTTTTTGTATCAATTTTGTAATGAAATAATATTTCATTTTTTTACAGTTTTACCTTTTCCATAGACATTTTCAGATTTAACCTGTAATTCATTCAGCATCAAACATCATACCAGAATACTTGATTCGTTTTTGTAGTAGGCTCTACCCCGTACATTTGATCATCCGGCCGCTTACGCATTACATCACTCATATTCATTAAGAATTGCCCTTCCTGATCGGTACGTAACTGGTTAAACGTCATTGCTACTTGCAAATCGCCATGTTGATTTGTGGATGAAATAACACCCGCGGTGGAATAGCTCGAACTTTGGTAATAAGGCGAATACGTAGGATTAGATACGGAATATCCATTTGTTGGATCATGACATTCATTTATTGTGCGTTCATTTTCACTTTTTATCATATGCTCGCCAGACACAAAGCTATCATCGGATGAGTATATGCTTGGAAATAATACATTGTCTTCCAAGAAAAGTGTTTCGTTGTGTTGGCAACCTGGCATATTTCTGTTCGATGTCACATTTCTGAATAAAAAATGGAAGATATGGTAGGTATGTTTACTTGACTGAAAACATAAATATTTGTTTGTTTGTTTGTGTCATTTTACGCCTTTTTCCAACAGTATTTCAGTCATATAGGCGGGTAGTTTCCTAACCATCGTTCCTGGAGAGTTACACCAGTACTTGACTACCTTCCTCCGCGCTAAACTACCAAAGCATCTCCCGGGGATCGAACCCACGCCAGAGAGGTAACTGGGTTAGAAGTCATCGACTCTAACCACTCGACCACGGAGGCGGTAAAACATACATAATGTTGCTACGATATTTCATAGAAATAGAGAGTAATAAAGAATCCCGAAAGAACGCACAAAACGACAAAATTGAAAATGTTGCCGGCTCGGTTTGATTGAGCCACCCATACAGTCTATGCCCCCTAGCACCGGCTTAAGCAGTATTCATCATTTTACATGAAATGGAAAAAAAATGGAATTTAGAAAAATCCGCAAAATTGAGAACCGATCGTTTTTTTCTGCTGTAAATAAGGTTTTCTTTACAAAGACTTGCTAGAAATTACGAAAGTCACCCTTGCCTCAAAACAAAACGATAGCTTGTTTTTTTTTATTCTAATGTTCCAGTTACAACCATATTAAGTGAATTTTTGTCTGGTTCCCAGTTCATGCCATTTATTAAAAACCTCCTTATCTTTCAATGAATCAATGTATTTAATACATACCCGTGTTTTGAATCCCGAAAACCTGTAGCAAACGGATTATTATCAATCTTCAACTGTGTAATCTGAAAAAAGTAATACAAATTAAATGCTTTATGCAATTAAAGAAAAATATGCAATAACAACAACAACAACAACAACAAACAAACAAAACAATCACAAAAACACACACACAAACACAACTGCAAACAAAAGCGCAAAAGGACAAGCACTTGAGAACAGTATGTTTTTTAGTTTTTTATTCATACCGGAAGACTTTTTTTTTTTTTTTTTTTTTTTTTTTTGATGGCTCACTAAAATGGTCGTTTTACGATATTATTATTGTTTCACGGAATGTCTTAATGTATATGTATTTGCACTAATATTTTAAATTTGTATTGTTTGCTTTTGCTATACTTCCCATGTTTACTTTTTAATTGTCCAATAACATTTGTTTTCTTTAATAAGCTGGTCAACTTGAAACGTAAATGTAAAAGCTAAAGAATGGAACAAACAATGGAACAAAAAAAATGGTACAAAAAAATGGTACAAACACTTACCTCCACATTCTGATAGCTTGTTACGGCCATGAATTGGGTCTCCTGAAACACTTTTGTCTGTAATGTGTCCGGACCCCCAGCTCTATTCTGACCTACTTCAATCACATGAACCCGGGGCTGATATTTATGCATTGAATTCAGGTATATCTGTAAAAATAAAACAAAAGGCATGAATACCCTAGAATACTGGAAATGTTATATATGGACAGCTAGTGTTTGCTGTGTAGAAAATATTCTTGATTGTAGAACATATGGTGTTTTTATATCACTTTAATAAGAGAAAACTATAAGAGGCTGTTTCCTGTGTGCGGTTTCTCATTTCTGTATAGCATTTAGGGATCCTAAGCCCTGCGCAGTTTGCGCATGCGCGTAAAAATAGCACTTATTACTTGTTTCACAAAGGATTTATAAGCAAGATATTACTAGCACTACTTAGAAGAGATAGAAGGAAAAAAACCTACTTGTCCGCTAACATCTCTCGCAATGTTTGTGAGTTTTAGTTTGTTAAAAACCACGTTTTCTTTCATCCAGAAAGCTCCGTTACTAGGCGAGTCCGGATGTAAATAAATTCCTCCCGCTGAAAAAGAAGATTTATTATTATTATTATTATTATTATTATTATTATTATCATTAAAACTGTTATTGATGTTATAATCATTACTTCCTCCTCTTCTATGACAAACAAAGTCTTTCTTAATGTGCAAACTAAATAAAGAACATCATGCAAAAAATGAGGATTATCTACAACGCAGAGGAGGTTTATGTCTGAAACTAAAGTAATAAGCCCTTGCCACATGTCTGAAACTAAAGTAATAAGCCGTTGCCACATGTCTGAAACTAAAGTAATAAGCCTTTGCCACATGTCTGAAGCTAAAGTAATAAGCCTTTGCCACATGTCTGAAACTAAAGTAATAAGCCTTTGCCACATGTCTGAAGCTAAAGTAATAAGCCTTTGCCACATGTCTGAAACTGAAGTAATAAGCCTTTGCCACATGTCTGAAACTAAAGTAATAAGCCTTTGCCACATGTCTGAAACTGAAGTAATAAGCCTTTGCCACATGTCTGAAACTAAAGTAATAAGCCTTTGCCACATGTCTGAAGCTAAAGTAATAAGCCTTTGCCACATGTCTGAAACTAAAGTAATAAGCCTTTGCCACATGTCTGAAGCTAAAGTAATAAGCCTTTGCCACATGTCTGAAACTAAAGTAATAAGCCTTTGCCACATGTCTGAAACTAAAGTAATAAGCCTATGCCACCTCTCAGTCCGCGCAGTATACTCTTCTGTGAAGTCGTATCAGGCAGCAAACGTATACATGTATTTGTAAATCCGATACACAAACAATACAGAGGCAATTAAAACGCATATATACAATATGTATTTGGTCCAATTGGATCGTTACAATTTTTAAATAATTCTTTGTTTTGATACAAAACATATTTTCAACCAATGAGTAAATTTAGTGTTTGTTCAGTCTGCATTGACACATGATCCCTGGTGCGTGACTGCCCACACCTCGTACCACCCAATCGCCAATGCAGATGCTGACGAACATCCCCCATCCCTTTAATTTGCTTGAGAAAAAATCAAATCGTTTTACCTCGAGTCTTCCGTTCAATATCATCAAATGGTTTCCACTTTCCATTCTTGAATTTCCAGCAGTAATTGTCCACTGGTATAATTTCAACAAAAACATTATACATCTTTGTTGGAACCAGCTCAGTAAATCTAAATTCTAGCACAGGGTACATCCGTCTACAAAAAGTAATAATCAGTGATTATACAGATGTAAATAACAATGATAACGTATTAATGTCTACAGGGCAGTGATTTTTTTTTACCTTTTTTCGCAACAACCTATACCCCTGAAATTGTAGATTTTTAGCGCGATAATTTGCCTTTTTCCAACAGTATTTCAGTCATATAGGCGGGTAGTTTCCTAACCATCGTTCCTGGAGAGTTACACCAGTACTTGACTACCTTCCTCCGCGCTAAACTACCAAAGCATCTCCCGGGGATCGAACCCACGCCAGAGAGGTAACTGGGTTAGAAGTCATCGACTCTAACCACTCGACCACGGAGGCGGTAAAACATACATAATGTTGCTACGATATTTCATAGAAATAGAGAGTAATAAAGAATCCCGAAAGAACGCACAAAACGACAAAATTGAAAATGTTGCCGGCTCGGTTTTGATTGAGCCACCCATACAGTCTATGCCCCCTAGCACCGGCTTAAGCAGTATTCATCATTTTACATGAAATGGAAAAAAAAATGGAATTTAGAAAAATCCGCAAAATTGAGAACCGATCGTTTTTTTCTGCTGTAAATAAGGTTTTCTTTACAAAGACTTGCTAGAAATTACGAAAGTCACCCTTGCCTCAAAACAAAACGATAGCTTGTTTTTTTTTATTCTAATGTTCCAGTTACAACCATATTAAGTGAATTTTTGTCTGGTTCCCAGTTCATGCCATTTATTAAAAACCTCCTTATCTTTCAATGAATCAATGTATTTAATACATACCCGTGTTTTGAATCCCGAAAACCTGTAGCAAACGGATTATTATCAATCTTCAACTGTGTAATCTGAAAAAAGTAATACAAATTAAATGCTTCATGCAATTAAAGAAATACATGCAATAACAACAACAACAACAAACAAACAAAACAATCACAAAAACACACACTCAAACAAAACCGCAAACAAAAGCGCAAAAGAACAAGCACTTGAGAACAGTATGTTTTTTAGTTTTTTATTCATACCGGAAGACTTTTTTTTTTTTTTTTTTTTTTTTTTTTTTTTGATGGCTCACTAAAATGGTCGTTTTACGATATTATTATTGTTTCACGGAATGTCTTAATGTGTATGTATTTGTACTGATATTTTTAAATTTGTATTGTTTGTCTTTGCTATACTTCACATGTTTACTTTTTAATTGTCCAATAACATTTGTTTTCTTTAATTAGCTGATCAACTTGAAACGTTAATGTAAAAGCTAAACAAAAGAACAAACAATGGAACAAAAAAATGGTACAAACACTTACCTCCACATTCTGATAGCCTGTTACAGCTATGAATTGGGTCTCCTGAAACACTTTTGTCTGTAATGTGTCCGGATCCCCAGCTCTATTCTGACCTACTTCAATCACATGAACCCGGGGCTGATATTTATGCATTGAATTCAGGTATATCTGTAAAAATAAAACAAAAGGCGTGACTACCCTAGAATACAGGAAATGTTATATATGGGCAGTGTTTGCTGTGTGGAAAATATTCTTGATTGTAGAACATATATAGGGTGTTTTTGCATCACTTTGATAAGAGAAAACTATAAGAGGCTGTTGCCTGTTCATCTGCAGTTTCTCATTTCTGTATAGCATTTAGGGATCCTAAGCCCTGCGCAGTTTGCGCATGCGCGTAAAAATAGCACTTGTTACTTGTTTCACAAAGGATTTATAAGCAAGATATTACTAGCACTACTTAGAAGAGATAGAAGGAAAAAACCTACTTGTCCGCTAACATCTCTCGCAATGTTTGTGAGTTTTAGTTTGTTAAAAACCACGTTTTCTTTCATCCAGAAAGCTCCGTTACTAGGCGAGTCCGGATGTAAATAAATTCCTCCCGCTGAAAAAGAAGATTTATTATTATTATTATTATTATTATTATTAAAACTGTTATTGATGTTATAATCATTACTTCCTCCTCTTCTATGACAAACAAAGTCTTTCTTAATGTGCAAACTAAATAAAGAACATCATGCAAAAAGTGAGGATTATCTACAACGCAGAGGAGGTTTATGTCTGAAACTAAAGTAATAAGCCCTTGCCACATGTCTGGAACTAAAGTAATAAGCCGTTGCCACATGTCTGAAACTAAAGTAATAAGCCTTTGCCACATGTCTGAAGCTAAAGTAATAAGCCTTTGCCACATGTCTGAAACTAAAGTAATAAGCCTTTGCCACATGTCTGAAGCTAAAGTAATAAGCCTTTGCCACCTGTCTGAAACTAAAGTAATAAGCTTTTGCCACCTGTCTTGAACTAAAGTAATAACCCTTTGCCACCTGTCTGAGACTAAAGAAATAAGCCTTTGCCACCTGTCTGGAACTATAGTAATAAGCCTTTGCCTCCTGTCTGGAACTAAAGTATAATCAGCCTTTGCCACCTGTCTGGAACTAAAGTAATAAGCCTTTACCACCTGTCTGAAACTAAAGTAATAAGCCGTTGCCACCTGTCTGGAACTTAAGAAATAAGCCTTTGCCACCTGTCTGGAACTAAAGTAATAGGCCTTTGCCACATGTCAGTCCGCGCAGTTTACTCTTTTGTGCAGTCATACCAGGCAGCAAACGTATACATGTAACTGAAAATCCCATACACATACAATACAGAGGCAATCAAAAGCATATATACAATATGTATTTGGTTTAATTGGATCGTTACAATTTTTAAATAATTCTTTGTTTTGATACAAAACATATTTTCAACCAATGAGTAAATTTAGTGTTTGTTAGTCATCATTAATTCTATGATCCCTGGTGCGTGACTGCCCACACCTCGTACCAACCAATCGCCAATGCAGATGCTGACGAACATCCCCCATCCCTTTAATTTGCTTGAGAAAAAATCAAATCGTTTTACCTCGAGTCTTCCGTTCAATATCATCAAATGGTTTCCACTTTCCATTCTTGAATTTCCAGCAGTAATTGTCCACTGGTATAATTTCAACAAAAACATTGTACATCTTTGTTGGAACCAGCTCAGTAAATCTGAATTCTAGCACAGGGTACATCCGTCTACAAAAAGTAATAATCAGTGATTATACAGATGTAAATAACAATGATAACGTATTAATGTCTACAGGGCAGTGATTTTTTTTACTTTTTTCGCAACAACCCATACCCCTGAAATTGTAGATTTTTAGCGCGATAATTTGTCAAATTGTGAAAAAATAAACAAGAATAAATATTCATCACTTTATTCATATATTTTAATAATTTAGTTTCAGCTTTCTTCTTTTTTATTCCCTCAAATATATCAATAAAATTCTCAAGATTGTCATTTGTCAGTTCATTATTTTGTTTGGTACTGAAAAGCAATCCTGCCAATTGTGGATTTTTACACATTTTTGTGATTTTTTTATATATGTTTTTGGCATTGCGAAGAGGCCTTATTTCGGGGTCAAAATCAACCAAAAAAAATCACTGCAGGATCTAACTAATCATAAAAAACAATGAACAAATAATATTTCTTCTTTTTGTTTTCAGATTTATCTAAAGTTATAAGCTTTTCTTGACTAATTGTTATTCATTCTCGTTGTTTTTTATCAATATAAATTCCATTGATACAGTTTTTTTTTAACTTTTCGGAGAACGAAATTTTTTGCACGAGCACAACATTTATTTGCACTTCTCAAAAGATAAGTTGTAGAAGCCGGAAACAATGGCAAGAAGGCTATGATAAGGAATAATTACAAATACACGCAACATATCCTTGTACCATCTAGACAAAAGGGCGGACAAAAGATGTGAAAGGGTCTTCTTCGCAGTTTTGCAAGTCCATTACAACTGATTCAGAAGATATATATTTGAAATAAACATTGCACGAAGCGACACTTAACAAAATGATGTGAAGGACAATGTTTCCATCGTAGCTTTTCCAAACAAAAAAGCAACCCGGAAACTATGATGATGTAATTATGATATTTGCTTCAAATGTTTTAAATGACTTACCTCCCTCGCCTTGATACTATCATTTCTGTAGTTAGATTGTGAAACTTTGACCACAATTCTCTGTTACATAGAAATACACATGCTTGTTTTGATGCCATACATTGTGACCGGCTGTTTGTACCCGATCTGAAATGCTGGGATATACACATCGTAGAAGACGGTGACTCTGTGAAAGTATACGGTGCTCCGCTTTGCCTCTCATTAATTTGCTCTGATTTGTTACTAGAACAATGCTGAGAGATGAAAGCACCACAGTTATTTGTGCGTTCCTTGTGGTAGTCTTCAAAATATGATTGGTATTGTACATCATGGTACGATCTTGTCTCGCTTTCACCTTGATGGTATGCCGAGAATGTCGCCTGAACAGGACACTGTGTGACATGAATAGGATCTCCAGATCTACTTACATTTGAGGATTGAACATCATTGTAACATTCACCAGATGAGGAATATGTCGAGAAAACAGCTCCAGGGGTCATTATGTGTCCATAATTTTTCACATTCGATGGCCCTTTCATACCAGTATTCGATTCTTCACCGCCATACTCAAAAATACTTCCATCAGCACTCATCGAATTACCTTCAGGAAAATGAGAGATATTTTCAACGTTTTGGAGATGGTTCGGCATGTCAGAATGTCCGTTGAAGAACGGACCCTGACCGCAAGCCTCTGTTAACAAGTCTTGAATGTCGATGTCTGTGCTTTCCATTGTGCATAACACAAAATCTTATTTTTATTTTTTGTATGGTAAAAATGCTACTGAATGTTCTCAAGAATTGAACAAAGCCTACTTTTGTACAAACTTTGTATTCTGTGCGCATTAACTTTTGATCACAAGACAAGGTGAATGAACACATATATTTATACATACATACAGTTATTTATCAAATGTACCACATCTTATATAAAGATCGTATGTAGTTTGATTGACGTTTGCAAATTATCAACTCGAAAGACTTGATGTCTTCATTGGCTGTTTTACTACTTGGTGTGTAGAATAAAGTTGTGATCAACTGTTTCATTTAGTTGGCCACACAGTAGACAATCCCGTCCGATTCCATATAGGCAACTTAATAATTTGATCGTGAATTTCAATTGAATATGCGCATGTGCGATATATAGTTCCAGCGTTCTTGGATGCATGCAGGAGATACATGTATTAGTATGTCCTTTTAATACATAATTTAGTCACGAATCGGAGGGACCCAGGAACACGCCTGATCAACGCACACCTTTATCACCACCGGTGTGGAGTTCCTTTAATTCTAAAAGGCAAATTAACTTTTGTATGTAAAATGAAACATAATAATACTGTTTACACCAACAAGAGTCGAGAAGTTTTGTACTTTCCATCGAGTGTGGGCTCTGAGTCGACGAGGGTGGGGTACTAGGGTGTGTGAGCCCCTCGTACAAAAGGGGTTGCGTTCATTGAACGACGCCTCTCCTTGTTGATTTTGTTTATCATATTGTAAGGCAGACCCTTTGCTTGGCACCAACAGCACTTTTAAGGGCTACCTCCTTTCATTATTGTCTCAGGTTACTGTACATTTAGGTTCTCAGTGACCGCAGTGACCTACTTTTGCCTCAAAACTCTTTGGCTAACACTCCGTGGAAATTGCATGGAGGTAAATTATCACAACTTAATTGTGCTTCAAAATTAACTGTTTATGGGCATGACAGGTGACATGTCCGGGGTCCGTACTCGACAGCAAAACCTGAATTATGTGCCCTTAAGGACGAATGGACCCTCATTAACCACACCCACACGCGCACACGCACGCGCACACACATTTTCAAAAACTGTTTGACGGTTTCACCCAGTCGAGAAGGGGACGTTCGTGGCCGAGTGGTTAAAGTCGTTGATTTCAAACTACATTAACTTGCTTCTCACGGCTGTGGGTTCGAATCCCACAAGGGACTTTGGAATTGTCCATCACGCGGAACGTCGGTGGTTCTACTCAGGTGCCGGCTTATGCCTGTAAATATTGCACGGATGGAATGAAATTGTATGTGTTAATTTCGTAAAATGAAGTAATACATCTTTTCTTTCTTAAGCATAGTAAAATGGCTTCCTTTCCGGTGGTCCTGTTTTAGTTGTGTTTTCATTCTTATTTTTTGTTGATCTTGTTTTACACTAGCGAATATTGTTTTTTTCTTTAACAAAATTCCGTTTCTATATGCAGGTAAACAAAATCCAAGGAAACTTAAACATCCGGTGTTGAAGATTTTTAGTGATGGAAAATGAGCGTTAATTATTTACCTATTACAAATACTAATAGATTGTACGTGATAAGCATGGTCAATACCCCCTTGTTCAGATCTTCAAAAACATTCTTGCACTGTCACTGCATTGTTTTTGATACAGTTATGAACTTAGTCAACATAGAGAAAACAGAATTCCTAAAGAAAGCCCAACACGGCAAAATTGTAAAACGTTGCAGGCTCTGTTTGATTGAGCCTGTTTTTGGACGGTACTAAAAAGTGTAAGTTACCGTCCATGACCCCTAGCACCGGCTTAAGCAGAATTCAACATATAAACACAATAATGGTGAAATTTTGAATTTAGAAACATCCGCAGATGTGTCCATACGACGGTTATCATGGAACCTTCAATGTGACACAGTAGTGTCATTCCATAAAAAGCGGCGTATGGTTCCCAAGTAAAAGAAAGCGTGTGCCCTAAACGAGAAAACAATGGGCGGAGCTAAATAAAATGGAATATTGAAATGGGATCTGAGGTTATGAAGCCTGCATATCACAGACGACGTCAAAAGACTAATTTAATATTGATAGAGCTTAATCTCTTCATAGTGTTTTAGAGATACACTGTTTGGCTTAAACTTCCGACGATACTTTAATTACTAACGACTAATACACTAATAAATTGAACCTGATAGCATGGTCATTCCCCCCCCCCCCCGTTCATCTTCTAAGGAATTCTTGAACTGTCATTCCATTGTTTTTGTTTAAGTTATGAACTGAGTCAAAGACCTATTGATAGCTAAATCTCTTCATCGTATCTTAGAGATATGGCATCAACTTCCGACGATACGTTGGCGGACCTTGACTATGCGAATATATTGCTCAACTAGATACAATTTTTAATATTGCAAATGTTTATAAACTTTATGTAAAACTGATTCGTTTTCATCTATGACATGTTTGCAAAATGTAGCTAGTCTATCGAATTTGAGCTAAGAATGTGAGCACACTCATTTAAGGAGCTCCGCTGAGGTTCAAAAGCCTAAAAACATAAAATTTGAATTTCATTCATTGCTCATCTGCACACCATGAAAACATTTAAATGGAACATTTAAAGAAGAAATATATGCATAAAGATAATTGAGATACATAGTTTAAGAATAATTTGAAAGTTTGCACACAGGTTATGGGTCTAGGCCTTCATCAAATGGAGAAATTAATCTCTAACAATTATTTTAAGTCCCGTAATGTCAAAAGACCTCAGTGGAGTCCACTAACTACTTAAAATTATTTTATACGCGTAATCTCTATGCCCGTTTCTTGGACCGTGGCTTCTACTTCTTGTCATGTGCAAGCGATTCGCTCGAATTCTAGTTCCTTATGTCGAACGTATTTTTATATGGTACACTTTCACACCGTATTACCGGCACCAGTACTGACAGATCACTGCAGTGATCAAGGATATTTTAAAACAGGAAGGTTGTAAATTTGGTTGTTATACGTAAAGATAGCAATTTCACTGCTATGAGTTTACTGTTCAATGACTAGAGATACTGTTAAGTAATTTTGGATTTGTTTCTCAAGTTGTTTAAATATTTGGAGTTGACAGCATAGGAAAAATCCGTGAAAACAGTTTGATTGTTCAAAATATCTCTGAAAATATATTTGAAATAAATGAAAAGATTTCGTGCTATACACATTAAGACATTTTATCAATTAGAGTCACGGAAATCAAATATCTACCTAGCCAGTGTGTTATTTCTAAAATAAGTTATCTAGACTTATTTTTTCCTGTAACTGCGTGTCAATAAAAACAACGTCGGGCCCCTAATGCATTTGTATCTTTTCCATCATGAGAAAAAATCAAACGAAAGTTTCAATCAATTCTATTATACAGTTTTCAGTCTGTCTCTGTGCCAACTTTGCAAATTCTGTTGCAAA